AATATGAGTGGAGGAGCGAAGAGCCAATTCAGTCAGTTTGTACATCATTTATTATTTTTTTTACAAAAAGTCTAGGTATTATAGCTACTATTGAATCATAATAAATGAATGTAACATGAGAAGTCATTTATACTTCATAATAATATAGTCGCACTTAATTTAATAATCACTAGGCTGTGTCACATAAAAGAGAAGCCAAGAAACTTATACTGCCATACGAGTGTAAATTACCAAATTCTAAAGGGCCAACATGTGTTCGACAAATGTGTATTTTAAGATTAGGATAATTACTGTACTTATTACTGTTACTGTGTGAACTACACAGGCATTTGTTGTGAAAATAATGTGACCACAAAAAGGAACTAAAGGAAGCGCTTGGAAAACTCAGAAACAAAAGAAAGTTATTACTCTCTGTAAACAGGGGTGTTTCATGGCTGTAATATTACGCCGCCATGTAGGTACCTACTTAGCCCATAGCCCATGTACCCACTACCCACCTACACCGTTTTATTATTTACGCAGCACTAGGTAGGTGTAAGTAACTTTTAAGTTTTTATTAAGTAAGTAAAAAAACCTAATAATTGACCATAAGAAGCTCAGAAGCCAGAGCAGTCGCCCAGCAAGCGAGAGTCGCGGGTTCGAATCCATTTTAGAATTCGATTTTTCCAAGCTTAAAAGACATCGCTTAGTAATTTCTACATTGCAGTAATGTTCTACCACTAAGGTAAACTTAATTAAAAAGAAATCGATTCTTTACGTTGCACTCTAACAGACCTCAAGAAAGGAGGAGGTTCTCTATCAGTTGTACGTTTTTGTCAAACTTGCACGACAAGAATGTTGACGCCACTTACATAAAAGGTGGTTCGGGTTAAGGGTATTTGGTAGTCATAACATCAAAAATGGCAAGTTCAATGAACTTGCGTGTGTTGGCGCGTCCGGTGCGTGACGACCATCACGGGGGAGAGTGAAGGCGCGTCTTGCGATAAGAGGTGCAGCCGTCACGCCGCGGACAACTGGGACACCGGTGTTGTTTTGTTTCCACCTTTTCACTGCCGTCAACACCGCATCTTGGAAGATAATACATACTTAGGCTCTTTATGAGAGAAGTAACCTCTTATTTCCAGCTAGTAAATTAGTGTTTCAGGAAGATTTCAGGTCGGAACAACCACCTATAACCCGAAACTCTTGCAAATTGTGAATAAAATAAATACCTAATAATTAACAGGATCCCTCTCATAGAAGAGCCACATAGCTAGATAAACTTTTCAAAATCTTCATAAAACGATGAAAATTCAGCGATCTGAATAAATTAAGGATTCGGCAAGCCATCAGACCCTAACGGGGAGACCTGGGTGTATGGATGTGAAAAAAAAAAAACATAAAATATGTGAGATCCAATTTAGACTTTATATGACCGGCATAGCTGTTATGTACGATACATCAGCTTATGAGCGAAGGAGTGGGCTGTGGGACAGTATTAGCATAATTGGAGGTCGGGCGGCGGTGGAACCGGTTCAGTGCTTCGGCTCACGATTCACAATTACGTCATCGCTGACATCATCACACACCGTACTCCGAGCTTAAAAATAATATAATTTCTACTGATGCTGAACACAGCGTGAGACAGGTTTATAATTTAGTAAACGTAGCATTCTTTGCATATTTATCGTCCATCCAAACTCTTATGGCACGGAGCACCAGATTCGAGTAATCATGGTAACGGTTTTTGCCACTTATTGCCACTTAACTTATAACAGCCTCTCAGTCCTCTCACCAAGCGCTATATTGGACTACAAAGTCTTCATGGCTTGGATTATGTGATGATAACACAAAACAAACCACTCAAACTATTTAGGCGAACCCTGAATTCCAATTAAAGGTTTGACTTTAGTACCTTTACCTTTACAGTAAAGTTATTAATAACTATCTAAGTATTCCCTTGAATACCTATATTGTATGAATTAGTCGATTTTCCAATTAGGTCGAGTCGCGGGCCGGCACTCCCAACCTGCCGCGAAGCTCTACCTACCCTCGCCCGCCCGCCCTGTTCACGACCGTTGGTTGTAATAATAACAGTGCCATACTAACACACCTTTCGAATCGATTTTCACCGTTTTTGTAACTATGCAAACTATATGAAGCTACGAGACGATGTTTGTAGCTAACCTTGTATCGACAGAAGCTATGTACTTAATAATGTTGTCGTTTGCATTTACATACTTTGTTTTTAAATGTCATAAACGTGTTTTTTTTAAATGTTACACATAATTCCTAAATATTAGTTTAACAGTCGCAGATTAAGTATATCCAGTTCTTTATTTTATACTAACTATAAGCGCTCCGCCCCCTCTGGTCCCATTTTCACCTACCGTAACCTCCATCGTACCTATCCACCATCTATTGGTGAAAATCGTACTGCTGAAAATCTGTTCTACAGTTTCGAGTTTACCTATCGCGTTCAACTATTAAAATATAGACTTTTTTAAATGAAGTGATCTGCGTTTTCAGATAGATTTCTTGTCATTTGAGAAAGTTTTACGTAAACGGAAACAAAGTTTACATAACGTCATGTAGGTTCTTAATTTTAAGTGCTTGTGCAGTTGTGCAGTTACCTATAAGCTGAGATTACTGCCGATACGATAGTTAATAATTTAAAATCAAGCAAATGACCAGATGGTCTTTAACAGTTTGCCAAAATATAGGTATACCTACTTCGCAAAGTGATCAATAATGAGATATTTAATTAATTTCTAACATAAAGAAATATAGACGACTAAGCATTGGTTTATGCCTATCGTAATTAACAGAGTTACGTGTTGGGCGCCAAATTTTGCAGTTTTTATTAAAATATATACTCGTTAGGTTAATAAAAGTTTACTTTATGTGATACAACATTGCCTCTGCCTCCTTAGCTGATGTTGATATGAAAATTATCTCGCTGATTAGAAAAATAGTTTTAAAAAAGTTTTCCCGAACTTTACGTAAACTTTTATTGTCATTTTGAATTTTACATTTTAAAATAATATTAAACTTTATCAGGTAAGTATGATGATTAAATCAATCACTCACCAAGTTTAAGAATAAACCAAATCCACTTCTCTTTTCACAGTGTTTCTTGCAAAAATTTTCACTTCAACAAAAATTCGCAAAAACCAATCTCGAGAACACAACAACACACACCGGCTTCGTGATCAAAACTCGTATTCACGGAGGTATTCGCTACGGTTGCCTCGCCGAGCAGTTTCACACAAAAAAAGTTTGAAATCGCTTCAACTTCAACACAATCTACAATCAACCGCCGCGCTAGCAGCTGCGCTTCTTTCTCTATTTAACGCGCGCGCGTGGCTGCGCTGACTCGCTCAAGCAAAACATTCATGGTGCTACGACACTGTTGCCTACATTTAAAAAAAACGAAAACAATACAAATCATCATAAATTTAATATTTTTCGGGTCACCAAAATTAAATAAAATTAAAGTTTAAAAAGCTGTGAAAATGCCAATTGAAAAAATAATAAAGTTTTGGCCGCAGGCATTGAAGTCGTAGCACTGTTGTAGGGGTCAATTCTGTAAAATTATTTTTTTTTAAATGTAAGGGAAACGACACTATTGAAGTTTAGAAAACGTGTCCTCCTAGCCGAAAACAATATGCTAAAGTGTGCTAAAGTTTTCGGCGGTTGCTATGGTAATCGCCATTTTGCTAGCAAATTCTAACAATGCAAGCAGCATCTTTGACAGCCATTGCAACTTATAGATGACCCACGCTGAATTGTCCCACCAAACTCAATGACAGTGGGGCGCTACCATCGTTCAACTATATGGTTTCCAACATGGCAAAAATTGGAACCAGCGATCTGGTATAGATGGTGGCGCCCCACTGTCAATGTCATGCATAGGACAGTTCAGAGCCCCGATTACGGTAACTTTTAACGTTTCCAATCCCGACGCGCTTCATCGATTCTGCGATATGATTGGTCAAAACAGCTGACGTACGCTGTTGAACGACCAATCGTATCGCAGATAGAGATGGGTTTCCACCCGGGTAAAAACCCACATGAGGGTAAAAACCCAATAAAAACCCGTTTCATTCCACCCGTGGGTGTTTACACCGGGTGAAAACAAATAATTTTATAATTATTTCAATTGGTATCTTTTCTTTATTTTTATTGAATTTTTCTCATTTAAGTTTATTGATTAATAAGTAATAAGTCAAATTTAACACTAATATGCATTTATATCGTGGCCAAATCGTAAAATTGATCACGTTATGATGTTGTGACCAATTATTTTATAAAATGGTGTTATTTCAAGAATCGTTGAACCGATTTAAAAGAAATTTAGTAGGAACACAATAATTTGTGATCATGGCAAGGACATGGAGGGGGGGATGCCAAAGATGCCAAACTCTCTCTTTGATGACATTACGGTATAACGTTACAAATAACAACACCAACTACAAAGTACTTCTGCTTGAAAACTTGAAATCGACCGCCCTTCCGCCACTGTAACACATTGTAACGTTTTTCAAGACCTCCTCTCCCCCCAGATTGCATTACGTAACACTAGAACGCCCCCTTAGCAACAAATACCACTTCTCACTTTAAAAAAACGCTATTTTTGTTTTCACCCACCAGAATGGGTGATAATGGGTAAAAACCGGGTTTTTACCCAAATCACCCAGTTTAAACCCAATCGGGTGAAATGGGTTTTTACCCACTACCCATCTCTAATCGCAGAATCGAGAAGCGTGTCTGGATTGGAGACGTCAAAAATTACCGTAATCGGGGCTCAGTATTTTGGAACTATATAGGGGGGGCTGCGCCCATGACGTACGAGTTTATAAGTGCCAAAATACTGGTCAAAATTGAATAAACATTTTTGATTTCATTTCTTTTTTGTATGATTCTTAATAAGATCTTCGGATGTGGAATTGACACCTACAAATAACGAGATAACGTTATTATTATTTTTGTGGTATATTTAGCTTTACGTTATTTTTTATTTCCAAATGTCATTTTACGTTTGCGTTGCCGAGGGCCGTGAAAAAACTGAAAATTATTACAAAAACCCGTAAAAATCAATCAGCTTATAAAAAAATATTGTGTTTAATTCACAGAGAATAACTTTAAAATGTGATAAACGCCATAATCTACTCTTACATAGCGTTTTTCCAGAATGCTGATACATATTGCAATAATTGCTCGAGTTAACTTGTTCAATTATTTTATGTTATAATTCTGCGTGCTAATTTTTAATGTTATGGCTCCTGTTAACAACGACAGACACCCAAGTCATACAGGCACCATACCGAAGACGAAGGCTCGAAACAATTGCAATGTACCGCAAGAAGCTGTGACTCCCACAAGAAGAGACATGACGACCAATTTAGTTTCGGTAAGATGCTAATAAAGTCCTATTGAACACATAAATACGTTGTAGATGCCAATTATGGGTGACGGGTAATGATAAACATGATTGTTATTATGATTTGGAATGGAAGTGGAACACATGACATGAAATACACATGCTATTTTTTTAAATAACCATAGTTTTCTAATAGTTTTTTAAAGAGATATTCAAGTAACTGTATTCTTTTGCTGAATTAATTAATTTGCAACATGATTACTTACTACCCTGTCACCGAATGCAGTGTGAAGTTTGCTCAAAACACATGTAGGTGCTTTTCTAATTTTAGAAACATTGAGCATGGAAGAAAATTTTGGCTTTTTGCCAGTTGTAATTTATTTTTTGACACAGTAAGATCTTTTATGGTTGAATCCATTAAAGTATTTCATTTTATAAAATATCCTTCATTATGTTATAAGGTTTTTAAAACTTTCCCTAAAATTTATTTTGCTATACCATATGGGAGGTTGTTTTTCTAAATTTAGTCTGAAGAAGGTGTGTGTTGATTGGCAGTAATGAACGTAAATGCAATTTAACCTCGATATTGTAATTATACAGAATTTCTACCAAAAGTATGAACTTTTTTTAGACATCTTTGGATTGGGTGCCAGTTTCGGAATACAATACAAGATCAAATTACAATAAATCTAGAAAACCATCAAATAATGCTTCTGACCATGAACTGACTGATTTAGGTGAGTTTTAACTTAGTATACTTTTAAATACACATTAACACCATCAAAAATACTGACTTATTTATAGATATTCTACAATCAAAACACTACCAAGAAAATCATTGGGCTCAGATACCAATAGTAATTTGATAGTCTTGTAAAACTTTACTTCAAAATGTATGCTTGAGTTTGCAATAAGAATGATAATTGCAATTGTATTAATTTATTTATTAAAGACACAAAACAGATCACATTTACAGATTGCACGTAAACTGGCTAAATTGTAAACTGTATATTATCAGTGATAATCGTAAAAAAAGATAATATACTTCTGTATTAATGTATGGCAAACTTTGCCATAACTACAGGGTCTAATCTATTTATTGTTAGCTTCTACTTTAAGTTTAATCTATGGAAACTGTAAAAAAATATACTTTATAAAAATAATAAAATGGTTTCAGATAATTCAGTAACATTTGAGAGTGGATTTGGAAGATTTGTACCTGTTAGACCACAACCTCGTGCTTTACCTTTAAACGTTCAGAACCGTGAAAATATTACCGGTGATCACCACGACGACGCGACAGCCTCGTCGGTGACTGGGCACACATTACACCCTTATGCACATCAAATGCAAAATGGTAACTAAGAATTTGTAATAAATACAAGTTTGACTGGGATAAAATGCTAATTATATAGCATTAAGGGGACATCTTGTGCCTAGTTGCAATACATAGTTAAAAAAAACTGGACTTAACTTTTAAACTACCAAAATAATATGTCGTGCTATTAAGACAGGTTTAAATTATCATTTTAGGTTTGATTCCACATTCTAACCATGCAGCTGCAGCTGTTATGATTGTCAATCCTACTACACCTAATGCAGTTACTGGAAATATATCTCAACCTTTCAACGTAAGTATACTTTCACTACGATTTATTATTGACAAAATTTAAAGAAAAGAAAAATTAATCACAAAAAATATTTTTCAGGCTTCAAATCAAAATAGAAACAACTTGTCAAGAAATCTAAACCCAGCACGGAATAACTTTGAAACAAATAGTCTTGCTAGCAACAATAACACTACTCCCCCAATATCTAATTCTCGTTCAGGAACGAAAACTGTTAATTTAATGAATAATATGTATGACCAAGGACAAGGCAGCTTCAATAACCTGAATGAGAGCAATTCTGTAAGGAATCAAGAGCAAAACTAAATATAGATAAGTAACGTTTTTTGTAAGATAAATACTAAACAATACTCTTTATATTTTTGTAGCTTCATAGAGAATCCGCAAGAGCTCTAGGTGAAGCGATAGTAGCAGCGTGCCCTGACGCGGCTGCCGTTGAACGTCGACTAGGACAAATACGAGAGTACATACGTGTGACGTCATCTCTCGTTGATACCATGCGGAATTCGGAGGATGAAGTAAGTCTAGTTTCTTTGATTACCGCAATATACTTTGTAACTATTAAATATATGTAATGTTTAATTTAGGCCTTTATTGAACACACAAAAGAGGAATATGATGAATTAGTTGAAATGGTTATGCAATTGAAAGAAAGTGAAAACAAATTGGAAAATATACTGGTCCAGAAAAAACCAGATAATGAAGAGGTTCCTGCATTAGAAGAAGATAGTGGACCTTCTATCCCAGAGGCTAGTGGAAAGGCAGAAGAAAAAGTTGAAACTGTGACACCACAAGACAAAACCAATGATCTTAAAAATAATAATGATAATATTGTAAACAATAACCTAAAGAAGGTTACAAATATTGAAAATGAGCAATTGAACAAAACATTGCAAAATGTAAAAACTAGTGATGACACACTAAATAAGTCCCCAAAGGCTGCCACTTCTGATCAGAGTAATGATAATAAACAACAGACATCTGAAACCGATTTGGAAAAAGTGGTTGATTCTCACGAAAATTCAGAGAACATTCTTGAAATAGTAGAAATAGAATCGATACCTTACAAAGAACCTGAAATTAAAAAAGATGATCAGCACTTGAATGCAATTTTACGAAAAAATATTTTGTCGTGTGTTGAAAAGGTGGCATTGATTGAAGAAATGAAAAACAAATGCAAATCACCAACTAAGCAGCAGGATCAGGTTTCTGCCTGTTGTGGTGTGCTGTTTCAAGTGTGACCCTTCCTAATCACAAACTGGAAAACAGCATGAATTGAATGCTAGAATAGACAAATAACCATTATTTTTTCTGTTTGATGTTATCATTACAATGTGACTTTCATCATTCAATGTGATGAAAATGCTTCTTGTTTTAACACAAAATCTCTCATTGTTGCATTCATAAACCATAATAAAATGTGTGAAAAAATTGCGGTAGATTTTCTAAAATCTAACATTTTCCTGTCCTTCTGTAAATATTTTTCACCTGTGTCTTTCGAATTATGAGTGTTGTGTACTTATTACAAAACCTTATGTCAATATAACTAATAAAATCCCTTTTTTCCAGCAGGATCTTGTAACAAGACCTGTTTCAGTCCAAAGCAATGGCTCTATGTACAGTGACAATGAACTTTGGCAAAACGAAATCAAAAGTAAAATGGAATTATCGCAAATACGCTTGACAGCATTAAAACAACAACAAAAGAGGCTTTTGAAGTATCAAGTGAGATTATTTGTTTTGTTTTGGAATACATTACTTGTTTTAGAGTTAGCCCATGTAAATGTAATGTTTGTTTATCCGTAACTTTTAGGAAGAAGCGAAACAACAATTAGAAGATGAGCACAGAGACAGACAATCACAAGAAATACAGCCATCAACATCACATGACAATTTTGTTGGTTTGCAGGTAATTATATTGAAAGCATTGTTTTAACATTAAATATTCTTCCAAGTACATTGTTTTGTAAAAAAAAGCTAGTGTCCTGCGGATCTGATATTGGATATTTTTCATTATGATACATAAAGTACCTACAAAATCCCGAACATTCTGTCTATGTTTTAGAACCAGTCGTTTAGCGGTAATTACCACAATCCAAATCGAATGTATGCTGCTAATCAAATCGGTGTCGCCACAACGCTGCCTCATTCGACTGAAGCGCTGCATACCCAACAAAACATGTCTGAAAACATAGAGAACGACCACGGCCACTCCATTCACAATCACAATCAGGACGAACGGTTTACACACCGTGACGCCAATGTTGCCAGCAGTGAGGTAAATTTTACTTTTGTATCTTCATTAGTTTTTTAATATTCTAGGCAATAAAATCAATTTAATGACGGCTACCGTATTTACGGTCACCAGTTGACGCCTTTGGCGCGTAAAGTCCTGTTACTCGTCATTTCAGTCATAAGAAGTCCACTGCTGCACAAAGGGGAGGAGGGATTTCTGAAATTTCTTCTAGGCTAAGAAAACTCGCTTCTGCCGGGTAAAGCTCCCTTACCTGCCCAGTAGTGCAAACTAGTGAGCGCAAATACGATTGCCATTATTGCAGATAGAAAGTCGTCTGAAAAAAATGAATGCCGTCTCTGATTATTTCCTGTAATATTGTAGGAGGCAGCAGGAGTTGGCCGCGACAGTGACGGCGAAGAGGACGAAGGCTTGCTCAGTGAGCGTGGCCGTATGCTGCAAATGAAGCTGAGAGAACTACAGATGAAAAAACAGCACATGGAGAATTTGGTATGCTATTTGTTCGTTTTCAGCCAAATGAAAGAAGAAGAAAGAAAGAAATATTTATTGAATATCATCGACAATAACATCCACTGCTGGGTAAAGGCTTCCCCAAAGAGTTCCACGACGACCAGTCTTTCGCTGTCCGCATTTAGGTGCCGCCCGCGACCTTCACCGAGCGGAGTTACTTTGAAAAACATCCGAAGTTTCGAATGTTGCTATCCCTCTTACTCAAAGCGACGGCGACAGATAGACCCAAAACTACGTCAACAACGTTTTGGAGTAGCGTAAATAACACATAAATTAATTATAAAAGGCTCAACAATAAACAGCTCATAATATTCTTCGTTCATTGCAGGTAACTGAATTCCAGAAATTACAAATGGCGACGTGCCTTGAAAGTTCTCACAATAATTACTCCAGTTCGGGAGAAGACAGCGGCGATGAAGAGCCATCACGCAAATGTAAGTAATTTATTTTGCATAACAGTTTTGATTGCAAAATGGCATGGCTGGCACCTATTACAACTACGTTAGATGCCATAGTTTTAGCTAGATATATCGACATGTGTCATAGATTTTTGGTGTTTAAAATGAATGATTTGCTTCTTTCAGGTAATAAAAGTGGGGGGAATATTAAAAATGAAGATCCTTTCAAATTAATGGAAATAAAAGCCATCAAGACTGCACTTCAAAAGACAAAAGGTACTGAATTTTCATGTCATAAAGTTTTTTAACTTTTAGGTTCTGGTTTTTGTGTTTATTATTATTTTTTTCTATTCAAGACCTTATGCGGTCAGTGGAGAATTACGAGACAGAACAACAAATGGCCGCGGCAGTGAACGATGAGACGTTCTCAATACCCGGCCATTCAAACATTCATGATAAGTAAGTAGTTTTCAAACTCAAAAAGTAAAATTGTGCTTTTCCTTTCTTCGGTAGTCTTGTCGAAAACTGAGTACCTATCCATATTTATATTTGATAAATGATTAAAGCCATCTTTATGTATAATCTTCCGTTTAATTAATCTTCCTGACATCACGAACGACTTTTGAACTTTTTGATTTGTTTATTCGCGTTTTCGTAATCTAGGAGTCAACGATCGATTTTATGTTATAGCAAATCCGAAGGCGGTGGCAGCATGGGCGGATGGTCACACGATGGAAGCGTTTGCCGCGTTCGCAACTCGTTACCTCCGCGACACAAGTACACTAACGAACACCATTCGCAGCACCAGCATCAACAACATCAACAACTGCAGCAACATCAACAACTGCAACAACATCAACATCAACAGCTGCAGCAACATCAACAGCTTCAACAACATCAACAACACCAGCAACATCAACATCAACAGCACCAGAGTAAGTGCCACCGCCAAAAAAATGTAGCTTAAGATGCATTTCATTCAATGAAATCCTGAAAATGAGATGAAATATTATTCTAAACACTACAACTGCATTTCAATTAACTACCCTCGTTCAGTCTCAGACTAGAATGGGTAGAAGTTGGTATCACTATCACTACATTATAAAACAAGAAACAAGTCGCTTTCCTGTCTTTCCCTATGGATTTTGATGCTGTTTGTTTAATAGATAGAGTGATTCAAGAGGAAGGCTTTAAGTAGAATACAGTGTACCTGTGCGAAGGTCTCTAGTAAATTATAAAAGCGGAGTATTCATGAAGTAATGTTATTTTTCAGGTCACGAAGCTAACATAGCTACTTTACAAGAACTTGCGCAAGAATTGCGTATGGAAACTGAAAAGATCATGGGTGAACGCGCTCGAATCAAAGATATGGTCTCAAATAAAGGTAAGATCAATTTTATGACTTTCTTCCGCCATTTCTTCTAAGCCACCAGCCGATATGTTGTCCCGAAGTGGTGGTAGGGTAAGCTATATTTAGGACGTGTGTAAGTCCTTTTCAGAGCCCACGAACTTGAAATTGAATGTTCTTGTGCCATGGTAGCGTAGTCTGAGGACGTTTGTAGGAGCATCTAAAAGAGTTTGACTTGCCTCGATGCGGACATTCGATATCCAGCACTGCAGTTATCTTTTACTTTGCAGAGGTAGCTCGTAAACAGAAGAAAGTTAACGAAGAAGTGCGAGCGGGCCCGAGTGGCGTGCCCGGCCCGGCCGAGCGCCGCCAAATGCAGCTGCGGGCTTTGCTCGCTGATAAGCAGAGGGAGCTTGAGGCGCTGCTGAATAAGGAGGTCAGTTGTTTTAAGTAACCTTCTTAACATTGCTGTTTCAAACAGTGCCGTAACTAGCCTTTTATGCGCCCGGTGCGAGAAATATAAAAAGATGTAACCTTTTTGAATAAAAAGTAACCTCTACTGGGGGGGTGCAGAGCATGCATGAAACAAAACTAGATACTGGTCTGGTCATTTCTGCGCCCCTCCAGGGTCTGCGCCCTGTGCCTGGGCACCGCTGGCACCGCCCTAGTTACGGCACTGGTTTCAAACCACTTTAGAATAAAGAAAACACATTTTCGGACTTCAATTGCTTCCTAAAACAGCAAAACATGTCTTCTACTTGCTTGAGCTCGATCTTCATCTATGATCTCGATTCGCGACATACAGTCAGTGATAAGGGTTTTTCATCGAAGGAAAAATCATGCGGGTGCAAAATATTCGTGATGATTGTTTGGGTCAAGAAGACCATCTGCGATGATGAATACTAGGTTTTAAGCGATGCTTGATACTGATTAATTATTTACGTCTATTACAAAATTATTTTGTGTTCTCTATTGCAGAAAGTATTATGTGCTGGACCAGAACAACAGAAGATAAAACCAGATTCAAGAACTGGTTCTATTGTGAACCAATCCTACAATAGGTATGCAGCGTTGTCAGTTTGATATTATAAGTTATTTTTGTCTTATTTACCATGGAAATAATTTGCCATATAATTTTTACAGTGAGCAAGAGGAGCCAGATTCCCGATCTGAACAGATTTTAATGGATTCCCAAAACTCAAGGGAAACTGAAAACTTCAGGGTGAGTCATAGTTTTAGACAACATTATCTATTGTGCCTATTCCAACGCATTCTATTCTATTTCAAATGCAAATAGCTAACTTTGACTAAAACGTATGCCCATAATAATCGTAACATGTATTGAGATCAAAGCTAATTTTACATTTTGATTGATCGCTAGTTAGCTTTTATAGCGATGAGTAAGGGCTAGTAGTCCATGGAGGCGTAGCTTCTTAGCGCCATACCAATATTTTGCATCATAAATGAAAATGGACTTTATGTAGTTACTAGCTGTGCCCGCGACTTCGTCCGCGTGGAATAATGACTTTGGGTAGGCACTTTTAATAATTTAGTCTAATTATTTTACAAATAGTTTTTGCCCGCGACTTCGTCCGTGGAGAAGTCGAAAACGTTCTCATACGATTATTTTTAAATGTTTTAACGTTATTATCTAAATGTTTGAATACTTTTTATAAAATATAAAAATCAGGTTAAATAAACATGAAAATATTTTTTTCTTATATTTTATGAATATGCAGCTCGGCCTTTGATCCGGTGAAAGTTACTCGGTGGTATTATTTTTTTTACAACGAAATCGAAAACTACACCTACCGCAGTATTATTGGTAAACTTTTTTTTATATTTTCCTACGGGTGCTAGAATTACCAAGCTTCCAGCATGCCACTGGCCGTGGGAGAAGGAGCTTTTCCTCAAGACTACTCCCACTACCTCAAGGGCCTCCGCCAAAACTCTCGCGCGAAAATGAGTTTATGTATACAGCGCAAGCAGGTGCCCGCGGCATGACTTTCATGCATTACTATGCATTGTTGGGCGAGCGCACGCAGCGGCCTCACTTAACCACTCCGAGGTTAAGTGAGGCCCCTAGAGTATGGTAGTCGTTAACATGACGTCATGATTGTAAAAAAATGCACTAATGAGTAATTAATATCAACTTTGAAGCAAATCACCACTAAAATAACTTTCTACCCCTTTTTAACATAGTTAGGGGGTGCATTTCACTAAAATACGAAACACGTCTTCCATTAATTCTGTTATAGAATGCTTATGCAAAATTTTAAGTAGATTGGACGAAGGAATCTCGTTATTTCATACAAACTTTGCCCCTCCTTTTTACCTCCTTAGGGGTAGAATTTTGGAAAATCCTTTCTTATCAGATGCTTACGTCATACAAAGAACACACCGTCCAAGTTTCAGGTCTTTACGATCAGCGGTTTAGGCTGTGCATTGATCCATCAGTAGCGCGCGTAGTACTTGATCATTATTTTGCTGCGATGTGATTTTAAAACTGCGATATCTCCTAAGATATTTATTGAAATCGAATGGTGTAAAGGGCAAGAATATTTAAAATTAAATACTTGTGATGAATAACTTATTTATTTGGATAAGGATTAATATCATGTTTATGAAAAAACCTCCGCAAATAATGCATTAATATAAAACAGATTTTTTTTGCATAAAAAGGGTTACTATGAGCCAACCTTAAAAGATAGACATATACTATCGCGGACTTTTTTTTAGAACTTTTAAAGGGGAACAATCCTGTCATACATGATTTTTGCGAAACTTTAACCGTTTACGCAGCGTCAGCTCTCAAAAGGAAAAAAATCACTGATTTGAAACATTCTTCATTGGTGCTCCGCTCCTATTGGTCTTAGCGTGATGATAAATAGCCTAAAGCCTTCAGGAACTAACGGGCTATCCAACACAAAAAGAATTATTCAAATCGGTCCAGTAGTTCCTGAGATTAGCGCGTTCAACCAAACAAACAAACAAACTCTTCAGCTTTATAATATTATATAGTATAGACAAGTCGTTCACGTAAATTCAAGGAATGGGGAGGTTACAATAAAGTTGTTTTTAGAGTGGCGGCGGCGACAGTGCGCTTGGCGGCCGGTCTGGTACCTCGGCGCCCTCGCACGCTCCCAGTACTTACGCCAGCGATAGCGATACGTGAGTCTTGATACTTATTTACTAGCTTTAGCACGTGGCTTCGTTCACGTGAAATTGAGTTTGTCACAGAAAGGCCGACCTACGTATCGTTGTGATTTGACACAATTAAAATCCTATAATAATTATCTTATTTTGAAGTATAAACCATAATTTTAATTTTCTTACAGGGCTTCTAGAAATAAATCCAATCAAAGGAACCGGACCCGTCGAAGGCAGCCCCTGGAACGACCAGTCGAGGAAAATGTAAGTTCAAAGAAAAAGAATGTACTAGCTATTAAAATTAGAGTCGCTTCTCGAACTAAATTTTTAAATAGGCAGTTCGATTTTTCAAGTTGTTTATAATGTAGCTATTCATAAACACCACTCCCTGTTTCAATATTTTGAACCTTATTGCTCATATAATATCCTTTTCCAGGCACCTCAGCCCAACAATGTTAATCAAAACGCTCGTCATGAAGCGCGAGTGGACTCTTCAAATGTCAACATGGTTCAACCCACTGCACAGAACGGTATGTAAAGAAAATTATAAGAGCCATTAAAAAAAAATTGGACATTTTACACTGCGCCGCTAGTCCCAAACATCATCATTTTAATTTCTGCCCGGCCGGGAATCGAACCCGGGATCTCTCGGCATAGTCAGTGGCGGATTAACGTATAAGCACTACAAGCACGTGCTTGGGGCCCCTGTTCTCCAGGGGCCTCCATCCTCTGCTGGCGCGCCAGCGTTTCATTTCATACCTACATTTTATAGAGATTTAGCCTATGTTACTCGTTAGTAATGTAGCTTTCAAATGGTGAAAGAATTTTTAAAAAACGTTCCAGTAGTTTTTGAGCCTATTCATTACAACCAAACAAACAAAGTTTTCCTCTTTATAATATTATAGTGTAGATAAAGTAAAGCGCGTTTTCCCAAATATACAAGTGGCGTTTAAAGAAAGAAAGAAAGAAAAATTTATTACGATGAACATCACATACATGACAGAGAAAAATACAGAAATGGCACATAAATATTACAAGGAAATAAAAAGTGAACTGAGCAGTGAGCAGTGCTATCCTGTCGCAACAGCGATGCCCATCGCAATGGGATTCCACTCAGCATATGCCGTGGCCCACGGTGGGGAAGGCCACGACGCTGGTTTTCAGTGGGCCCCATGCCGAGTGGAAGTCACGGACACTAACCTAAACTGCATATCAACAAGGCCGTTTAAATCCTACTAATATTATAAATGCGAAAGTTTGGATGTCATGATGTCTGGATGTTTGGATGTCTGGACGTTTGTTACTCTTTCACGCAAAAACTACTGAACGGATTTTGTTGAAACTTTACAGTATTACTGTTTATAACCCACATTAACATATAGGCTATAATTTATGACGATCTGTGACATACTAAATTTCACGGAAAATAATGTTTTAAGTTTTACATTTCACCTACTACACTTTCTATTTAGATGAACTTTCATTTTATACTTTATACCTTCCATTCCATTCCTTCCATTTCCATTTAAGCAATAGAGGGCCTACACAGGCTCTGTGCTTAAGGCCTCGGATACTCTTAATCCGCCACTGGGCATAGTAGTCCGTTCTGAACCACTACACCAAACGGCCGACTAAAATAATAAAATGTCTCTTTTCAGTTGAAAACCCTGTGAATATGCCGTACTCACATATGCCGCCACCACCATGGAATAGCTCTAAGAGTAATCAGGTAATTTTAGCAGCACTTGGAAAGCATTTTATAAGAAATAACATCTGTACTTTCTCTGTCGACTTGTTCAATTCGGTTGTACAATTCGATCGAGTCAACTGCGCACCCAGGTGCGACTGCCACGGCTGCCAGCTGCTGTGACGTCACATCGTCTCTCTGGTATGGACAGGGCAAACGCGGGGAGAGTATTCTTGTGAGGTGCGCAGTTAATCGATCAGGTTGTACAAGTTGTAGGCATCGGTATATCAAATAGCTGACTTTAGAGACTGTTTTTCATTTACCAGGATATGAGAACCAACCAGTTCACGCAAAACAGCCACTCGCAAACCATGGACCGCCTGATGGGGACTCCTCAAATGTCGTTCCCGCCCTCTATGCCGTTCAACATGATGATGCCTTACGGTGAGTTTGATGAAATTATCATAACTGCATACTACAATAAACAGCAAAACATTGTCTTTTATGCACAAGAGTACAGACCCGTTCCAAACTCGATTTTTTTTTCAAAATAGTACCTATTTCACTGTACAAGAGACGCCACAGATCGCGTAGCAAGAGTTGAGGCGATCAACAAAGAGATTATGTTAAGTATATGCTTGTCGCGCTGAAAACATTTATTCTGTATTCAGTGGCGGGGCAAGACCTAAATTTGATGTGGGCAAGACAGATTTCGCGAGGCCTTGTTCTGTGGCGACCTGAAGACGGATTTTATATTAAAAAAAAACGGGTCAACGGTCTATTCATTGACAGTTTCTATTTCTTGATTCAGTGATTATTTTTAAAGGAATATGGCGCCAAAGAATACCTAATGTTCGTCACTTAAAACCGTGTTGTTGCTTAATTTTGTGTCTGATTATGGCTGAATTTGTTTGGAAAAAAAAATATTTTTTTAACTACATTGTTTAGCTATCAAGAATTTATATTTAATAGTCAATGTTTGCATTTATGGTCGTATTGTGATATTGTCATCTCCACCTTGTATACATTTTTTCAAAATTTTTGATGTGCGAGGCCCCTTGTTCCGCGAGGCCGTAGGCGGTGGCCCACGTCGCCTACGCCTTACGCCGCCACTGTCTGTATTCAAATATTACATCAGTATGAGCATAATATTGTGCTCGCCTCAACTTTCGTTGTGTGACCTATAAACATGGCTCAATCAATATGAGTGTGCATAAGAACATTTTATTTTAAAATGGCACCTATTACAACTACATAAGATCTCTGTACTCAAGTAAGTAATGCAGACGTCCTAACAAAACTGGCCTGTATCCAGGCATGGTGGGCGGCTGCGGTTGCGGCTGCGGCTTCTGGGGCGCGTGGTGCTGGCAGCAGCTCGTCATGCAGCAGCGCGAGATACACCAGCTCAGGGACCAGCTCAACCACGTGAGTGCAATGACGTTCATCGATTTTGAGCTTTATGTCTAGAGTGCAAGGCTTAAAATAAATAGGTCATTTTTGTAGTAGAATTAGGCCTGGTTTCCACCAAAGTGTAGTGCAGCGGAGAAATGTCGGGCTGTCAATTTTTTCTATAGAATTTGACAGCGACGGCGGCGCGGCGCGGTGTGGAGCTGTGCGGAGCGGAAATAATGAAATCTGATTGGTTACTCAAAACACTTCTCCGCTCCGCTCCGCCTTGGTGGAAACCAGGCCTAATGTTTTGTAGAGGCGATGTTATCCTTTCTTTTTTTTATTCTCTAATTTAGGGAAGGTTTCTTTTGAAAGAAAATGACACCCTCATAGAACTCACGATCAACACTATAATCTTACTTACATTATGACGTCGTCTTATCGCTATTTTTACAAGAGAGTACAGTTTTAATGCAATATCGGAAAGTGGGTCAGCTAGAATACTATTAGAAAGCTAGAATACAAATATCAATCTTATTCATATAGTTAATTTCATAAAAGAATTGTACTCTCTCAGAGCTCGTTCCTGACACACTCCATCATGACGTGATACCATACCTTCACATTGTATTTCAAAAATTATCAAGCGGAGAAACGACTGACACTGAGCATTTACTTATGATGTACTTTATTTTCATTCCAGTTGGAAGAGCGTTGGCGTGCCGAGACCGCATCGCATACTCTCAACAATCAAGTGCCTCCTGGAAATCGGGCCAACAACTATTGGGATAACTTCCGAAGGTAAAGAAATTATATTTTATATTTATTTTAAATCATATTATAGTATTTATGTACGACAAAATAACATTATTGTTTCTCTTTTCAGATATTAAAATTTAAATTCAGTTATTTTGTTATGTAATTAAGAGTTATAATAAATTTAATATATTTGCATCATAAGTTTAAATTAATATGTCACAATATTACACCAGTCAAATTATGGTGAGAAATGTGTTATGCTTTACCCTTCGTCTGTATTTATTTATTTATTAATACAATCGCTATAAATATTTACATGCTATATAAATCCACTTTGCTCGTTAGTTACTAAAACGTATTAATTAATGTAATTCAATAACGTTACCTGCGAAGTGCCCGTGTGAATTGATTTGGTTAGCTGTCGTACTAACGCATAACTTAATCAAGTTTTGGAGACATGCAGATCAATCGGCGTCGATAGCTGTAAATGCTAACGAAAAATAAAAATTATGTTGCTTTTGTTGCTCTAACATATCACAAGGGACGTTGATAATATTTATTGTTATAGAAGCCTATTCGTGTGGTTTAGAAGTCAAAGGCGATTTGTGTTCCTAATTTTGGGATTGTAATGTATCACGACGATCGATGTGAATAGTCACCGGGTGCCCCGACGGTCAGCGTGTCTCTAAACAAAGCCTCGTCATATTCCTATATTTTTTTTTTAAAAAGATTATTAGTAATTTGTTATTACACAAATTACTAATACTCCCGCTAGCTCCTCGTACTAAGCTAAATATGCTTGTGTCACGAGTGAGCTCTCCACAATAGTCGAGCGGCGGCGGGGACCGAACCCGCGTTCCCCGGATCACGAGTCGGCCAGTCCGACCCCTTCACCGTTCGGCTATCGTGGCTTTCGCCGATGTATTGATGAATTCGCCGTGTATAACTATCTACAAAGCTTATCATTCTCTTGCAGCTACTCTCGTCAAAACCTCCTATCGGCGAACAGCAAGACGAACGCGGACGGGCACCTGGGCGCGGGCGGGCCGCCGCAGCCGCAGCCGCTGGCCGAGCGCTCGCACAACACATTGACGCGCGCCGCCTCCCACACGCCGCCCGCCAAGCGCAACGACGCCGCCGACCCGCGCCGCCGCAACCTCGCGCCCGACGCGCACCGCCCGCCCGACCAGCCGCCCGCCGAGCCCTCCAACCCCTTCCGCAACCTCAACGTCGCCGACCCCGACCCCGAGGTCGTCCAGGCGCACTCCAACAACCTCAACTCCGCGCCCGCCAAGCGCAAGTCCTCCTCCAAGCTGCCCGCCAAGAACTCCACCGGCCGCCGCAACTGCACGCTCGACTACTCGCAGACCAGCAACGTCAACATCGCGAGCGCCTCCGAGACCCCCAACCCCAACCTGGCGTCGACGAGCCGCGACGCGCGCGACAAGGCCACCTCGAAGCTGTTCGACCTGCTCCGCGAGAACGTCTACTCGGAGGTCACCGCGCTGATCGGCGTGAACGAGTCTCACCCGGACTTCCTGATCCAGCTGTTCAGGGAGCTGCAGCTGATCAGCTCGGACCCGCTGCGGCAGAGAGTTCTGCAGTCGATCCGCGGCGTTCTCTCGCAGTACGGCTCGATCCTGGAGAGTCAGAGCGGCGAGCCCGGCCCCGAGGAGAGCCGGCCCGAGGAGATATCGACCACCTCGGAGGAGGCCGCGAACTATCCCGAGTGCAGTTCGACCACCCGAAACGTGGGCGCGAGCCCGATTCAGATCGACAACAAAATCGTTCGGTTTCTGCTGACCAAAAGTGACGAAGTGTTCACGATGGAAATGATAGAATCTCTGGCGTCGCAGATCCTGGTCGGCTCGCCGGACGGCCGACCCTCGCAGCGGTCGAAGAAGAGGCTCGTCGAGGCGCTCGCCAAGTACGAGGGCATCCGGGTGTCGGACGTTTCTAACGACATAATCGAGAACCTGCCGTTTCTGGTTTCGGGGACCGACGAGGGCGACGAGTCGAGTCAGCTGGCGAGCGAGCGCTCCGAGTCGTCCATATTGCAGGACGTGGCCGGCTCCCTGAACCTGTTCAGCTCGAGCGACGGCCAGCTGCACCAGCTGAACGCGTGTCCCTACGACGTGTGGCCGGGCCACGTGCACATGGACATCGACGGCGGCGACGTGAACGACGCCAGCCCGCGCTCGAGCCAGGAGGGCAAGATGGATCTCCTCAACTGCTCGGAGATGCACAACGGGGACCTGGCCGAGGCCGACCAGACGTGCCGCTCGGAGGGCGAGGCGCGCGACGACGCGGCCGAGGCGCTGCCCGACGTGGTGGACACCGAGGAGCCCACGCCCACTGAGGTAATGCAAAACGCACTCTACTGTAGATGTCTCCCCCTAATCAACTGTGCTAACCGCAACTAACACGGACGCGTATTCGTAATCGTCGAACCATTATCACACTTCATTATCATTATATCACAAAATTTGTAGTGCTGTTATTTTTTATTCAAAGTATCGCGAGAAAATAAAGATAAAACGAAACGAAACTTTTTAGCCAGTTTTATTTATTCCAAAAATCTTGAAATAGCAGTAACAATATCAAAATCCATTCCAAAGTTTTTATATTGTATTGTTCAAGAATTAGAGTCGGGAAAGTAATGAATGACATTGTGGATTTTTCGATTAATGGTGGTGGTGGCATCAATTACTTATTCTCTAATTTTCATTTCCTAATACTTTCCCATCATTTACTAACACTACAGGCATAGCTCATAACTAGCTTCTCGCGGTAGTTGATAGACGCGGGAAAGGTAACATAATTATGACGTAAACAAGTCTGCAGTTTCCCGCCCCCTTGCCGTAACAAAATACCTATCGCAATGCTCCACTATAGCCAGAATCTAGTTATCGCTATGCCTGTTTATTGTCGTGCCAAAGTGCATTGATGAATGACATGCCTCTGTCGCAGAATCCTTATCATTCATGCATTGTACATTTATGAGATCGCTGGGTGTAGTCCAGCATCAATTATCCCTCAAGATCCGAGCTGGTATTCTGATCTCGCTAATTCCCAGCTAGAAGGCCAAATAAATGGTATTTCAATATAAACATATGATAAATCAAAATTGTAGTTTGTAGTTTCATCGTGATATTTTATTTGGTACCTACCTACGAATTTTCTGTACAGTAAATCAAAAGCTTATTATACATATAAATATTATACCTATTGAAAAGGTAACTTTGTGTGTATCCTAATACAGAATTAATAGTCATGAGGCAGTCTCATAATAATATAGGCGAGGTGAGGTAAGCTGAAATTATAGTCTGTCTAGGAAGCTAACTGGAAAAGTTAGTAAGATTATAGGATAATAATAATTGTCTTGTTTCCTACAAAAGATAAATAAATATTATATCGACTCGGAAGTGTGGCTCTTGACCATAATCTTCCTGAGGCATTATAGAGCCCTCTATATGAAATACATAATTATTCTCTTTGGAATTATGGGTAGTAAAGAAGACAACCGATTTTTTTAAAAATTTATTTATATTACAATACTAGTCAGTCAGTAATATCACAGTTCAGTTGAACTCTATACAATAAGAAGTATTCTAAATGATTACATTATACGTAAACTTAACATTAATGCTCAATACATAATACTGTGGTATGTTTACATTTAAGGCGGAAGCGGAATGGCTCGGGCTTGACCGTGTGCCAACAAGGCTGCACATGGGTGAATCGTCTGAAAAACAAAAAGGTGATGTTAATATTCAGTAACATGTAGGAGCAAACACCCAAACTTAGCCTTGGCTAATATACTGTTTGAGTGGCAACTGAAAAGCAATAATAAAATTATTAATCTTCATCACCATCTGTAACAGACAAAGAAAATAAATAGAAATTAATATTATTCTTCCTCTTTTTTCCAGATTAAATCTCGAGAAGTTTGACGAAATCCTGTTAGTTTTTAAATTTATTCCTGTGAATTTTTAGTATTGTAATCCATGATTATTTAATTATCTTAACATTATTTACATGACGTCCTTCATTTGTGTAATATTTATTGGTATAAATAAATATATTATATAATTAAAAACTGTTGTTAAAAATAAAAACTCTCCCAATTCCTACATAGATGTTTATTAGCAAACCCTTATAATCAAAAAACTTTGTTAACCTTAACTACTCATAAAATTTAGTCACATTTTCACGTTTTAGTGTCCCATAAAGTCAGTGGCACTTGATCACATTTTTCTTAAACTATTACATGAAATATATTTCGTTAAAGACACTGTAGGAATTGATAAATGTTCCCGCCATGTGTGTTCCAGTACAGCGACTCCAGCGCATCTTCAATACTCTTGTTTGAATTCTTGATCTCGGTTGTCTCAGGTGCATTGGTTTTCTCTTTTTGTACTTCTGTAGATAAAATGGAAATTGCTCAGTGAAGAAAAAATCTAGTAATAGATTTTTTTATTTAAGTAATTTATTACTTTGCCAATAAGTTCAGAGACTATATCATATGGACCATGAGACAACGAGATATATCTGGATTGTTGTGGGTTGGACGTAGTAAACATGGATTGTAGGTTGAAGGCGACGGCACCATACCCTCTGAAATAAATTCGGACTTCATCACACTGTGGCTTTAACGTCACAGTGGGAAGTCTCCGCTGAGTTTTGTTGCTGTTTCAAGGCCGTATTACAATATGTACAAAATTATTATTAAATACTTATGCCGAGTTGCACCACCTAACTTTAACCGTAACGATAACCGGTGATTCTTGGATGGAGTTTGACAGACGTGTGATGTTTCTTAAAGTTAAAGTAAGATGGTGCAATCCAGCCTTATTGTTTTTAAATCGAGCCAATAAAATGTCGCTTCAAAAATAAGACAACTAATAAGAATGGTCTCAATATGAATAAAAGGAAGTGAGCAATTATTTTATAGACTCAAAATAAAATATACAGTGTTATGAATTTTTAATAATATGGTACAATTTGGAAATAAATAAAGGGCCTAAAACGCATCAAACAAGCTTTAAAATGTCCATAGAAAAAATTCACGAGTTTTAATACATATGACCAATTAAAGTATTTTTTTTTTTAATTGACATAATATTAAACTTATTCTATGCGTTTTAGGTCGATCAATGTGATGTGCTAATTTTGGGACACCTGTATGTTTACAATATGAATGAAGCCAAGGCCTGCCTTTTATTATGTTTATAATCTTTAAATACCGGTGAAAGGGATAAGCTGTTTAATATTCGCTCTAGTGACAAAAAATTCATGAAATGATGTACATTTTACCATCACCCACGCGTACCTGCAAAAAATGTTGGCCCTACCTTTTCGTTTCACAATATCTTTGAAATGTATACCAACTTATCCCTCTCACTTTGTTTAAAAAAGATAGAAAACTAAAACACGGCGCCATTCAAAGATGGCGCATACATAATTTCTTGTGAGAAAAATACCATTCATACCTAAAACAATATCTGAGATATCTTAATAATATTGTAAATACCACTGCCATATATGGGTTTTGCTTGTCTGGTGATCAATCTGTCACGATATTCTGGAAGTTTTATCCGCCGTTTATATCAGAGTAAATTTTTGAGTTGCCTAGCAATTATCCAGTGTATAATTTCGTACATTACATATAAATTTTACTAGACAAATGTGATAAATAAAGTAGAATTTTCGATTCAATACACGTTTCTGGCTCGCTTTTAGTGAAGTTTGCATAGTAAATATTTAACTTTGATGTGGCAGTAACTGAAGGCTTGCTGTTGCATCAGTTACGATCTACCTCTTAGTTTAACGTGGTAGCTACAACATCACGGGGTTTCTGCGTTCGTGGAGACGTGTCGTTTTTTCGTTAAACAAATGCCGCACGACTGGAGATGTGTAGCCACAGCTCTGTTACCAGCCGCACCGCTCTACTACCAAAGGAACCTACTCAGTTGCGCTATGCACAGGCATAGCGTAACATTAACTTAGGTACAGACCTCAAGATAGCAATGTATATTTATACAGGATGCAGTTTTGTAAAACAACGCCCATCTCAGGGGTGGTAGGACACATGAAAGTAATTACAAGAAAAATATAAATAAAATTTTAACTATTACTTAAATAGTGAAAAACCTTGTTCAAACGTCTCCTAAAACTTTCGAGACGGCGCTTGTTACCGCCCGCACCACCCCCGCGTGCCCCGCTACACCACCGAGCACATGCGGCCACCGCCCCGTGAGAGCGGGGGGACTGTCCGATAGCTCGCCTACGTTAATAGAATTATCCTGACTTAGTGGATTTTTCTATGAAAATTCTCATGGTTCTCATTCTCAAAATTAGTGTCGTGTATAGGCTACCACCCCTGAAATGGGCGTTGTGTCACAAAACCACACCCTGTATAGACACATGTCCTTGTAAATCAAAATATATGTTATTGACGATTAAATGGTCGACTCAATTATTTCATTGCTCAACAAAAAAATTATGAAACAGCAATTTGTGGCGGCTTCTAGCAAAAACGTGGCGCAGCGCTAAGGATAATATTTGGGACACAGTATCAAAAGTTATTAAGACCATTCAGGGCCTACGCTAAAACTAGCGCGGCGAACGCCCGTCTCCGCCTAAAAATGCATAGACATATACAACCGCGGCGTGCGCCCGGCTCCCGTGCGTGCGTGTAGAAGAAACACGTCACACGCATTGTGCTTATCTCACTCGTGCGGGCGGGCGCTCGCGTGAGTTTTAGCGGATCCCTCCAAGATCTGCTGCAGCTATGGTGTGAGTTGCATGCACATTTTAAAATAATTAAAAAATCTTAAAAGTATTTTTAACAATTAACACATACAACATCAATTAACAAAATCAACATAGTATCAGACAACATATAAACATGAATGTGTTATTAAAATTTAATTGCATAATTGACATATCTGTTATTTTAGTCCGTAAAATGACTTGACAATGCATTTAAGGTGTTTTTTTAAGCATTTTTGCTATGATGTAATTGGGACTGCCATAACAGCAATGCCATTATCAATTAATAGGGAGGTCTCAGTAATAAACGATAATAGTATACATCTATGTAACATGAGGAAACCTTGTTTTAATACTATGCTACAGTTAGGTTTTTGTTTATTCCGAATTATTGTATTGACAATGTTATTAAAATTACAATAATAACTGTATAGTCCAGTCATTACGTACATTCAAAAAAGAAAATGAATTTGCGCTTCTAATTTTTTAATATGTTGTAGGGGATACCTAGAAAAGCTTAACTTGAGATTGTCGACCAAGCTTTCCTAGGAGCTTTCGCCGCCATGTTGAAAAAAGGGGTAAAATTTGTTTTTCGGCAATAACTCGGCTATCCGATGAGACTCGAAAATTTTTGTAGATATTCGACGGTTATCCGACTGATATGACACTCGCTGGAACGAAAACTTCGGAAAGAGTACGACGTTCGAGAAAAAACCAATCGCCGGAGTTCACATTCGATGAGACAACTACTCCAAAAGTTAGCCAGGAGAAGTTTCTCACAAGGGATCAAAACAAGAACCAACTAATACAAATGCTTTGCCGTTACTTAAAAAAAAGTAATTAAAAAGTAATTAAAAGTAATTAAATTTTACTTTTTACTTTTTAATTAATTATTTAATTATTTCGGAATTTTTCATATTTATTAAGACCCAAAGAAAAAAAAAGAAAAAAACAAAAATTGTGTCCAAAATTTTTGACTTTATCGATCGATATCTCGATAACGATGCATGATACGCTAAAAATGGTTCGGGCGTTATTGTAGAGCACAAAGAAAGCTACAAAAAGTGTCCTACAAAAATTTTCGAATCTCATCGGATAGCCGAGTTATTGCCGAAAAACAAATTTTAAGCGTTTTCCAAGATGGCGGCGAAAGCTCCTAGGAAAGCTTGGTCGACAATCTCAAGTTAAGCTTTTCTAGGTATCCCCTACAACATATAAAAAAATTAGAAGCGCAAATTCATTTTCTTTTATTTGCCTTTTTTTCGGACGAAATGACTGGACTAGTACAAATCTGAAAACATCTATAAACAACTAAAGCAGAATCCTTAGTTTTGTAACACATCTTATTTTGAAAAGTTGCATGGTTTAAAAATAAGACAATTTTTTTCACAAAAGGGTTACATAGAACTAAATATAAATAATGTGGAAAAGATGATATTGAGGCATGGGATTTATGAATCTAGGTGCTAAAAAATTAGTTTTTTTTTTGCTAACGGGTTATTGAGAGAGTACCCATACCATTTCTCATTATGTATGTATGTAATCCATTTTAAATTCCATGAGTAAGTTTTTAGATTATAATTATCATTTAAACTCCTCATTGTACAGTCAAACAAATTCAACATTAATTATATTTGAGCTTTACATTACTGTATAATAGGGATACATTTTGTTAATTAATAAAATACATGACATTGATGCTTGGAATAGCATATTATTTAGATGACAGGAGGTGCTTGGTATTTGCTTGATTGTGAAGAATAGAAATAGCAAAACAATGAGTGGTGTAATTAGTAGACAGATTTCAATTTACATGCATTTCTAAAGTAAATCTGAATCAACTGATCTTTTTCTTCTTTGTAAAACACATCTAGTGTTAAAAATGAAATAAATATTATGATGAAAGAGATAAATCAACAAGTTACCATTTTTGTATTTGATTATTTTATAAATAAAAAGTTCACTCCTGGCCCTTTACAGCATTTTGTTAATACTTCTGAAGCCATAGGACTAGAGTGGCCTAACATTTTTTATACAATACCTATAGGTTTGGTTTTAAAATGTTCGTAAATACAACGTATTGGACTATTTAGGTCCAAACTTCCAAAGCAATCAGGCCACCCTAGTAGTTATGATAAGGTATTTGAAAAAAGAGAAATGACATAACTTTACCCAGCACCAATTTGAAAAAAAATATCAAAAAGATAGTGTAATTGATTGAAACGGCAACAAAACTTAATTTAAAAAATGTTGACCACTATTCATTGGCGCCTACAACATTTATTAGTAAGTAATTAAGCAAATACTTTAATAGATCAAGTTTTTATGATTAAAACACATTCGAAAACATTGTTTACATACATAATTATACTGACAAACATCTGAGACTTCCCACAACTTTACAGAATTGAATTTATAGAAAATAATTAAAAAGACATTTCAAAATATTTGGAAGCAAACTGAAAGATTGAAATGAGAGAATAAATGTCTCAAATCAGTCAGTATGCTTCTTGAAAAATAATGGAATAAAATCTTACCTTCTCGAAAACGTTTATTTTGCGGCATTTCGGTGTCATCTGCACTCCGTTTTCTTGTGTTTGGTTGTATCGTCTGTGTTTGTGGCGGTGACGCTATGTTGTTACCATGCGGTTCTTCTAACATTTCGCAATCGGTATTTACGTGGACATTTTCCGATACCTTTGGATCATGATAACCGTAGTAACAATTTGTTGATATATGTATGTTCTGCTGACATTGGCCCATATAATGATTGGCATCAGTGCAAACAGGAGCAGGTCGCATGGCGTCAAAATTATTTCGGGCGTCTTGCATTCGGTACAAATCGATGTTGCTAGCCGGCATTGTGATTACTAGAACGTTTCACCACGTTACAGAGAATAATGCGATTGCTTGTCCTTGAACGGCGTAAAGCTCCTCTTTAGTATATTTTTCAGGGGATAACTTCGATTCTTCTTACTTCAATAAAAATTGGACAAAAATGCTTTGCTGGCTCGTCTGGCGCTTGATTTTCTTGTCTGTCTGTCACTCTCACTGTCAAAAAATTTCACCGCCTCACCGGAAACGTCACAGCTTTTTTTTATAATTTTCGGGGCATGCAGCGTGGGGTTGAGCACATTAGCCTACAGACAGGGAAAGCTACCCTATAGGTCTGGTTTACCTTTATGTACAAAAGTAATCATCTGTGATTCCAATAAAAAAAAAAGTCAACTGTCAAAATTGACATTTATTTGACATAGAGTTTGTCTAAAATCTGTCGCTTGTCGTGGGCATATTTTTTCTAGACTTAATAATTTCAATTTTATTATTGAATTGAAGGAATTTAGCGGTGTTGTTTGCAGAGAGATTTAAAAGTATTACGTAGTTAATTTTAAAACCTTTCTATATGATGCAATTAACTACCCCTTTATAATTATATAAAATATGTCCTGTTGAAAGATTATGCTTTAATTCTACGAAAACATAGAATTACAGTAAAATGTTACCCTCTATTGCTATCAAATTCTGCTTTCGGAAACTGGGAAGGTGGCCTGATCAATTCAAATATGTGCATAAATTATATTTTGGAAATAGAAGGCTGCAACAAGAGTTTTCGGTCGCCGACAAAATATTTTGCAGATATATAAACACATCTATTCATTTTTACGACAAGAGCAACGCTAAAGATGCAAAAGATTATTCTGAAAACTCATCCATAAAAGATGAACATAAGATAATCAAACAAAGTGCCACTGGTGACATAATAGTTAAAACTGAAACTGATGTTGATAAAGTAGTCACCAAAGTTACTATAGAAAAGTCACAACAAGAAACAACACCTCCACCACAACAGCCTACGCCTGCTCCAGGTAATTTGGCAACTATGTAGCATCTGGTTACACACACTTCAACCATTATTACTCTTCTTTATAAAATGATTTTACAGTAAACTATGCTTATGCTTTCAGTGAAAAAGAGGCTTTTAATAGATTTTTCGGCATCTTATACTGAGCGGAACTTCATTACTCCAATGCGTGCTATGACAGAGTATTTGCTCAAGCAGTCTGATCTTGAAACCCTTCCTAAAGTTTTGAGGAGGTCACCTTATGAAGCAGAGCCACCTATAACAGTTTATTATAGAAAAGACGTTGAAGCCAAAGCCATTGAGGTAATGTTTAAAATTCAGAAACAAAGTCTGTGCTGTCCTTTGAATGCATTTTTGAGTATAAAATTACTTGTTCTACCTAAATTCAAAAACATCTACTAACTAAACTTTGTTGAGACTGTGCTATTTAATAGTGTAGATTCCCTTTTCTATAATATTCAAACTAATTAATATCACAGGTCTGGGGTTCAAAAGAAGCCTTAGAAAAGGAATTACTAAGACGTGAGCTGGACAGGCGAAGATATGAGCAAGGTAATGCTAAAAATTATATACTATTTTTATATTTATTCATCCAGATTCCACAAAAACTGTTTTTGTTATTAATCTACAATTTTGTTTAACTCCGTAGATGTGTTCACTGTAAAAAGAAGGTTAAGAAATTACAGACGTGAGATGAGCCACAAACGCCTAAGACCTGAGACAGAGGAATTGGGCTTAAAGACTAGATCTGGTAGAGTAGTGCTCACTGCAATAGGAATGTAAGTAATCATATCATCTTTAATAATGACTTAATCCAATGACCTTAACTATACCCCATTTATTATTTGAGTTAGAAAACTGAGATTTGCACTACTTTAAGTTTCATTGTTTATTAGAATCAATGGTTAGAGTATGTAACATGGAATTATTTATTTTTTCAGAAATGGATGCAACTTTTTGTTCAAACTATGTGCCTGGTTCTATACTGGATCACATAGTTTATTTTCGGAATGTATTCACTCACTTGCTGATACAGTCAATCAACTGATTTTGGCTTATGGTATACATAAATCTGTGCAAGTAAGTATTATAAGATGGACTCTAAGCAATGTTTAAATTTAGCCCTCCTAAGTATTTAAGATGATGATAAAATCTATGTAGGACTGAATAATCTTTTGTAAATATTCTAGATGGCAGATCCTGATCATCCATACGGATATACAAATATGAGATATGTATCATCCCTAATATCTGGTGTTGGTATATTTTGTGTTGGAAGTGGATTGTCATTTTACCATGGAGTCACTGGCATTCTTGATCCTCAGCCCTTACATGATTATTTTTGGGTAAGATTTAAATTGTTTTAATATTTTACTACATAAAAATGTTTCTTTTTCAAGTATTACAATTTTACTATTGAATTTTTAGGCATACTTTGTACTGGGTGGAGCAGTTGTTTCTGAAGGTGCAACATTGATGGTTGCATTAAATGCTGTTCGTAAGGGTGCAAAAGAAGCAAATGTTCCTCTGTATGAATATGGTAATAATCATCACAACCCAGCTTAGGAACTTCCCATCCCTTTATTAGATTTTCCTGGGCCATACTAGAATTAAAAGAGTATCTAATATCCCTTTCCGACCTTTACCAGTGCTTGGATTACAGTAAATTCGAAATATTCAGTGTTTATATTTACTACTTTGTGTTTATTTTTAGTGATGCGCAGCTCAGATCCGTCTGTAAATGTAGTGCTACTAGAAGACACGGCAGCGGTTGCTGGTGTGACCGTGGCCGCGTCCTGCATGGCTATATCTCAGTACACTGGCAATCCCTTGCCCGATGCGATCGGCAGCATCCTTGTGGGCACCCTGCTCGGTGGCGTAGCCTCCTTCATTATCCTTAGTAATGTTAATGCACTAGTTGGCAGGTAAATTATTATTGTTCTTAGACAATATCAACCAAACTTGTTGCATGATTGTTAATATTTTTTTAATAATTCATATTACTTTCACTGTTCTTGCATTTTAAAAACATATTTCGTTGTGCTTCAAGGAGAATCTAAAGAATAAATTAATTTTCATTTCAATCTAAAGTTACAATCACTTTTGTTTGCTTTAAAAACAAGACCCATTTATGATTTTGTTCTTTTTATAGACTGCTTTATCTTATCATTATGAGATGTTTTTGTCTTATTTTGCAGATCCATTCCTCAAGAACAGTTGGACGAGATAAATAGTGTTTTAGAGCGAGACTTCATGATTAGAGCCATTCACGACGTGAAAGGCATAGATATTGGAAGCAATCTAATAAGATATAAGGTTTGTACTTTCTGTTTGTTTTTGGGCGTCGATTGTTGCCTACTGGGTATAGTCCGGTCGCCGAGCAAATTCGTCCAATGACACCAACACTCACTGCGGCCACCCGGCACACAGACAGACAATATAATGAGAATCATTTCGATTTTTAGCTGTGAATGCAGATTTATAGGGCTAAGAAATCTTTAATACACAGTCCAATTTTTGTTCTACGACAAAAATTGACGAAGTTATGGCCAAATTACTAAAAAAGTTCACTGACCGCCCGGCGCGGGACCGTTGACGTCATTGTATCCGATCCGAACGCTGCCGGCGTACTGCGTGGATAGAAAATATTTTTTTCTAGCTAAACTATCAGTTTGAGAGAAAAACTTGTAATGACATATATTCATCAGAATAAAGTAAGCTATCGATAGGTAATTTTAAAAATAGAAATTGTGAAAAATAACGCAAAAAATCCATACGCTCATACGATTCAATGGAACGCAGAGACGCGATTGGGGTCTCCGAGGTGGTATATTTGGCGATTTATTCAAATAACTCTATGTAAAGTGTTCATAAGTGTTGTTAGATAGAGTCATATCTTCTTCCAAGTAAAATATAAAAATGTATAAGTATTAATTTATTTACTTCTAACAATAAGGTATAGCTGAGGCAGATACACTCTGCCTAGGCTACAAGACATTTCTATGCAGATCATTTCGATGTACACGCAATACCTACCTGTTATTTAGTTTTTCTGAGTTAAACCTACGTACCTACCTATCTAAAAGTTTTTTTCTAAAACTGATGGTTTAGCTGGAAAAAAATATTTTCCATCCCAATAGTACGCCGGCTGCGCTCGATTCGGATATAATGACGTCACGCGGCCCTGCGTACGTTGACTTTTAGCGGCAAAAACGGCCTATGTTTATTACTTAATATCTTCGTAAGTAATGGTCCGATTTGGATAATTCAAAAAGATATATCTTTCTTATGTCTTAAAGATTAACGTAGATACTAGTTTTATTGAATTTTCTACAACAGTACTGATCCTCATTACGAGCGAGCGATAAAGATGGGTAGCTTGGGGTCATTGGACGAAATTCTACGTGCTCGGCGACCGGACTAGACAGCTTTACGTTTACTTTTAAGTTTTTGTTTTAACAAATCATTCTCGTGTTTCAGGCTGAAGTGGATTTTGATGGAAGAGCACTTACACGATCATATCTAGAAAAACATGATCTAAACCTGTTATTAGAGGTATGTAGCCCTTTACTACACTTTAATAAGGCATGAACTTAATCACATTTACTAATGTTTTAATTTTATTATTCAAGGATATGAAAAAAATCGAAACGATTGACGATGTCGAAGCCTTTCTTCTAAAACATGGTGAAAACATCGTGGACATGTTGGGTGGTGAAATAGATAGAATAGAGTTGAAATTACGGGTAAGTAAAATTAAATAAAAACTTAAAAGTGAAATGCTATCGGAAGACCATGTTTCTAACAAAGTCTTTTCTTTTTCAGAAAAAGTTCCCGCAAGTTCGTCATTGTGATTTAGAAATTCTCTAAGGCACAGCTTCATTCTATTTAGTTAAGCGAGTACTTGGAGAAGTCAAGAATAATAATACGTATTTAATATTTTTTCTTAAATTTTAAGTACCAAGTTACACAGCACTGTTTTTCTAATGGATATGCTGGAACTTGACAAGTTATTATTTACACAAACATTGTGATGTTACTTTGCTCGGAAGCTCAACATAAACATTTAAAAAGTACCTACTCGAGCATAGATTTAATCCTGTGATTCGTTAATAATTTTACTAATGACAGACTTGATATCCTTGAATTCAGCAGATTCATTTATACGTGCTGGCTGGACAGGCCGTATCCGAAATGACACTCAAAATGCCTTTCTAACTCGAGTACAGATTCAAATCTATGAATGATTTAGACCTAGCTACAGTCAAGTGACGATTGCTTGCATGTTGCGTAAAATTAATCAAAACTATCTACATATGTCTCCGAGTGACAACGTATTTTGCATAACAAATATGCACAAAATACGCCTGTCGTCATCTGAAAGTTGTATGCATTCGTCAAATGACGAACCGTGGACAGGGTGTGCTTATACTACCCGTTCGCGCTAAGTTTGCCGGTCTGTGGAATGCGCGTCCCCTTCCCCAACCGCGATTAAACGCAATTAAGTGTCTTATTTTACGCAAATACACAATTTTTATCAATATTAATAAATAAAAAATATTTTCAATATGGTTTGCTATAGTTATAGACGCTTTCCTTCGAGTGACGTCATATCGCCAGCGGCAAACTTATCGCGAACGGATAGTAATATGTTTTTAGACTATGTATTCTATTCATTCTATAGATTTTCTCGAGTTTAAATGCAATTTTGGACTGACATTTTATAAATAATTATACGCCTCAGATACAGATTGTAAAAGAATCACGCCCAACTAATAGTGGTCACGCCCTCTTGTATGGTTTTTTATTTTTATCTGTAAAGTGGCTTCCAAAATTCGAGCAAAGTGACTACCTACCGGGACGGACATAAATGTTATTCCGAATTAATTGTTAATCCATTTAAGTATATTAATATTATGTTAAGTAGGTAGCTTCAATATAAAGATATTATCTCTTTTCTTCTTTACCAACAGCGGCGCGTGAACGCTGATGTTATGTCTAGCTAAATAATGTCGAAGTAATTTTTTAAATTCTCTCAACACGTTTCTCTGTGATTTAGTTGTAAATAAAATATACTATGTAAGTATGTAATTGTATAGGTGTAAAATTTCAATAGTTAGTTGACAAAAGCTAGCCAATGTACATAAGTGTAGAGATATTTATTATTAAACGTTGAAGTTAAATTTCGTTACTGCTTTCTTTTGTTAGCCTTCGGATAATGTGAAGATTAAGACTTAATCTCACATTATTTAGTTATGAAACATGATTTTTTGGCTTTTATCACAATATTTCCCAGCATGAACGTTTGTGAATGCCGCGAACATGCATAAAAAGTGTAAATCAAGTAATAAAAATATATTTCTTCTGTAGGTACTACATAATAGTCTTGAAAAAAAACCTTTCGAATATTCAGGTAAACAAAAATTATTCTTTGTACAATAATATCAATGATTTGTTTCTGCAACCCTGTTCATTCAAGTTCAAGTTTTTCTTTTTTCATCAATCTTTATTGATAGATAACATCACAAAAAAATAAATGACAGGCAGGGTATTGTACTTAAACCACATATTCCAATTATTATAATTTAATCGGTACAAAATATAACAACTCCATTTAACTTATACCTGTCCTGCCTTTAATTAATAATACAATAAAATACACTGTGACATGATGACACAAAACATGTAGTAAATCAGTGCTTGACAATAAATTATGTTGAAAAAATGTGATAAAATGTTTAATTTAAATTATTTACTTTTATATAAGGCTACCTATCCATCATTTATTCATCCTTCAAACCACAAAAAAATAATTAATAAGAACATAGATTTTAATAGATGACACAATATGAGGTTTAACCCCTTTATTCATAAAAATAAAACAGATTTACCACATAACATACAGTTTTATGTAAATATCTCTCTCTTCTCATCACAATCAATTGAGATTTGACTGAGAATAAATAAGCATTAATTAGCTAGAATAGTAATAAATGTTTTAATATTTATGATTAAAGGGATATAAATTATATAGCTAACTTTCAACCACCTTTTAGTCTCTCAAATATTTTTAAAATATGTGACATATTTTATTCAGACTCCATATTTATACTGCCCAAATAAAAGATGGGGATCATGATATGTAATACATGTAACCAATACAAATTTTAAAATGCAATGAAATGGAATTGGATGACTTTAACAACGCCAACAGTATCACAGCTCATTTATGTTCTCCCTTGAAATACATACTTGAAGCATACTTAATAACAAAAAAGATATATCTTTTTTGGAGATAAAACCTACAATGTCTTCAACAAAATTATATAGCGGGTTTAGTTTGGGGTAAACATAGATTGTAATGAGCAACTTTGTTCCAAAAATCTGAATTCTTCCAACCGCACCACCCTTTGCTTACCACTACAGCCAGATCTTCAGAACCAGTATAATGTGGATCTAATATGAGATAGCGAGTTTCGTTTGTCAGAGAATTATATTCCACGCCTAAGATGGTATGCGCAAGGACTCCTCCACCTGAAAAAGGAAAAAATATTGTTATTGACTTTATAAGGATAGAAGGGATTTTTTGTAAGCTCAAGAAATTCAACCTCATTCTCTTTTATGAATGTTTATTTTTGTGTTTGTGCAAAACTGACTTAATTTTTATTGGATTGTAATATTTATAGCTAAAAGTATACTCACCAATCATGATAGGGCTACCATGCGTTTGAAAATGATGTACCAGCTCAGGGGCATAACTCTGAAGTTCCGATCCAGTGTTTGCAAAGATAATTCTTGATGTGACACCAAGTAATGTTTCCAAGCAAAACATAACTTCAGTGGATCCTATCCACTGTTTGGAACCAATAAATGATGAAGGTTTATCTCCAATTTTCACGAGGCACTGTTGAATTTCTTTATGGGTGGGTACTTCTACTGTAGTATATCCTTGGTACCTAAAATACGAAAAAAATTGATAACAATGTATAAAATATTCAGCATAAAACCGAAATCAAGATAAATTCATGTCACAAAGCATACCTGAACCAAGAAAAAATTGTTTGCATGGAGCGGTAAGCACATCCCCATCCATCATCATTGAAGTTGTCTTGCATGTAATGGTGATAGGTATATCTGCCTCGAACTAAAGCCACGGTAACATCAGGCTTGACGGTCGGTGGGATGGCTTCATGTGGATTTATTAATCGCCCACCACTTTTGTCGAAGTATGCATTACCTCTGCGGAATATGGGCCTGTTTGTGGGTAATGCCAACTGTTCATGCAGTGCTTGTCTTTCATTTTCTGTAAGTTTTTAAATTAGTTTAAAAAAATATTGTTCTTAAGAAGATTGTGTCAAAATTTGAAATTAAATATTTTATAATTATCATCAGTCAGAATCACTTACCCATACTTTCATCTGGAATTCCTTTTGGCACTACTCTTGTTAGAAAATGACCAATTTCTTGAGGCAAATAATGAAATGTTTCTGGCAAACGTAAGCCTGCTCCATCACCAATACCTTCTTGTCCTAAACCAAGCAAGACAAAATAAATTAAACAGTTCCTACTAGAGATGAAACGGATATCCGGTAACTATCCGGTAGGCCGGATATCCGGCCTAAATTTACTATCCGGCCGGATACCGGATAGTAACTCACTATCCGGCCGGATACCGGATATTAAAAAACTACGACAATTTTCTATTAATAAAATGAAATACATTAATCTTTGAGGTAAATATCAATAAAATGGCTTATAATAATGACGGTTTTTGTTTAAAGTCCAAAAAGTTACAAAAGCCATTATTAAAGTCTTTCAAAAAACTAATTTCTCTTTCTGGGCTATTCACTCTAATGACGAATACATAAATAGTAAATATCTGTTAGTGTCGAAATATTGCCAAATAAAAAAGGCGATCTTTTTTTCACTGATGGTTTGATGACATGATGCATGCAGTTCAGTCAGATTACGCAACAAGTAAACTAATTTAATTTTCGCTATTCAATCACGCACGATAGCAACCGAAATCGCCCGTTGATCTGCCCCCTAGACAAGTGGCAAAATCTGACATTCTATTCGGACGGATTCGATTTTGACATCGTGAAAAGTGTGACTAGTCTAGTCTACTAATACCCACTGATCGCCTTCGAAGCACTTGTGCGGCGCTAAACTCGTCACGACATGCAACGAGACAATGGGCCAACTATCCGGCCGCCGGATATCCGGCTATCCGGTATCCGGTATCCGGCCAAACAACTATCCGTTTCATCTCTAGTTCCTACTCTAAAAACATACATTTCTTTAAATTAAATAAACTTGTACATACCCAACTGTTCTATTAGCACACTTTCTAACAATCTGAGTGACCTACACGATGCTTCTACTAAAACTGTGTACAGGTCAAGTAACTTGGTGCTGCGGTGGATCATGGCCAGAGTATCTACCCTCAGCGGCATGCTAATGCAAAATGCAGCTGAAAATACATCAATTTACTTTTATTTTGCACTGGTAAACAGTTTACTGAAACTAGGGTTGAGTGAAGATAAAGATAAAGATATTTATTTACATAAACATGTGTGAAAACATATTACAAAGCAACATGATTTGGTCTTACAGTTTTAACAGGTGATAGGTACAACATGTTTTACCAAGATATTGGCATGTAAATGATATGTCAAGTAAGAATGTCAATAATACATTAAGGGCTGATTTTTCAATCGTCGGATAACTTTTAACTGAAGAATAAGTTTGGCACAATGACAGTTTCAGTACGGAAAATATGTCAAAATGACAAGTTTATTCTTCAGTTAAAAGTTATCTGACGATTGAAAAATCGGCCCTTAAATTCATAATAACAATAGGTACATCTGATAATAAAATTGATAATAAAAGTAAAATTAAAATTAGTCAAATTTTGTCACTCAAGAAGTCTTGTACAGTATAATAGGCCTTGTCAATTAGAAAATGTTTGTTTCTTTTTAAACATAACATTATGTAATTGTTTCAAGTTTTCTGGGATTTTATTATATATTTTTGGTGCCATACAGATAATACTTTTATTTAATAATGTGGTTTTGGCCAAATGTAAGCAAAGACAGTCCCCACCGCGGCGATTACGTACAATTACATCAGACATTCGAGGAAATAGATGGCGATTGCTTTTAACAAATAAGGCTGTTTCAATGATGTACAGAGACGGAAGTGTCAGAATCTTATGCTTAACAAACATTGGTTTACAGCTATCAGTGATTTGAAACCATCATGACTTACGTTTTCGTTGTGTTGTCATCATTTTAACGGCAGTCTTGACAAGCTTCTCAGACAAAATATCTTTTGTCGCCTTCATCACTAGGTTGACAGGTACCACTTCCTTCAAAGTAACAATAATAATAAGAAGTCAGTTATAAATATAATAATAATAATAATAATAATATAAGCCTTTATTACTGGATTACAAGGTATTTTTANTCCATATATCAACACTGACAACATACATTCACGTAGACAACCGTAATTTTTAGTATCACTAACCTTTTTTTTTATGCATAACAAGGCAGGTATTTGACCACAATCGCACCTGATGTTAAGTGGGATGCAGTCTAGGATGGTACATATCTGCCCTGTAAGTGCTTATTCACTCTCGCCTTGAAGAGGCCCGGATTATAGTTTTCGGGAAAGACAGCAGCAGGCAACGAATTCCAGTTCCTAGCTGTTCGCATTATAAAAGAGTCATCGAAACGCTCAGTGCGAGCTGGTGGAATGTCAACAATATAGGGATGGTACGCTAACCTGCGTCTGGTTCCCCTGTATGGAAACTTTTGCCCGAGTAATGAAATATTATTAAATTGATATTATTAATATTATCAATCAGTTATTAGTCTCCACTGCAGGAGCATGACCCTCTACTTTACCAGAGGCAAATGGAGGATTTGGCATACACTCCCCCACACTGGCCAGACGGATTGGGGAGGCTGATTATCAAGTAGTGTTTAAAGAAATAATCCCAACTTAATATTATAAATGCGAAAGTAACTCTGTCTGTCTGTCTGTCTGTCTGTTACGCTTTCCCGCTTAAACCTCGCAACCGATTTTGATGAAATTTGGCATAGAGATAGTTTGAGTCCCGGGAAAGAACATAGGATAGTTTTTATCCCGGTTTTTGAAACAGGGACGCGCGCGATAAAGTTTTTCTGTGACAGACAAAATTCCACGCGGGCGAAGCCGCGGGCGGAAAGCTAGTAATACATAATAAAGATCAGCCTACTTATAAACCTCTTTATTTACAGGGTGATCACTGCAATTCTAGTGATATTGGGCCACACGCCCATCCCGCTTCTGATCGCATCTGAAAACCCCATGTGGATAGAAAAAGTAAGAGAAGTAAAACTTTTGCTTTGATACGTCTTAGTCCATATACTTGCAATTAATTCTGCAATTGAATACGTTTTTCCCTTAAACCTTGAAAGAGGAAAGGCAGTAAACGTGATAGTTTGCAAACGAACAAACTTGCTAATGTATAAGGCTGAGTTGCACCACCAAACTTTGACCGTAATTTTAACGACAACCGGTGATTTTTGTATGGAGTTTGACAGATTTTTGACGTTTGTTACAGTCAAAGTAAGATGGTGCTACCCAGCCTAAGTCATCAAACTAATCGCTTTATGTGTACCGTAGGCCTACGACTACCCGCCGATGCACGTCCTGCTGCAAGGTCACCTCATCACGCTGACCTTCTTCCTCATCTCCGGCTTCCTGCTCGCCTACAACTTCCAGCTGATAGCCGAGAAGACAAAGTTCACATGGAAACTTCTCCCGAGGGCCATCTTGAACAGATTTTTGAGGTAACACATGGGTTTTTTCAATTTATTTATTTAAGGATAGTACACAGCACAATATCAATTTGAACCATGTGTTTTATGACATTTTGTAGGCCAATTATGACTATCCAACATTAAATATTTCTACATACCTTCTCGAGTGACAATTATTATGGATTTAAATTACTGAAGGGAAGCATAAATATTATAGTTCGAACAATGATCCATCACACACTGCACCATGCATACCGAAAGTTTTTTTTTAGGGTTTTTGATTTTTTTTTAGGGTTTTTGATTTTTAATTATACTTATGACACAACTTATGAGCAGCAAATCACAGTTGTATAATTTACTTCACAGAGTGACACCAATATGCATCATGGCGCTCTTGCTCACCGCCACTTTGATGAGGCACACCACACAAGGACCATTTTGGGAGGTAGTATTTGTGCTGTTTACTTTTTACGAAAACCATGCCATATGAGTAGGTAGGAATAGCTACTAAGGCCCAAACCTTATCCGGTTGGAAAACTAATGGTAAGTATATGGTAATATGCAGATTTACCCAAAAAAAAATTGATAACCGCGAAGAAACTAGAAACAAACGAAAAGAAGCGTCGGAGTCCGGAAGATTAAAATGACAAAAGACTTACAAAGTTTTTGCAGAAAATCTTAAATTATCCTCGTCAAAAAGGTAATGATTAGTGTGGGGACCGTGAATATTATTTAATTCAATTTATTTATTGAATTGTAGGAGATCATAGGATGGGAGGTGCGAGACTGCCGCAACTACTGGTTCTACAACTTGTTCTACTTGAACAACTACATCGACCACTCGCAGTGCATTCTCCAGACATGGTAAGAGATTCATTGTTTATTATCATATTTATCATACTATGATTGTACTAACTGTTGCCTATTTTGCAAATAAAGTACATAATAGTTCGCGCAAAATTAAAATCACAAAGTATGGTAGGTACCTACACAAGCTGTGAAGGTGCGTATTTGATCATAGTAACGTCACAAGTACTTAACATCTACGAGGTGAATAACGTACCTACACAGAATCAGATGAAAAACAAGTTATAAAAGAGAAATAGTAAAATAAATTGATAATCAAAGTAACGTACCTCGTTAATGATCTCGGGATGATATTCAGGGCCTGGGCTGTACACTGTCTTCAATACACATTAGCACTATTCACTACACTTTCACGGTTTTAATTACACCTAAGCATGATCATATCTATAAACCACTTGTACCACATTGTACTTATAGCCTGACCAGGAACATAAAAACCCTGGCATAGAGGCGCTTCAATTGCATTTGATAGTGCAACACTGAGTACAGTCGTACATGTGTTAAATTAATAGGCTAAATTTATGTATCAGGATTCAGGATTACGGGCTAATTTGATATTTTCATAAATTAACGAAAAATATTATTAAAGGTAACCAGGTTTAAATAAATTAAATGAAACCATCAATCGAGCTAGTAGGATTTATTTTATTATTCATCAATAATCAAATTCAGAACTTGAATATTCAACTGCAATGTCTGCTCATGAACGCTTCAAACTCAGTACTTCTTTCCCAATTCCATAAAATTCAAAACTTAGAAAGTTTCAAAAAACTTTAAAATAGGTAGTTGAAACAGACTACAGCTAATTTTCATAGTGGACTGTACTATACGATAAACATGTCAGTCAATTTGACAATCTTTGTCGGAAACATTATTCAATGAAAATATTGTCCGAACCCTTAGTATTTCTCTTCGACAAATACATTAACACATCGTGAACCACTTTTCTTTCACGACTATAAAAATATTATTCACAAAATCAATAGCAAACATTTAAAATAAAGTTTGTTTACACTTTGACAACAATAGACTGACATGCAAGGTGACATGTCAATGAAGTTTTCAGTTACTGTTGCCATTAAAAGAAATTAGTACCATTAGTTTTCCGCAACATGGCGAGGGTTTTTATGTTCCTGGTCAGGCTATAATATTAGTACCTACTCACCCCGAAAAAAAAATGAACTCCTTAGATCAAAACAGCGACCGCTATAAAAACTGAAACGATAATTCCCATTTTTAAACTTTCATGGTCACTAACACTTACAAACTGAACTAAATAATCACGGGATTTCTACCATTATACTTTTTTTGACGAGATTCCGATATTTCGGCGCAGTCGCATGCACCATGATCGCGGCACGAAAGAACTGAGGTAGAGAAAAACGGTTGGATATTTACTTGAAAAAAATCGGTGTACCCTCTTTCGGGTGTTTTATTATAATACTTCATCTTTTTTATGGCAAAGACTGTGGCACTGGAAACCACGAATTTGCCAATGTTACGTGTGAGTCTTAACGATAAACTTAAAAACAGGTTTTTTTAATATGAAATAATTTAACTGCTAATTATTTTCAAAAGACTGATATTATTGACATCTTTCAAAGTATCAAAAAAACGTAACTCCCATTTTTCGTGTTCCAAAATTAAATTCTGTTTGCCCACTCACAGATTAGAGAGATTTGTGTACTTATACCGAAAAGGATTTATTCAGGTATTTAAACATTTTATTTATAGCCCGACCAGCCCCCCTAGACAAAACGCACTTTTTGATCGAATCGAAAATCGAATCCGTCAAAACTCCATACAAAAGAGGGGCTTTTCGACCACTTTTCGACGACTGGTTTGCGATTATAATTTGCACTTTGTCTAGACCCACAGGAACATAAAAACCCTCGCCATGTTGCGGAAAACTAATGGTACTAATTTCTAATAGTTATATGGGAAAACTTGAAATTCTATCGTCACCGAGCATAATTTTGAAACTAAGTATGAATAATTTATTTTAGGTACCTGGCGTGCGACATGCACCTGCACATCATCGGCATGGCCGTGATCGTGCTGTCGCCCAGCACCAGGGTGCGCTGGTGGGTCATGGGTGCGCTCTACGTCATCGGCACGCTCTGGCCGGCATACCACATCTACTCCATGGACCTGGACGCCACACTACTCGCCAACCCCTCGTGAGTCACTTGCCATTACCTCTTCTGTAGTCTCCCAGCGCTAGGATGCGCTGGTGGTTCATGGGTGCGCTCTACGTCATCGGCACGCTCTGGCCGGCATACCACATCTACTCCATGGACCTGGATGCCACACTACTCGCCAACCCCTCGTGAGTCATTAAACTTTTCTTCTTTCTTCTCTTCCAGCTATAGCTATCTCACTTTTACGACCGTTGTAGCTTGTTTTTTAACCACACCCAGGAAACTTTTTCCTGCATCTCACCTGATCAAAAGTAGCCTTATTCACGTAACAAAACTTCAACGACAACAAAACACTGAGATGCGATCCTATCGAGTAATCGTTCTATCAAAATGACCCTTGTGAATACGGATTTAGAACTTTTTTTCAATGGGACGACTTCTGTGTACCTACCATGAGTTTACGTTAGGTGTGCTCGCTAGCGAGTACGTCAAAAATCTCTATGAAGATTTTGTTTCGTGAATGTAGCCGCTAGGGGCACTGCACAATATGTCATACAATTAATGTCTTTTTTTACGCAGTCGCTAGCGAGCACACCTAACGTAAACTCATGGTAGGCACACTGAACGTCAGCTAGATCTTGACTGTCAAAATACGTGAATTAGGCCACAGGTCGAGGGTGGAAGCTAGCTTCAACCGGAATCTTCTCAAGCACTGAGGTCACATTCTTAATGCGCATTATCATAGGTACCTATTTGAATCTGCTTCTGTGTTCCTGAATCTATTGGACAATATTTACCCGAGTGCGCCAGAAGGAGGGTTAGTTTTTGTAATCCTGGAAAAACTAATTCCATCAGCTTGCAGCCTTAGGTGAGAATGCAAATTCCATTCTACTGTTCCCCATGGCATCAACGGTATGAAACTCCTAGACGGCTACACTGAGGCTTCGGGCGACACCATGAGCGCATTACTCTCCTCGCTGTACCCAGACGATCGACCAGAGGCCGATACCCCGTACCATCGCGACGTACGTGTTGCAGCAGCTTTCGCTCCTCCTGGGAGCGACTCACCGGAACCCAGTAAGGCGTCTATCGACCTTATTGTCCGCGCACTTCCTAACACAGCCGCTGGTTCGGACGGTATCACTGCCAAAATCGTCAAGTGGGCTTGGAAGGCGGCTTCGGACGAGATGTGGCATATGTATCGCATCTGCATAGCTGAGGGTACTTTTCCAGACATCTGGAAAGTAGGTAGACTATTGGTCCTCCCGAAGGGAAACGGTAAGCCTCTCTCTGACCCGAAGGCTTATAGGCCTATTACTCTGTTGCCGATTCTTGGTAAGATTCTGGAGCGCGTCATCATCTCCTGCGCTCCCTGCCTGCACCGACATATATCTGACTCTCAGCACGGTTTCACCCGTGGCCGGTCTACGGTCACGGCGCTCAAATTCATTAACTCGATCACCGAGAACAGTACTGCGTCATACGTGCAGCTGATCTTCCTGGACATCTCCGGTGCTTTTGACAACGCGTGGTGGCCGATGATTTTGTTGAAGGCCAAACAGGCCGTAGCCCCGCCTAATATCTTTAGGTCATTGGTCAGTTACTTTACAGACCGGCGTGTGGGCCTCTACGTAGGGGCTCAAACGTCGTGGAAGCGCAGCACCATGGGATGTCCCCAGGGATCAGTGTTGGGCCCGACACTCTGGAACCTCCTACTCAATGACCTCCTGCTGCTGCCGTGTCTTGAGGGGGTACACGTAATAGCGTACGCAGACGATGTGACGATCGCAATCGAGGCTACGTCACGTTCTGAGATCGAGCGTAAGGCCGCGTCTATTTTGGGAGCTATGTCCGATTGGGAAAACCGTAACAGACTTGGTTTCTCCCCTGGAAAGTCTCTCACAATGACGTATAAGTGTAGATTCAAACGCTCTCCCGTAATTAAACTTGGCGGCGTCTCCATTGCGAACGTCACTCAGGCGACAGTGCTTGGTGTGACCGTGTGACCCTCGACGAGGTTAGGTCCTACGTGCCGCATGCGAAATTGATTGGTTTAAGAGCTGCCAATGGTTTTGGCAAGATTGCGCGTGTCAGCGCGACGTCAGGGGCGTGAGATTCCCCGCCCTAAGTGTGCTGTACGCAGGCATTTATGTGGCCACATTGACGTACGCTGCGGCCGTATGGTACCGACGCTCGTCGATTTTTGTGATGAGAAAGGTGTTGTTGAGTACTCAGCGACCGGCGCTTATTTTACTCACGAAGGCTTACAGGTCGTGCAGCTCGGCAGCGTTACCGGTGCTTGCCGGCGTATTGCCCGCCGACCTGGAGGTCTCTCGTGCAGGACGACTTGCGGAGGAGGGAATCCAACTGGCCCCCAGGGAGCGCCGGGAATTGAAGCGCACCATTAGAGAGGATGCCGTGACCCTTTGGCAGGAGCGGTGGGATGCCAGCAGTGACGGACGTGAGCTGTACCAGTTCTTTCCCATTGTGGCGGTGAGGCTCTCTCTCGGCTGGGTTGAACCGGATTACGTGGTTTCCCAATTGTTAACTGGGCACGGGTGCTTCAGGCAGCGCCTACATAGGATGACGCTGTGCGAGTCTGCACTATGCCCATGCGGCGAGGAAGTCGAAGAGAGCCGCGATCACGCGCTTTGGGAATGTAACCTTTATGACGAAGCTCGACAGAAGATGCTGGATGCGATACGGAGAGCCGAGCAAGGACCTGTTTATCACCAGGACCTCACGAGTAGTCGTAGTAATTGGATCGCGCAGCGCGAGTTCGCGCACTCCTGGCACACAATCAGGCGAAGTTACGAGAAGTGATGACATTCATCAACGTTAGCAGCCCGACGCGAAGTACCGTATTTGTGGTGTCAAGCCCCAGAAGGGGGAGAATTGACAATGAGAAGGGACAAGGATAAGAGAAATTTGTAGGGAGTCAAGCAAAGCGCCCGGGGAAAGAGCCCCGAGCAAGTACCTGCGCGCTCTCCCGAGATTCGGTTCGTACGCCGTGAGGCAGGAAGAACCATGGGTGGTGGTGGGATTTGTTCCCCATGGCGTTCTACGGTCGATGTCCAGCAATAGGCTATAAGTAGTTGATGATACTGAAATCACTTAAATAGGTACTTTGCTCTAATGGACTTCTATGGTTATTGACGCTGATGAAATCACTAAAGCGCTCTATCTTTCAAAATTCTAATGGTCAAAGAGTTTAACCTTACTAGGTCATTACCATGTCTCTTTTCAGCACGATGACTTCGTTCTTCATCTCGAACCCGACGTTCAACTACATCTACAAGCGCACGCACGGCAACATGCCCACTTTCATCACGGGCATGGCTCTCGGCTACCTGGTCTACGACTGGCAGAAGAAGAACATCTTCTCAAAGGACTTGTCGGTATGCTTTCAACGCTTTATTATATTGGATCATTACTACAGCATCAAATCTAACTTGCGATAGAATGTCACAATCTATATATATAAAAATGAAACCCGTTTCGCGTTGTCACGGCATCACGTGTGAACGGCTGAACCGATTTCGATAATTCTTTTTTTTAAATGTTTGTGGAAGTCCAAGGATGGTTCTTACGGAAAAAAATATTAAGAAAATCTCTACGCTAAGGCGGTACGAAGTTCGCCGGGTCAGCTAGTAATTTATAAAGATCATGATCTTTTAGTCGCACTACTTGTGAGATATTCGCATCTTTCATGCCAAATGAGAGCAATACCCATTGCCAATGGGTGTTAACGTGAGATTTATTACGTAATATCTATATGAGTACTTGCAGCTTGACGTTTCGGCTGCATTGCTACAGCACAGAATAAGTAATAGTACAGGGCTACAGTTATGGTCACAAGCAGATTGTCAAGTTTGTAATCTTGTTGTACTCACTACAACCCGGCCGAGTTAACTGCGCATCTGGCATTCGTGACGTCACATCAACGTTCTGGTACGGATGGGGCGAAAGTGGGAGGTGTGGGTAAGTGGGAGGGAGAGCCGCATTCCAACGAGGTGCGCAGTTAGCTCGATTGGATTGTACTTAACAAATGTCGCGTATCTTACTTAGGATGGATTCGACCAAACAAGAGTAAATATTAATCTCAGAATAAATCTTCAGTTATTCGACATTTTGACTTATTTCCCACTAGCTTCCCGCCCGCGGCTTCGCCCGCGTGGAATTTTGTCTGTCACAGAAAAACTTTATCGCGCGCGTCCCTGTTTCAAAAACCGGGATAAAAACTATCCTATGTTCTTTCCCGGGACTCAAACTATCTCTATGCCAAATTTCATCAAAATCGGTTGCGAGGTTTAAGCGGGAAAGCGTAACAGACAGACAGACAGACAGACAGACAGACAGAGTTACTTTCGCATTTATAATATTAGTTGGGATGGGATTGGGATACTGAAACTGTCAATGTGCCAGTATTATACCAGTGGGTCTAGACAAAGTGCAAATTATAATTGCAAACCAGTCGAAAATTAGTCGAAAAGCCCCTTTTTTGTATGGAGTTTTGACGGATTCGATTTTCGATTCGATCAAAAAGTGCGTTTTGTCTAGGGGGGCAGGAGTTAATCGGATAAAAGTCGATTTGGTCGAATCGGGCCTTAGTCAATGTCGCGTTTAAGTAACGTTGGCTCAGTTTCAAAGTTCCAATTACATTCCAGAGATACCGCAAGTTCTACTTGCTGCTGTTCCCTCTCCTGCTGCTGGTGACGACGTCGGCGGGCATGCTGTACTGCGGCAACCGGCCGCGCGCGCCGGTGTGGGCGCGCCTGCTGTTCGCGCCCATCGTCAAGCCGATGTTCGTGGCCTGCGTGTCTCTGACGCTGCTGGGCGCCATGTTCAAGATTGACAGTAAGACCACACTAAGAGTAGGCGCACACCGTTGATTTTTAGTTGGCCGATAGTTGTGCCCGATTTTAAATTGTATGAAGAATCGGCCAAATCGAATCGGTGTAGTGTGCGCACTCCCATACATGCCAATGCCCATACTGATCAACTGCCCGACTAAACTGTCGGCCGACGAAAAATCAACGGTGTGCGCCTGCTCTAAAGGCTAGGTTGCACTACCTTACTTTAACAAGCGTCTGTCAAACTCCATAGGAAAAAAATTGGTTATGGTTATAGTCACGATTAAAATAAGGTGGTACAGCCTAATACAAATAAATAAGGAAAATTAGTGCACAGAACAAGCGCGTCCGAGTGCTTTTGGTATTTGAATATTAATTTTCATAATACATTTTTTGTTTTAGCTCATAAAAAAGTTTAAGCCTAGGCGTAGACCACCGACTTTTAGTTGGCCCATAGTTGAGCCCGATTCTAATTTGTATGAAGAATCGGCCGATATTAGATCGGTGTAATGTGCGCATTTTCATAGTACTATACTGAGTAACAACAACCCAACTATCGGCCAACTAAAAGTCAGTGGTCTGCGCCTAGACTAAAACGATTTAAATACCTACAAGGTTTTAGGTAATTATTTCCATTTTAACTCATTGGATTTGTCTCATATTTGGGGAATTTACTATGTGACTATCATGAGTAGAGTCTTATTTTTAACTAATAGCGACCGTCAGAAAGATATTAAGATATTTTTGTCCACCACAATAAAATAACGACAATTTATAATTTCCAGGGATATACCGACAGTCGCTGGTGTGGAGACCCTGGACGCCGCTGGCCCGCATAAGCTACTGCATCTTCTCCTTCCACGTGATGGTGCTGAGGTTCCTTGGAGGCACCAGAACCACTCTGAACTACCTCTCGTACTCCCACACGGTAAGTGTTATAGTCCACCACGGTCATGGAACTTGACGAATATAGTACAGGCCGCAGCTCTCAGATACACATCGGACTAACATTTTTGTAGAAAAAAAACTCGCCCCTAATACAACAAGTTTAACCCATACCCCATTATTAATAAAAAGTTACACTTATACCTTGGATTAAAATGACATTTCCATACTAAATGACAATTTAAGCCAGAGTCCAACTAGGGTGTACCTACTTTTATTTTTTATAAGGGGGCCAGTGTTTGGGTTGACCGTGCCGTTGTCTGTACGCAGTGATTATCTTGATATGCTGTCGTGTGTACAACACAACTTCTACAAAGGTACTTTATAATTTGATATTAACATAATATTTGATGAACACAGACGCACGACTACATCGGGGTCACAATCCTGACGATCATAATGGCGACGGTATGCTACCTGCTCGTGGAGGCTCCGTTCGCTCAGTTGGTGAGGATATTGTTGTCCTCGAAGCCACGACAGAAAGCCGCGGTCAATGGTGCCAACGCAAACGAAGCTGTAGGAAATGGAGCTGCAGCAAATGGAATTGCAGGAAACGGTACTGTCTCAAATGGAACAGTAGAGGCAGTTGTAAAGAACGGTACGGCAAATGGAACGGCAGTTAACGGAATTTCAGCCAATGGAACTACGCTTAATGGTACTTCATTCAATGGGTCAGCACTGAATGGCCACGCTTTGACAGAACAAGTAACAACGGGTAAAGATAAAGATGCGTAGATGTTACTAGTATTAAAGGTAGCAATTGGCGCAATTGCAAAGGCATGTAAAATAAAGATAACTACAAATTTTGTTATATTATATAGCAGTGGATGTAAGATTTCGTCTAGAGTTATATTATCATGGTTTTTGTCAACGATACTGATTTTTGTATACTTAGTGATAGTAATGATACGCGCAGTACTGCAAGGCTCCATAAATAAGTATAAATACTGTTAGGCATTCCAGAAAATGGCTGTATGATCAAATATTTCATAGTTTAAGCTATGGGTGGAAGTATAAATGGAAATGTTAGCTAATTAATAAATACTATTATACATCTAGACAACGTAGAAATCATTTTGTTATCAAGATCGATTCGATATAGAATTCTGCGAAGGTATTTCGTTATTAGAAAGCATCGCAGCGAAACTATTACATAACGAATCCATATTAAATAATAATGTGATTATCTAGAACTAGATTGTAGGCACTTGCCTAAAATATTGTTGCCATTAATTTAATTTAGGTTTATGTTTTATACATGCCAATCGGAACGTTAGAATTAGGAGCCGAAACTAGGGAATAAATGCAATATGTAAAAAACCAGGAAGTCTTTTGAATGTTTTCGTATTAATTCAATCGTTAGTCTAAACGTACGACCCGGTCAAGTTAACTGCGCACTTGGCAGCCGTGACGTCACATCGACGCTCTAGTATAGGGCGAACGCGGGGAGGTGTGCGGGTAGGTGGGAGGGAGAGTCGCATTCCAGCGAGGTGCGCTTAGCTCGATCGGCTTGTAGTATGATAACAACGAGCACAAATTTACTAAATATGAGATACACACTGTCAAAACGCAATGCCATAGATAAAATATCATTCTTCCGATTACTTGTCAGTTTGTCACCCTACCGTAATCGAAAGGCCTCCTAGCCCCCGGATCTCAAATGTTGACCTTATTCAAAATATCACAACTTTCAAAATATTGAAACTGCACTTCGCATGTTTCTGCCAATTCTGCCAACTCTTTTGAGGAGTGATGTCGTAAAAATTGCCGCATCGTATAGATCCTTTACTCTAAAGCACCTAGTCAAGGCATAATTGTATAACTGTGATGAGTATTTTGTGATGTATCAATGTTGTCGTTTGGACGTTTAATGAATGTAATTTTATTAGTTGTTATAAATAAGGTGGCTGTAATAATAAATTATTTTCACGTTTTTAATTTTATTTTATTTTAACAAAATTACAAATCGTAATCTTAGAACCATCACAATCGTGCTAAATGAAATAAACATGCAATCCAACAAATTCTGTAATCACTCATGATTTGTCGTGCACCTACGTCACATAGATACCGTGGCGTTAAGTTTTATGCCACATGCACACTTAATACACTCAACATCAAATAAACCGCACCTTCCGCGACGTGAACTTTAAAGATTTTCTTCTGACACAATCATGGTGCCTCAACAATATTGGTGTTATTTGAAAGCCCAATAAATATCCTTAAAGAAAAACACATTTAATTTCTTAATAAATGATTAACATATATACCATAAATGTGACTTGAAAAAAGACCTCACTTTGGGCTCACCTCTGGGATCAATTAGACCAAATTTTATGGTTATAAAACCAAATAATGATCACACGTGTCCTCTTTAACAGATGGATGGCGATTAATCCCAACTTAACAGTTTTATAGGCATAAAAGTTGGCTCAAGCGTAACTACCTATTTTTTGAAGGAGTGACTGGATCCTTCTAAAGACATTTTTGGGGTAAAAACCTATCCTTTAATGAAATGAAGTTTAGAACTAGGCTTTTAAATGGTGCCAATATTGGTGGGAAGTGGGTATGCATACGTTTGAGAAGTGCTTGTTGCGGGAGGTGCGATTTATTTGATGCCGAGTGTATGTATACCTACTTTGATATTAATAACATCGGGACGGAAACCTAAATAGAGCCCTCATTTATTATAACGACATGACATTTTATGGCACTAAAAATAACCATAAGTTTGCTTTGAATATAACATTTTAAAGGCAAGTATGGACCACGATCATGAATTTCAAGTCTTAGAAAATAAGAGACAGTGTTGTAGTACTTGAGTCTCCATTTTGTTTTAGTTCTTTAGAATAGAACCAACTGGTTTTTTTACAGTCAGTATAGTAGCAAATTGTAAAAAAATCACAAACATTCTTAATCTCTAGCTCTGGAAGTAGCTACTTATCAATTTGGTCATATTTTGTGGTCCAAGAACTTAACACTCACTCTACCCAACTTAAATGCTATGCTATAAAATTACATCTAAAAGAACTTACCTATGTTACTATTTATTTTTGGTAAACACCCATTACCTATTGACTGCTTTTTGACTTTGAGCAATATCTCGTCGCTATACCTTAGCCTAAGTTAATCTAAATTATTGTTTGATCCATGCAAACACTGAAGTTTCTTATTTGTTCTAATTGAACTATTTGATGCCAAAAATATGAACTAATTTCCTTATAATAACTCGAACTATCACATCTTTAACATTCGCGACGACTATTATCAGGGTCTTTATGAGAATACCTGCTAAAGCAATTAGACCAATTATTATATCGAAATGTTGTCTCGCATTAACGCCATCTATTATCAAAAGGCTATAATCAACGAGAAACAACTTTAAAGGTACGGTTATACGGCACGGGTTACACATGCTTAAAACAAGCCCATGGTTACTTCAAACAAGCTTGTTCGACGAACAACTCGAAATGAGCATGGTTATTATTAACAATATTTCAATTGCTAATAATAGTGGCATCCTTTCGTGCTAGTTCCTGAACATGAGTAACTGTAGGTACCTTAAGAATTTGTTCAAATCTAACCAATCAAAGGCAACAAAAGAAGGATCGTCTGTCCTCCAGCATAAAGTTACAATTCCTACATCGCTAACTTCAACTTTAAACCTCCTGTCCTCTCCTGATGTTAGCTACAAAGTCCAAGGGCTTGATAGTTAGTGCGGGCTGGTTCACTGAGTCCTGAAGCCTCCTCTCACTCCTGTTCTATTTACAGTACTTAAACATTAAACCTCCTGCCTTCTCCTTCCTTGATAGCAGGTGCAGGCTAACCCAAGGACGCCTGAAGTCACATGTGTTCTATTTACAGTACTTAAATATTAAACCTCCTGTCTTCTCCTTCCTTGATAGCAGGCGCAGGCCAACTCAAGGAATCCTGAAGTCACACCTGTTCTATTTACAGTACTTAAACTTTAAACCTCCTGCCTCTTCCTTATGTTAGGTCCAGGGGCTTGATAGCAGGTACGGGCTAGTTCACTGAGTCCTGAAGCCTCCCCTCACTCCTGCTCTATTTACAGTACTTAAACTTTAAACTTCCTGTCGCCTCCTGATATTAGCGACCAAGTCCAAGGGCTTGATAGCTGGTGCGGGCTAGTTCACTGAGTCCTGAAGCCTCCTCTCACTCCTGTTCTATTTACAGTACTTAAAACTTTAAACTTCCTGCCTCCTCCTTCCTTGATAGCAGGCGCAGGCTAACTCAAGGACTCCTGAAGTCACACCTGTTCTATTTACAGTACTTAAATATTAAACCTCCTGCCTCTTCCTGATGTTAGTGACCAGGGGCTTGATAGCTGGTGCGGGCTAGTTCACTGAGTCCTGAAGCCTCCTCTCACTTCTGTCCTATTTACAGTACTTAAACTTTAAACCTCCTGCCTCCTCCTTCCTTGATAGCAGGCGCAGGCTAACCCAAGGACTCCTGAAGTCACACCTGTTCTATTTACAGTAATTAAACTTTAAACCTCCTGCCTCCTTCTGATGTTAGCTACCAAGTCTAAGGGCTTGATAGCTGGTGCGGGCTGGTTTGAGGGTTCCTGTGGCCTCCTCTCAGTCCGGTCCTCCTCGAAGATTGCCTTCCACAATTGAAGGGCTGGCAGCTCGATGACCAGGCAGTATGGGATGGCCACCAGGTAGGATAGCACTGTTACTGATATTAGCAGGTTTATCTGGAAGGAAGAAGTTGTTTGTTTATGCATTAACTGATAATCCATGACATTGTTAGACTATCTTACTATATTGGTATCAGGAGAGTCCCCTGTGAAACATTAGTTACAGTTGGGGTTATCAATTCTTGTAGGTAGAGTACATAGGCCTGGGTAAAGCAACTCTTCATTTGATAAAGACCAAAACTGAAGGTCAGAACGAGTATAGTACGTCGTATGGGTCTAACTGGGTCCTCTCAGACACATTTTGCGACATATAACAAACATTATGATAGGACGTAAGATATAATAAGAAATAACGAAGGGGAAGGGAAAGAAATAGGTGCCGTTTACCACCGGGGGTGGTAAATAAACACCCTATTTGTGCCAACCACCAATCCGGTGGCAAGCTCGAAAGGGGTAGATGGAAATAAAGGATCTCATCAAATCGCACCATTAACGGGACTATTCCCACCGTTGCAACTCCTGTGTAGCCAGGATCTACAGCTTGACCGTCATAAAAACCCAACCAGTAAAGGTCAAGTTTGTCAGTCAAAGTTAAACTGTCATTGGACCCGCAACGAAATTAATCGGAAGAACATAGGAGGAGTTCGAAGTAAAGCTTCGACCTCCCTCCATTCCGGATGACAGGTGACAAACAAAGGTTTAGTATAGATGACCCACGCTGAACTGTCCCACCAAGCTCAATGACAGGGGGGCGCTACCATCGTTCAACTATATGGTTTCCAACATGGCAAAAATCGGAACCAGCGATCCGGTATTGACGGTGGCGCCCCACTGTCAATGTCATGGATAGGACAGTTCAGTATTTTGGAACTATAGTCTCACCATTGCGGAGATGGAGGTATGCACGAGCTGCGTGGAGCCGGCGACGGTCAGCCGCAGCACGATGAAGTGCACCAGGAACACGCAGTACGACACGCGGCCTAGGAAGTGGAACCCGCGCCACTCCAGCATATCCTTGAGCCCGGCTGGAAGGTTTTAAGGAATTAGATAAGGTAGGTAGTCAGCTAAATTTAAAAGAAAAGCCCAAACTTGTAGCTCATATCAGGCTTGTTCATCTACGCGATTTTACATCGAAAACAAAACACGCACGATGGCCCATTGCTGATGCAGCCCAGCAGGATGACGTTAAAGGCTGCTGCTACCAGTGTCCTATCAAGGGGGGCGCAGAGCGCAGTGGCTCAGTTATGAAGGAGCAAAGTCCGTCTATTCTAGGAATGAAGACACACTCATACTTGCACAATGCTGAAGCAACCTAGCAGGAAGATGTTGAAAGCCTCAGCTACCAGAGTCCTATCAAGAGTAATGAAGAGCGCGGGGGCTCTCCAGGTACCCATCTATGGAGGAAAGAAAGACACTTTTGCACTTGCTTAAGCATCCCAGCAGGACAGGTTCTTGCTCGGCTTTCTGTCTCGCTTCTATCTCGGGATACCTAAGGAGAAGCAATGTCGGCACACTCACACTTGCATTTGCTGATGCAGCTAGAGAGAAAGAATGTAAGTATACACTCACACTTGCACTTGCTGATGCAGCCCAGCAGGAAGACGTTGAAGGCCATCGCCACCAGGGTCCTATCAAGGGCAGCGTAGAGCGCGGCGGCCCAGCGCGGTGGTGGCGCGTCGCGAAGGAATACTACTCCCGCGAACACCACGCACGAGCCCAGGGTAATGGCCGCGTGGAATGACAGGTTGAACCACTGCAAAGTATTTACAATTAACATTTACTGACAGGGTTTTTGATACCTCTCAACTAGATGTCTCTGAATTTTTACTGGCACAGATAGACTGCCAGAGGAATACTTATACTGACAGATTTTCTATTTCTTAACACGTCAGTCTTTCCAGTCTTCTGGACTGGTCAATTTCCACATCCAGAAGTCATCATCATCATCATCATCATCTCAGCCTTAGGACGTCCACTGCTTAACATAGGCCTCCCCCAATGCTTTTTATGTTGCCTGGTTGGTAGCGGCCTGCGTCCAGCGCCTTCCTGTTACCTTTATGATGTCGTCAGTCCGCCTTGTGGGTTCGTACCGGAAAACGCAGCATCCGGAAGTAACATAAAATATTTTCATGGCTAATTCCATCTTAAATCCTTTACGTAGTACTTATTATTATTCTGTGCCTTTACTATATTTGCTGGTGGTTAATTCAGAAACATTTACGGAAGAAGAAACATTTAATTCAGAAACAGTGGAAGTCATTGGGGGAGGCCTATGTTCAGCAGTGGACGTCCTGTGGCTGATATGATGATGATGATGATGAATTCAGAAACACGTCAGTCTACTCAGATCCATCTAAGTCTCCATTTACACCCGAAATTCTTTTTTTCATCGTGCAATAACTCGCACCCTTAAACTTCAGATAACGATGAAAGTGGCAGCACCATCTCCATTCTTGAAGTTTGGCCACAAGTGATTCTTTCACGCACCTTGTTCTGGTTGAGCTTGTAGCCCTCGACCTGCGTGTAGTGGTAGACGAAGGCGGTGGCCATGCCGGCCGCGTAGCCCACCAGGTTCATCCAGCTTGGTAGGTACAGCAGCATCAAGGTTTTTGACCCGGCAAACCAGGTGCGCAGAGACCTGGAACATTGGGAAGAGATATTTGAAATAGATTTAACGTTATTGATACAGAACATTTAGAACAGTAGATGCAGGACAAAGAAATGGTGGGTAATAAATACTGTGCATCCAGCGCCTTCTTAACAGATGGTAGCAGTAAGGCGCTGGATGCAAGCCGCTACCAACGCAATGTGGAAATCATTGGGGGAGGCCTATGTTCAGCCAGCAGTGGACGTCCTATGGCTGAAATAAGGATGATGAAATACGCAAACAAACTTGCGCTCAGAATTAATCGTGACATGCTCGAAAGGGCATGTCGAGAAGAAGCTGGTCTTCCGCGGACGCCCTCGAGATTCGTTATAATTGAAACTGCTGGAAGAAAAGTATTTTCTGTCTAAACACTAGGTATCGATTTACTCTTAAAATTACAATAGAATCTACGTAATGCGTAATTACTGTGTTGCCGTGATAAGATAATGAGACTCACTTTTGTTTAGTTAGAGCTTCTGGATTCATCGAAGGTTAATATTGTGGAGCTCATAAATTAAGAAAACACTATAGAAGAAGGTAAAGAAATCTACAAGCTATCAAAATTATCATTAGGTATCAAGACTCATGTATTTTAAATAAGCTAGCTAGTCTAAAGTCAATTCAATTATTAATGCAGCAAAGGAAATCTTTATATTTTAGGACTCACTCAGAGGCCTGCCCTGTGACGATGGGCGTGACGTCATAGAAGTAGGACACGAGGCCGGCGGTGAGCGCGGAGCCCAGCACCAGCATCGCCAGCAGCCAGCGAGCTGTCACCAGCAGCACTAAAGCCTGGTCCGTGAGCACGTAGAATCCCGTCCAATGCCCCCAAGCTACCCATCCTTATCGCTCACGCGTAATTATATTGCTGTCGCGACTGTGCGACGCGCGCCCGCAGTGAATGTGCGAGCGCGACAGCAACATAATTACGTGCGAGCGATAAGGATGGGTAGCTTGGGGTCATTGGACGGGATTCTACGTGCTCACGGACCAGGCTTTAGTAAGGGACTTCTTAGTTAGGGACTCACTCGGGCGCCTGCCCCGTGACGATGGGCGTGACGTCATAGAAGTAGGACACGAGGCCGGCGGTGAGCGCGGAGCCCAGCACCAGGATCGCCAGCAGCCAGCGAGCTATCACCAGCAGCACTAGTAAGGAACTTCTTAGTTAGGGACTCACTCAGGATCCTGCCCCGTGACGATGGGCGTGACGTCATAGAAGTAAGACACGAGGCCGGCGGTGAGCGCTGAGCCCAGCACCAGCATCGCCAGCAGCCAGCGAGCTATCACCATCAGCACTGGTAAAGAACTTCTTAGTTAGGGACTCACTCAGGGGCCTGTCCGTGACGATGGGCGTGACGTCATAGAAGTAGGACACGAGGCCGGCGGAGAGCGCGGAGCCCAGCACCAGGATCGCCAGCACCGGCGCGGCCGCGCGCCGCCAGCGAGCTATCACCAGCAGCACCAGTAAACCTATCGCGTGGAGCTGTAGATCCGCTGCCAAGTACCTGCAAGTCATCTTCAGTCTTCAAAAGGTTTCTTATGTAAGGATAGGCAGGTTTTAGAATCGCTCTGACCGCTCGCTGATCGTCGGCGCTGACAGATCAATATGTATGTAATTGAAGGGAACGTTCCTGAGTGACGCTGATCGCTCGGCGCCGACGCTTCATACATTTCGGCTGTCAGCGCTGACGGTCAGCGTGCGTCAGCGTGACTCTAAAACCAGCCATAGGTAATTCGTTTGTTGTAGCTTCTCCAGGAAATCATACTGTGTACATAAATGCGTTAGGAATAGGTTCATCGAATTATTTCAACTATATATCTACATTAGTGTCCGACCGAAACTAGTTTTACGACCGAAACCGAAACCGAAAACTAATTTCGGCAACGGTGTCTATTTCGGCCGAAACCGAAACCGAAACCGAAACTTCCTTACAAGGCTCATATTTTGAGGGAAAAATAAAGAAATGCGAAAATGCACTGCCTGAAAGAATCGCACAACCTACTCCGACTACATGACTAGCTACGCTATGGAACTGGAATTTACATTCGTTTTGTAGAATAGCTCAAATACTAATAATACAATGCAAATTAAACATACTTTAACGACCTGGTTTTTCTTGTGTTGGAAAATAACTGAAAAAGAAGTGAAAAAAGTCATGTTTTTTTCTACTTAAATCCATTCCTACTCCCTTAAAATGTATGAAACTTGTGTCTGTTTTCTATTTTACTAATAGATCATTATATTAGCTATCGCATGACATAAAATATTTGCTCATTAGTGTTAAGGTGCCCACGCAGTCACTTGTTTTTGAAGGAAGAGGTGAATTTTAAAAATTAAAAACTTAAAACCTTGTAATTTTTTGAGAAATGGGTCAAGCCCCTTTGAAGTATTTTCATCGATAAAATTGACCATAGATCACTCCCTTAAATATCGATCACTACATGCCCGGACACATTGTATAATACTATAAATTAAGTATAAACTATGATCGTAATGCACATTCGGTTTCGGTCGTAGTTTCGGCAAGTTTGCCGCCGAAAACGAAACTAAACCGAAACTCGTGTTTTTAACGAAACTCAACCGAAAACGAAACCGAAACCGAACATTCGGTCGGACACTAATCTACATAAAAAATAAGCTTCCTTTTGAATCGGTACTACCTAAAACGTTTGAGATATTGTAATGAACAAAGCAATATCTACTATAGGCATACGCTAGTATGCTAGTATACGCGCTAGCGTGCCTGACGTATGGAAGCGGCACGGGAGGAGTAACATTGACATATTATGACGTGACAGAACATACAAATCTGATGGAGATGTGAAGTCTCGCTGACGTTTGACCGTCATAAAAACACCCTCCCATGCCTCTCTCATGCCTCAGGCCGAGTCAGTTAAGCGCAAGCCCTAAATAGAATTAAGCATGTGCCCTAGAGCCTTATAAGGAATACAATCAAATCAGGTTCTTCGACTCACCAAGTGTGCCCCATGCAGAACTTGCCCATCGACAAATGGTTCTGCGCGTACAGGATGTGGTACCACCAGCGTTCGGAACAGTCGGCCGCCTCGCGCTCCACCAGCCAGCCCCATAGTGGGCCCGACCCCATGAGTGGGTACCACGTCATCGTGAACCATAGGGCGTAGCCGGCAGCAGGGGTTAACCTGGAACACTCAGCCAGCAGGTTGCTTAGATAACGGGTCTATTACCAGGTCTCGTTTCAACCGCTGCAACTCCTGTGTAGCCAGGATTTACAGCTTGGACGCTAATAAAAATCCAACCAGAAGGTCAAGTTTACTGGGGGACAGCTAAACTGACATTTGACCCGCAAGGAAATTAAACAGAAGAACATAGAAGGAGATCGAAGTTAAGGTTCGACTTCCCTTTAAAGTTTGCTTTAGATAGATTATCTTTTATTGCTCACTGGCTTTTGACTAAGGCTTACTCTATCTCAGAAACGTAAACAGATGGATTCGTAATGCGGTGACCGCAATAGTTCAATATCACATACTGGTAGAAGAATAACCTCAAACGAAAAGCACAAAAGGTAATAAAGGCTCAAGCATGTACAGCAAGTGTAAATATACCCCGACGTAAGCACGATATTACAATAGCTGGCCTCATCTCTTACCTGATGTATCTGTTGATGACGGACATGACGCATTTGACAAGGGTGATGGGACTCTTGTCGACGGTGATGAGTACGGAATACGTGGTGAGGAACGCCGACATGGAGAAGAAGGTCTGCAGCCACACTGGTGAGTTCAGAACCGTTTGCCAGCCGAACTGGTCGTACATCTGCAAGGGAATGCTTAGAATAATTTAATAAAAATAAAGAAGGTAGGTATAAGGAAAATTCAAGTGGCGATCATAAAGTGAGTAGAACTGTCACTAGCTTACGTTTCATTTTCAAAATTAATATTTAGTAATACCTAGGTAGGTACATGCTTTAAAAAAAACTTTGGTCAGATTAGAATCTAATATTATGCTAGCAAGATGTAAAACAAAAAATCATCAAAATGTAAAAAGATAAAACTGACGAACACTAAGTGTAATCAAATATTTGCGAATGCGATAGCCACATACAATGTTAGTTAATTTCAGATTGTTATGAGTATTGAATTAATTTGTTACCTTCTCAACGTAGTTCGGGTTGTCAGAGTAGGAATAAACATGGACCAGAAGAACGTGTGAAAATATGACACACTGAATCCCAAGCACCCTGGGGACATCAAAAAAATTTATTAGAAACGATAGATAATTTAGTTTAGAATTAGATGCTGGCCTCACCATCCGTAGCAAAATACCTAAAAGTCATGGGTAAATAAGCATTTCCTGAAAGGCATACCTACTACTGTTCTCTCAGACAACTGAGATACAGATGCTGAAAAGACTGTATTACATAATAATGTGGTAAAGTTGTAGTAAACTATCAACACACGCTTTGCGTATAGGTATAGTTTTCGGGAAAGATCTTTCATATTGTAGTAGGTAAGTTAGTTGTAGGCATACCGAATCCCTTCCATGGCGGTGAGATCCTTCATCCTCTGGTCGCTTCGGGGCTTGGTGCGGTTGTACGTGAGGATCGCCCAGTTCTTCTTCAGGGAAAACGCCAGCAGGTACTTGTTACCTGAAAGCAATAATAACCAATTGATTTGTTTAAGTTTATAGTTAATTAATATTAGTAGTAAAGAGGGACCTTAAAGAGGCCCAAGTCAACTGTGAGACGACCCAGGACCCAGCCACCTGGAGACACATGATACGGAAGGCCGACCCCTAATAAAATGGGAATGGGCCAGGCAAAGAAGAAAGTTTTTAATGAATTATTTTATCGAGTGTTCGATATTTCGAGAAACTCTCCAAATGCGGGTAAAAGTGGTCCCCGATATAAATATGCACTATATTTGTCCGACCTTGCTTTTACCGCTCAGCACTTGGATAAATAAATGAAATTGTATCATAACTCTCCTTTTGTCAAGAGCCATTATTGTTGTTCAAAATAAGAAAAAATTTGGTAAACAAAAAATTTAATTACTCTTAATACGAGTACATATTTTATCTGAAAAATAGTTACAATTTATTATTGTTTTGTGTTAAATAATTGTCTGAATTACGCGAATTACATAAGAAGTAATATTTACCATCAGTTATCAAGCAGCTGATAACGTTCTTAACTATAAACATACTGCTAAGTTTGCTTAATCGTTATTATTTCATTTGTATAATTATTTAGTCGGTAGCCAGCCATACAGTAGAAAACTAGTCTTATTTTGACCTGCGCTAAGACCCATTAAAATGAAGGTGGTAGTGACTGGAGCAGCCGGCTTTCTTGGCTCACGACTGGCAGATCTCCTTCTAAGCAATAATTCTCCACTGCCCGTAAAAGAGCTGATTCTGGTCGACAATTTTGCGCCAACGAAGAACGATCCACGCGTCAGGAATATTAAAATTGACTTGTCAGAACCTGGTGCTGCAGACAAACTGATCAGTCCCGATGTAGATGTGTTCTTCCATCTAGCAGCTATCGTCAGTGGCCATGCTGAGGTCGACTTCGACTTGGGGTTCAGAGTTAACTTCGACGCAACAAGTTCCTTGCTCGAAGCAGCACGAGCGAAAGCCCCAAAAATGAAATTCGTGTTCACCAGCACGTGTGGGGTGTTTGGTGGAAAACTACCACCAGTTCTGGACGACTTGACCGCTTTGATGCCCGAGAACACTTATGGGATAACTAAGGCTATGTGCGAGTTGATGATCAATGACTATTCTCGAAAAGGCTTCGTCGATGGACGAGTAGTCCGGCTGCCGACTGTCAGCGTACGCGCAGGTGTTGCCAATAAAGCAGTGACGTCATTCGCCAGTGGGATCGTGCGGGAGCCGTTGAACGGCGTAGAATCTGTGTGCCCTGTTCCTTCTAGTCTGAAGTTGTGGCTGACGGGTCCTGAGAAAGTGGTGAGGAATATAGTTCACGCTGCGATAGTTCCCGCGTCGGGTTTGGGATCGTGGCGCGTGGTGAACTTGCCGGGTATAACCGTGACAGTGGCAGAAATGCTGGATGCTTTGAAGACTGTGGCTGGAGAATCAGTGGCCTCGTTGGTGCGCTTTGAGGAGGACAAGATGATCAGCGGCATGGTTGCCACGTTCCCCGCCAAGTTTGACAACTCTCGCGCATTGAAGTTAGGATTCGAAGTCGATTCAAACTACGCTGATATAATAAGAGCTTACATTCGCAACGATTTGAAGAAGAAAATATAAAGCAGTTACTACTAAAAATGGATTATAATTAGATAAATGTACCTACTTATACCTACTTAAATCATTATAAGTTTGGAAACCTAAGTACCTTGGACGAATAAACTAAGTATTATAATTAATTTATTAATTAAGTGGTTAATTCGTTCAAGCTAAACCTAATAGGAAACTTAATATTTATTAGATAATATTGTTTACATGATACGCTTCAGTAGTTGATATGTAGGTATTTATTACGTATCTATCTTGTAATTACAGTATTTACAGTATTTAGGAACAGACTAATATAAAGAATACGACAGTAACTCTACCTAACTATTACATTTTAAAAAGACATTTTAAAAGTTTTGACCTTGGAGATGGACAGTGGACACTACCTACTCAGTTGCAAAAATAAAACATAAAGGAGGTAAAATGGGAGATGAAAGTGGGGAATTTATTCATTTTGCAATCAAGGCATCAATTATTTATTAAAAAAATATGTAACGAATGCTTGCTTTCTGTTACAGACCGAAACCTATGTGGGCGAAACCGCAGGCAGTATCTAGTCAATAAATAAACTAGCTCTACAGTTCAGTTAGAACAATTATAGAGCTTACTGCCCAACATTTGCATATTTTACGTGTTTTGTATATTTACAACTCAAATGATGCGAATTCAACTGTTATCGCAAAAAAAGTATCATGACAAACCTGTTCCAGTAATTCTGTCATTAATTCATCTCAAAGCACGTTTCTAGGATTCTTTTAGCATACTGCATCCAACGTCCATCTGTCCAAAGCCGATATGTGGGCAATACACCTAAGCTTGGTTACGAAACCGCAGATAAACGACATGCGGCAACCAGCGGGTCACGGCCAGCGTCTCGCTTCGCAACAATAAGTTGCGGAAACCGGGACGAAGCCAAAACTCTTGTTTGGATTTTTTACCATCAAATAAGTTTAACATTTAAAAGGATTCTGTAACCTTAATATCAAATAGTAAGATCTGTTAGAATTAAATGAAAAAGAGATTGAACTGTCTCGATTATCTTACGATTTTATCAAATGACAGTAGAATCTCGATTATCCGGATATCCGATTATCCGAACTCATTCTTCACGGTTCTAATTACCGATTTAGGGTCTGGGACCCATCACGCCGCCACCGTAACACGGTACGGACGTCGTCTTGGTTCATTGTCAAAAGAAATAGATTCATCCAATGGTCTAACTTTAATTTATGTAAAAAGTTAATTATTGTTTGATTTTAATTTGAAATCGATTACCCGGATTTTTGATTATCCGAAATACCCATGGTTTTAATTGATCCGGATAATCGGGATTCTACTGGAATTGGTTAATTCACATTTCTGACTAAGGACAATTTAGTGACCATGTTATTCGGCTACATGTATCGGTTTATATCTTCTCATTATTTTTGGTCAAATAAAAATACTCTACGACAGTCTGCGTTACTTTGATACATTAACAGCAGAATCATAACTAAGCAAGATTGCTGGGATTGAAAAAACAATATCACTACAAAAGATGTAGAGTAAAAAAAAACCAGTAACACACCGGGCATTAAAAAGTTACTTAGTAAGTTTCCGAACGCAACCTTTCTTAGTCATTTGTTATTAAATTATTTTTTTTACGGAAAGTTGATTAAAAATGTTTGCTGACTTATGAAATTCGGTGAATGTAGATTACTTAAAGGTATGTTATTTTATGTCAAGGGTAGAGCTACTTAGTTGGTTTTGTTGTTTCAAGGAGTCATGTGCACGAGTACATTCACCAACCAGCTACTACAAACAATAGTACTAAGCTATCTATTTACAAAGAGGAAATACAATTAGATAAACTAACTATACCGTTAACTAAGTACCTACCTATATAAACTATGTAAAGTCACTACATGCATTACCACCATGCGTCACCTTCTACCTAGCTAGAGGTATTCTAGAAGAAAAATAATTGAGTTGGTTATTTATAAAACTATCCAAATCTTAACTTTGCAATCACAAAAAGATATAATTTGACAAAACACTATGAAAGTCACGTGACTGGCCGAAGCCAATGACCGATTGTTTTAGTGCGATCACGTTTGGGGCTGCCTCTTCTGTGTTGTTTTGTAACAATGATAACAACGTTGCATTCTGATTAACTTTGAAATGCAATTGTCAAACATGTCTCGAGGAATAGAAAAGTAAAGGGATGATAAGTAACTAACATAGTTTGATGGTTAAAAATAAGGGTATCTTAAAGCACGGTCTTTAAAGGTTTATCGGACTTGGGTATCTATATTAAAATGAATCTTGAACTTGGTTTTGTATTTTTAACTGACTTCAAAAAAGGAGGAGGTTCTATGTTCGGATGCACTGTATTTTTTTAAGGAGGAAGATGCGCAGATGTTTCTATCAAAACATTCTATTAAATACAGAATAACACAGAATTACAAATCACTGGCCATGACCACCAATTACGAGAGGATATTACTATATCGTCTATCAGTTGCCAAACGTTTGCTTTGTAGCACTGCTATGTGGGTAGACATTTATTAGGTAGGTAATTTAATACTTAAATGTAGAGTTTTGTAAAGAACCGGCATTCTATATGCCTAAGTATATATGGGGAAACATTGGTTCGAGGATTTCCCAGGAGAGAACATGTGAAATTCTCCTGGAGCCAAAATGGCCAGCGAACGATTTCAAATATTGTGCGGTGCATGCAGCTAATAAGTGAAAAGCCAGAAAATATTAAGGCACTAGTTATATAATTCTCTTCAATATGTGTCCCTTTACAGGACACTTATACACGTCACAAATACTTGCTTGCCCTACCACAAATCTAAACAAATAAAGCCATTATTGACCTTGAGTTAAAGTTGACAATTCCGAATCTTACAGCTTGCCCTACCACAAATCTAAACAAATAAAGCCATTATTGATCTTGAGTTAAAGTTAACTGTTTCAAACCTTACCGTCAACCTTAGCGCATCGCTCGCCGAGCACGTGCAGCGTGGTAGCGAGCAGCACGAGCGCGCATAGTCCCACGGAGAGCACGGCGAATGCGCGCGCGCCGCCGCCCGCCTCGCGCGCCGGCCGCGTGCAGAACGCCACTGATAACACCTCGCCCTAATGGATGGGAGGCTTTAGATCAGTCATAGTCTTCTTTCTTTTCCATATTAGTTACTTCAAAAGTTGGAAAATCTTATTTTTCTCTATCTATTTTTAGGAGAACCACAAAAAAAGATGAACACAGAGAGGCGTAGGAGCACAATAATAGATAGCGGGTAGATTGCAAACGATTGTGAGTTCACCTGTTGCCAAATTTCCGGAACCTGAACCTCTCTCAGACATAGGTACATTGCTCAATCGAATCCAGAGTGCATCATAGTTTTCGATTGATCAGATTGATGGAAGCAAACCTGAGCCCCGATTACAGTAACTTTTATAACGTCTACAATCCAGACGCGTTTCTGATTCTGCGATACGATTGGTCAAAACCGCTGACGTACGCTGTTGAACGACCAATCGTATCGCCGAATCGAGAAGCGTGTCTGGATTGTTGACGTTAAAAATTACCGTAATCGGGGCTCTGTAATTTCCTTATCAAACTAAGTAGGAATAACTACCAAAGTAGTTATTTTTTATTTGGTATTCCACCTGGAAATCGAAATCTAAATCAGGGATGTTATGGATATACGTAACCGTAACCGAAACCGGTATAATATTATTCCAATATACTTAACGTAACGTATCCATAACCGAAACTACATATCCAATTCCATTACATCCCTAAAGATCGAGAGAGAGCTACTATCACACGTATACTGCTTAATACGCGACTCTAATTTGTCGTTGATGTCTTTTGTAAGCCAGAGTAGTAGGAAGCAATCAAAAACCTTATTCACTATGTCTAAAGGTCTTCATATTGATTACTTTTGAAATGCCTTATTACTTGTGACCTTCATTAAGGCTGGCAGTAATAACGATAGAGGTCTTAGAGCCTCCATGACAAACGACCGACTTGAAGCGGGCCACACAATCGCGTACAATACATTATGGTGACCGTACTAGCTAACATAGAATGCCATTACTAGAAGGTCAAGGATGCGCGGGCTACAGATTAGTTTTATGTTAATGTAATGATCAGTGTGCTAAAATACTAATAAGTAACTTAATCATCATCATTTCAGCCATAGGACGTCCACTGCTGAACATAGGCCTCCCCCAATGCTTTCCATGTTGATCGATTGGCAGCGGTCTGCGTCCAGGAAAACGCAGCGTGGGACGTCCACCTACAAGGTGGACCGACGACATCGTAAAGGTAGCAGGAAACTTAATTAAGATATTAAAAATGGTAAAATTTTGAGTTTCAGAAGTCAGTCAGTTCTGTGAATCACTCAGAAAAGATTTTAATTGTGTTTCAAATGAGATGAGCCCCTTGCAAAAATTAAATCTTCGTAGAGATAGAGAATTAATTAGGGAATGCTTCGATTTTTTTTCTGGAAAGTTTAGATCCTGATGACGTGGTATTCAAATTAAGAGTCCTACTGGTCCTACCTACTTTTTTCTTATGTATGGTAAATAACACCCTTCTGTTATTTTTTAATTCAGCACCATAAACATCTTAGGTAGCAATCTTTGGGTGAACACGTGATCAAAAGCAAGCACTGTTTGTATTTACCTGCAGGCCATATTTGGCCAGATCCTGGTTGATGCAGTTCGTAGCAGCCGTCTTCCAGGGCTCCGGCCCGTCGTCCTCGCTCCCACAACGAGACACACACATGCCCCGGTGCACTAGCGTCCTGTTGTAGTGCTTCAGGGTTTCTTGCGAGTATTCCTGGAGCAATTTTCAACAAAACAATAAGAAAAGTCAATTATATTGATATAGGTCCCGTGAACTTCGAACTTCTCCTATGTTCTTCTGATTAACTCAGGTCAGGTTCTGATCCAATGACAGTTTAACTTTCCTCCGGGACAAACTTGACCTTCACTGGTTGGGTTTTATTGGCGGTCAAGCTGTAGATCCTGGCTACATAGGAGTTGCAGCGGTGGGAACGAGAGGTGGAATAGGTCCCGTGATGAAGGTCGCGGAACCACCTAGATACGGGCAGTGCAGGACTGTTCTGGAAATCTTGGGGGAGACCTTTGTCCAGCAGTGGAGAGCACGACATCACCCACCTTTGCGTGACATCTCGAAGACAAGTTTCGTGGACTTCCTAGTGAATGTTTTTCAAACTTGTGTTCCTACAGTACCCAACAATGAAAGGATTTATGCAAGACTTGTTTTCAATAAATTTAAATAAGCTAAGTAAGTAGCTAGTAATAATTCAATACTCAATAGTTAGGTGATTTTAGATATAGGCAGTACGGAAATGATTGCATTATAATAAGAAGTTTTTTTTTTCTAATCAATCTTAATTGATTGCATCATTAAAATATTTTCATAAATTCTAACACAATAAATATTGGTAGCGTATATATAAATCTGAAATTATTTGCATTTTGCTATAATGATTGTGCAACAGTGTTTTGTTTCCAAGATATAAGGAAGACAGATTTTGATAAATTGTAACTTTTTAAATACACACAATGCAATGTATCCATTAAGTAAGTACTTTTGGAAAGGGGGAAAATCCCTTTTACTCGAAAGGCTGTCACATTCCGTGGCATCGGCCATGATCCCTTGTGGCAGGTCAGCGTGTAAATCAACAATGATCTCACCGTAACTCAACGTCTATCGCCACCGGTCCACCTTCAAAGTTCACGAGGGAGTCAAGGAAAGCCCATCATGCCATAGTGTACATTACCGGTCGTAATTATTGCTGCTTTTGCTTTTCTTATTGGCACTTCTTAAGTTCTTAACGAAATAAAGCTATAAATAAATCAATCAATAATACTCTACCTCATCACTTGACTCATCTTCATTTCCGAATAAAATATCAGATAGTAAAAAATGCATTCAATGTCTTTTCCGTGTTTGTAATTATGGATTTGTATTTAATGGTTCTTAATCGTTAATGCATTGAACACACGATCAAGGTAAAGTAAATATTAATCACTAAGTTTTTCTGAAGCCAAAAAAACACGATCCTAACGCCGTTATACGGTTGAACTTTGAAAAAATATGGATCTTAAAGGTTAAACGAGTGGCGATGAACAAATGAGATAATAGAACCAGTTTAACTGATTCCTGCCCCCCTAGACAAGTTCGACCATATTTCGAATGGTTTGCGATTTTAATGTGCACTTTGCCTAGTCTAGACCCACTGATTAAGTTTCAAATAGTCTTATCTGGTATATTTTGACGCTAACGCTAATAAATTAAAGGTTCATTTACTGGTTTCTGGTTTACCTTTATCTATGTAGGTACCTGATAATCTTAATTTGAGACTTGTTAAACCAAAAATTGATTTTTATAGGAAAGTTCATCAAGGAGTTCAAGGGCCATCAGGGACTTTCTCGGCAAGTCCAATAGTGTAAAAGTTCCTTTGTACTGGACTATTCCCACCTCTCGTTTCCACCGCTGCAACTCCTGTGTAGCCAGGATCTACAGCTTGACCGCCAAGTTCCTTTGTAGTTGCTTCAAAGTTAAGCCACTATATGCGAACGGTAAAGCGTTCGGACTGGCCGACTCGAGATCCGAGGAACGCGGGTTCAAATCCCACCGCCGCTCGACTATTGTGGTGAGCCCACTCGTAACACAAGCTTATTTAGCTTAACCCGAGGGGCTAACAGGAGTATTAGTAATTTGTGCAATACAAATCCTACTTCCTACTAATATTATAAATGCGAAAGTTTATGTGGATGTCTGGATGTTTGTTACTCTTTCACGCAAAAACTACTGAACGGAAACTTTACAGTATTATTGTTTATAACCCAGCGGGTGAAGCCGCGGGCAAAAGCTAGTTGCTAATAATTTAAAAAAAAAGTTATCTTACTTGTAACAGACTCAAGGTCGCGGAAGGCTCCTCGGACACCAGGGCGGCATCCACGATGCACCAGACGGCGCCTTCGCCCTGGCACTGCGCCCAGCTGTCCAATGCGAACAGCGGCGGGAGCTCCGCGAACGTCGTCGCTGTAATGGGAACCAGACTTTAAATACAGGGTGTAATAACTCACGGTGTAACTGGTAAGAGACTAGGATGGCAGAAAATTGACTGGCTATTTCCACCTCGTCCCATACTGCAACTTCTATTGAAGCAGGCTCTCTACAATTTCACCTCTGATAAAATCCAACGGAAGAAGAAGAACAGACAAAAAATCAAATTTGTATACTTATGTTTTTTTGTTTTGAGTAAAAATTGTTCCCTAGAGCTAAAGTAGCCCGCATGTACCAAACTTTTCCGATTCAACAATATTTTTCCTGTACAAAATCGGCTGTCAACTAAGTTGCCAAACAATTACGATGAACTAAGTGACGTCATGAAATTTTAATTAATTAATAAAAACAACTTCCAACCAGTTGTAAATGGTAAATCCTTTTTCTTTTTCATTTAAGGATCATCTTGTCAATAAACACGAGAACCCAATAAACTTAACAGAAATATCGGTTAAAGGTAAAGTTCAATCATTTTTGCAATAAGTAACCTGTTAAACAGAAAACAGAGATTGCACCAAACATGTAGTTAATTTTGAAACCAGCCGGTCGGAATGATTTGACCATGGTTTCGATAAGTTGACGTTCACAAATGTTCGCTGCCTCATCGGGCATCGGTTGATTGTATTCATCGATACCTTCATTGATAGATCAAGTAAGGATAACAATCGGTAGTGGAGGTACTCGAACGTACAAAGTAGGACACGCACGTATTAAGTCCTACGCCTACGTATAATACTTACCTACTTATAATTATTTGAATTACGTCTGTAATAGTAGGTAAACTTAAGTAAGTTAACTTATTAAATTAATGTTTATTAGAGGAAAATTGCCGATAAATACCTACTTAAGAAAATCTTGTAATAATTAAGCAATTTTTAGTCACTCAAGTATAACTTTTTGGATAGATAGGTACTGATTTCTTCTTTAATTTGCTAAAAATATAATAATTTGCTGTAAATTAATTTCGGTAGGTAATGTTCTTACCTAACCTGCTGCTTTTTGTAGAGTTCAAGAAAATAAATAATTTATAATAAATAATAATAAAATCATTTATTTGCAAGAACATGGTTAGATTGGTGTTAATTTAGTTAATTCCAGCATATTCTGTCGCACGCGACGTGCAAAGGTTTTTGTTCTTAAAGTTATGTTAATTGTTATTGCTACATTTGGTCTTAGATTTTACATATTTTTACAACTCAAAATACTTATTTTACTCATAGTTGTTTTTCATATACCATGATAGTAACAAGTAACAATACAATAAATACATGTCAGGGAACAAAATTTGAATTGCAAATGTCAAAGAAATTTAAATTAATTGTAAGATGTCAAATTAAGTTACATTACCGATGTCACATCATTCTATCATTTAAAAACCTAATCTAATTTAATTACTTATAGCATAAGTAATACCTACTTTTTCCTTCATAATTAAATTAGGTAATTTAGAACTCCGATGAAAAACAGAATAACGATGAATTAAAGAAACTTTTTGTACAGCTATTAAAGTATTATTTATGGAATAAGAAATCAAAATCAAAAATATTTATTCAGTATAGACCACAAGTGGCACTTATGAACGTCAAAATATAGTAAATAATAAAAAAAGAAAAGGAAGCCTTATGGGACACTTTACATGTCTCCTTATCTTTTGGGCCCTTGATAGAAACATTTTTATATTCAGTAATATCACTGAAGCGGCTAAATGGGATTATTAGGACTAATTCTCGTATGTCCCAAGATAATAGCTTACCGCCGGTTAGTAGGTTTAACCTACCCGGCGAATTTCCACGGGGAAGTAAGTAAGTTCAGATATAACAAAACCTTGCAAATAGCGTAACGTGTTATAAAATTTCCCCCGTGTATACCACAATACAAAGCGAGTAATTATTTCGGCGGTTATGTTACGCGATCTATGAAGTGCACGCGGAAACCGCTGCATTTCCGCGGCGTCTGCGCATAGCCGCGTGCGGATTTCGGAAGCACCGCTTGGAATCAAATTGACGGATTAATTGTTTGGTATTAATGTAGTTTAGGAACGATGAAACTTTATTGGTATGTAATTGAATGCTGGACTAAAACCAACATGACTAAAATTACTTTACCTAACTATTATTGCATTGATCAATCATTTCAAAAAAAAAATGCATTGATCAATCAATTGGTATTAAAAAACGTATATTTTTCATTATAGCTTTTATTTATTGAATAGTCTTGTAACTTAAGTTACAATTTTTACGTACGTAGTCCGTGTATTTTATGTGTTACAGTTAACTTAATTTTAAGAAAAAGTAAAATTACTCGTACATAATTATGTTAAGTGAAAAATAAACTCTTTAATTACATAAAATCTATTGTTATTCAAAACAAACTCACCATTAATCTCGACCATACTGCAGCCATATTCGCGCGCAGATATCAGCAGAAGAAATCCAAAGAGAGTTGTATGTAACATGTTCACCACTCGCGCGCGCGCCGCGACTGAGGAGCGTTGCTCAAGACGCGAGGCCGACCCTTCTCCGAAACTTGACCAATGCATCCAAATGGAGCAATTGTGGAGGAATTTTTGGAGACGCTTTTCGTCATCCTTGGAGTTGAAATTGCATAATTAACAGAGACTAGATTTTTAACGAAGAATACCTATGTTTTTATGCTTTCACTGTTCAAAAGGACTCTGTCTACTTTATTTAAAGTCCACAAAAAATTAACTGTTGTTTGTGCTAGGTTTAAATTTTCTTTTTTTATGATTTTTTTTTCCAGGAGGTGTTTTAGCACTGTTTGGTCAAGAGCATTAAACGTAATTAAAATAATCTGTGGAACGTCGGTATTTTGGCGCCATTGCCTAGTTTACTTTTTTTCCTATACTTATATTATGGCTTCGAGCGGTTTGCGCATACTTATTAGCCAGTGTCAAGCAAGTAAAGCTTGATCGAATAATTTATTTATGATAATCTTTTTAAAAATAAAAAGTAGGTGCATGAAGGAGGAACCTTCATGCACCTACTTTTTTTATTTAGAATCTCTTACATGTTGAGGAGGACCATTTCATTTTCCTAGCTGCATAATTAAGTTTTCATACAGTAAATTCTTAAGTGAGAAAAATATCTCATTATTACACAAAACTATCACATATTGGCGCTGTCTGTACACAGTTTTCGAATGAAATATTGCTGAGTTTTCCTCCTTCCCACAAATAAGAAGTGCATCGTTGCGTTGCATTGGCAAAATCGTTATGTGAGACAACGCATTAAGTAGGTACTTACCTTCAGTCATTGATGTAACATAATAGCCTTCAGTTTTGAGGTGTGAAGCATATCATGCCTATACATCAATGCTCATAAAATACTGTATAATGTAACACGTGCTTTATGAAGCGGTCACAGAAACGATTATTATCTGTTTCCACCTATTATTTGGACAAAAAACTTTAAAATACTATAATACCTACTTATTTAGTTTTTTCCTGAAAAACGAAGTTCTATAAGTATAAGCAGTAAATTAATTAACTTAGTATGAATTCGGGAATACTAGTCGGTCTTCAACTTACGATAGTGCTTAGGCCTCAAGCCCCAAAGCAATAACGTCACAATATGAAGTCATTTCCCTCATCTCGCTCACATAACAAATGTTTTAAAGATACTACGTTACCTATTAATTACAATTCATCCCATAGCGTGTTACAACATTCTTCGCTCATTACAGATTCCGTCCGCAACTTGCCCACATGCCCACCTGACAAACCGATCTGCTCAAACTCGTATATCGGCATAGTAATCTATGTTTTTAGTTATATTATAGTTAAATACGAAATTAACCGTCCGTTTCTTCGTTACGTTTTCACGCCTAAACCAATTTTGATGAGCATTGATTTCAAATAATATTTTTTTAAGCATTTTCTGCTATCGCTTATTTGGCTTTTACGCCTTGCCCTTGAGATGAAGCAGCCCAAGAAACTCAGTACGTACTGTAATTTCTATTAAAAATAACCTGAAAAAAAAAACGAAAATGCCTAAGGCGGGAATGTCATTTCTTTAGTTGGATCATAAAGGGTGAACGGACCTGAAATTCAGTTCCGTGATAATGCGCCAGCATTCTAAGGATAAGAAAATGAAAAATTCTTTTGGCAAGACGTTTTTAATCGCAGAATACGCAATTCTTTCTCTGAGAGCCGCGACAAATCGCGGGCAGAAACTAGTATAGAATAGGTACTTACTTCGGATCAGCTCATCGTCAAGGTTAGCTGGTAGAGAACTCGGTGGACGACTTACGAAGTACTTATCTATAAATATTCACATATTTCACTTATAATTCGGAACTTACGCATTCGGTGAACGTGCCTACTTTACGAGTAACACGTGGATACCTAATAAATTACATTGAAAGTTAATAAATATTCTGACTCAGATTGTTGTAGGAAAAGAAATATTAGTTTTCATTTAATTAAACAAAAAATAACACTTAACACTCAAAATATCTCTAATAAATAAGATTTAAGGTAATAATAACGAAAAACAAAACACGTAAATCATGATTAATAACTTTTAATTTGCATGAAGTTTTCGTTTCAATAATCTATTTACAGGATAATAATTATACAATAGTAATAATAAAATATACTTAAGTTAATGCAACAACATCAAACATTGTTCAAATAAATGTCCCTCGCCGGTCGAACTAAATGTTTAACGTGAATACAACTATCTATAATATAGTATACAAGAGGCCCACTCTGGAAAACGATATTGCATCATGACAATATTCGTATCGAACGCTATCTACGTACGGAGTAAAACCTACTCTTACTCTTTCTTTCCGTACCCTTTTTCTTTTTTGCTTGTCTAGATATCGTAGTGCAGAGTGGACCCCCAGCCTGTGTGGCACAGGACCGCTTGAGGCACGATGCATTTAGGGGCGTTCTACACTCGTCCGCATCTACTGTCAGTCGTTTGGAAATGGCTAAAACATTAAACAAAAAGTTTAAGTCAAATCAAATTAATGAATCAAATAAAAGGAATCGGACTTTGACCAAACTTCATTTAAATGAAAATAATATGAATCCATTATAAAAGAACCGAATGATCACTGACTTTTTGACTAATATGATTACTTTCTTAAATAAAATATATAAATGCTACTCTTCACGAGTTAACCTTATGAATACTCAAAAACCAGTGAAGCTTATAAAATGAAGTGGAAATTAAATATGCAATGAGTATATCAGAAATGCCACTCACGTATAGATGCGGACAGGCGTGATCCATCTTTATTCTCTTTATAGTATAATCGACATATAATTGCTTTAATGGAAATAATGTGCAAGTTGACACGACAACAATAGTATTTCGAAGATAATTCGGTTGGATGAGCCATTATTTATAATGCCCGCGTCATATGGCAATCGGAAATCAGTAAATCAACATGTCACGTAAGTCGAGGAAGTAAAACTTATACATTGACATTTATTATCACTTCCAGTGGGAAATACCCTTTAGGCATACATTTTTGAACTTTAAACCATATCAGTAAGGTCCGAATGTGGTGGGAACTATATCGCCACCTCATAAAGGCTTAATACACAGGTGAGAAATAAAATTTGGTTGCCTAGTGTACTCGAGCCTTAATTTTGTCTTGTCGTGTTCAAACAGCACTTGATAAAACTAATTGAATGACACCTATTTTATTGCAAGTTACGAATTCATAACGAGTACTATGAAATTACATACATAACTTGAGTAAGCACTAAGTGAATTTGATGTATGGTTATAACATGATTTTGTATGGAATGGTTAATCGAGGTATCGTGTAGGTACCTATATCTATAGGTGGGATGGGAGTAGTCTTCTTTGAAGGAAGATTGAAGAATCGGGACATCCTGTAAAGTTACATTTATGCGTTTCGAATGCGAACTCTATCAAAACTTTTCTTGGACTAAAAACTGCTCCAGCCTTAACAGTTTTTGTTTCAATTATATTGAGGCTGGTTTTAGTGTCAGTGTGGATCGCTCCGCACAGCCGATCTGTATGAACTGCTAGGGAGCGAGCGGTTCCTCCGGACCGCATTACTCTAAAACGCTCCCTAGAAGTTCATACAGATTGGCCGTGTGGAGCGGGTCCGCACTGACAGTCCGCGTGACACTAAAACCAGCCTGACAGTTAAAAGAACTCCAACATTAAGTGGCTCTTAACAATGAAAGTGACGATCGTTAAATAACCGACAAGGAATCGGCAAAGGTCACCCGAGCAGGTAATATCTCGAGTTCGCAATTTCTCTATAATTATTATGCACGCCAAATTGAGTTGTATGTCAACAAAAGACCACAGCAGGGCGTGGAGTTCAGTAGGCTTATTTGAAAGGTCAATACTAGTTTTAGTAAAAGGCCATGATTTGGTAATCAACAGCTTGCGATTCCATTGTAATTCCTAGATAATTATATCTTAAAAATTTAATTATTATTATTTCTAATTAGATTGGAAATTACTAATTTCATTAGTACTTTGGGTTCCAGCTACATTTCCGGTTCCAGGTACATGATTACTTGTAATCGAAAATAGCAGTTAATGAAACTATTGCCTATGAAGGAGTGCCTAGTTTGTATTATCACACCGAGTGTATTTATGTGCAATTTGTGTGCAGTGTTTCCACATTGTTTTTCTACATGATGATTGATGTTTAGTGACCATCGCGGCAAGGTCGACATTTGCGTAAAGCACATCTTACGTTCATATTGGGAGATAACTTGCTTCCTCGATCGATGCGAAGGCGATCGACACTTTCTTTTGGCCTTCTATAGCGATATAAACATCTAAAGTGTGACATTTAATGAGCGAAGACTAATTGGTGAAGGTGTTTCGTATGTTTTTTTTACTACAACTGGTCTAGATTCAATTAATAGACGAGACACAAAAGTGGGTGAGTCAAAAAAATTTATACGGTTCTATGTTTCGGAAGGCATGTCAAATCGTTGGTCTGACGCCTAAAGCGGTGCACGCAGTTTGAACAGAATTGTGACATCAATTTATAATAACCCACAAAGTAGTAGAAGACTACAACTTTTTCTATGTCAGCACCGATAATAACTCCATAGCAATTATTTACGTTATGTATCGCAATTCCACAGTACCAACTATTATGAAAGTAACACTCTCATAGTTAAAACTAAAATACGCCGCGTACAAACTAAAATAACTACAAAATAATTAAGTAAACCTTTTATAAACGTATCTTATTGACTTCGTATAAGTTAAAAGTAAATAAATACAGGGTGTAAATAATTGCTCCACGTCGTAATAATATAATTTCTTTTATTTTTGTTCCATTTCATGGAAAACAATCTTAATTTTATAACCTAATTTAGCAATTTTTTACACCTTATACTAATTAATATTTATATACAATGCGTTGAATACGAAAATATCATTTTTATACTAAGCAAAAGCAGACTGATCATTAAAGTATACAGGACGCAAAATTTAAAAAATATATAATCATAATAATAACACACTGACAAACAACTCTTTTAATTACAATTCATTAAGTTAAAAATTACAACGAAAAGATTTTTCGAAAATGTCAGCTATATCACTTGATTTAAAATTACCAAAGAGCAAATAATACGTGGAATAAATTAAATAATAATGTTTAATACATTTGATGCATCTTCAACGTACAAAACCATCCAATCTGACTTAAGATTTGGCGGACTGAAAGAAATGAGGGCTATCGTTTTAGCGCTCACCAGTTAGCGCCACTGTAGAGTAAGGTCCTGTCACTTGCTAGTAGCGAAGACAGTGGCACCAACTGGTGAGCGCGAAAGTGGTAGGAGGACTATCGCATTTGCACTCATCAAGATGGCGCCACTGTAGAGTAAGGTCCTGTCAATCGCCAGGGGTGCCAACTGTTAAGTATAAAAACGATAGCCCTCATTGGCCGTATCTTGGTGTCAGACCTATCAGTATCAGGCACATCTGATGATGTCGAGCTACATTACAATACACACGCTTCTTCACCGTGAAATGGCAATAGATAACAATAGTACTAGCGTACAAAGTGGACCTTACGTCGCCGTTTACACACTAAAATTGCTTAAAGAAAACATGAATTTTAGAGTTAAGAAATGTCGTAGACAAATCTTACAAAGGACACTGCCAGGATACGGACTGAGTTAGGACTCCTTGATGATTAGGAAGATTGGGAGAATTTCTAGACGGTCTAGATGACATAATAAAAGCTATCGAATTCAATTCCAAGGTTTAGAACATAGTTAAATAGACAACGAATGACGTATTAAAATTAAATAACAAAGGAGTCCTAATTTTGAGGAACACAAACAGGCAAATTCTACAGAATGACGACCTCCGCAGTCCTTGACTGTCTGTGCAAAGTTACACAATAATTATTTGTTCTAAAGGCACATCATAAAAAGTATATCATCAACTAATGATATTATAATTACAATTCATTCAAGTTATTACATCAAGATTTACGAGAACTAGACTTTAACAAACTTGATCTAAAGGCAACAGTTCAAATATCTCTTTCACACATAATCGGACTAAGAAAATGTGGTTTAGCTAGCGGGTCGGGGTAGGAACACTAGTCACACTTCTCGATATTTATTGTCTAATTTAAAATGACACCAATTCATAAGTTCATGATAAATTCATAAGTTTCACACAATAGGAAGCAGTTTGTATGTACCTATTTCGTTGAGTCAGTCTAAGGCTCATATTATAAAACGCCATCCAAGTTAGAGTTGAAATCTTTCAGCAATAATAGGCAACCTGTGATTGGCCACAACCAATCGGGTTTGGATCGACTTTTGGGATTCATTTGATAATACGGGCCTATGAACTGATTTATTTGAAACTAACACTAAGGGCTCTTTCACATTTAGTTCAAATAAGTCTGACGAATATTTTGTTGTTAGACTGAAGTATAAATCCTTATAATTTCTGCCACAAACATATTATTTTCATTGTACTTTTTCTACCATCATACAGCAATAAACAACAAGTATACATAGAGGATTATCTAATTTATTATGGCAAATAGTGAAGCTAGCCGACTAACGATGCAATATGTCTGAAAAGTTATGTTCATATAATGTCCTCGTGTCACATTTACATACAATTTTCCTATATTTTTGTCTGTGAGTTGTGAACACTTCTTTTATTAATTCTGATGTATGTCAAGATTCATATATTTTTTTTAAAAGTGACAGTCACTGGACTCTTAATTTATTTAAAATCCATTGAAAAAAGTCATAATTATTACGTGACCGGTTTATGATCGTATACCAGACATTATCAAGCCCGTATTCACAAACGATGCTTGCTTAAGTGAAGCAGCAAATCAAACGCACAGCGTTGAATAGAGGTCTGCGATTGGTTCGTGTGTCACCCTGTGCGTCCACGGGCACTGTGAGACCTCATAGTAATGTTTGTGAATACGGGCTATCAATCTACCTAGTGTAGGACATATTATTTGCTGTATGAATTTGTTTCCTTATTTTGATTAACTTGTAATAAACTAAAACAGATATTTTTTTCTCTTTCGTTTTTATCAAACACAGACATACCTTCAACATTGCATAGCAAGGAATAAACTAGTAATGATACTACGAAAGTACTCGTACGTACTCGTAAAAGTATAGGCACTCGATACTACAATGCTACTGAACCACACACACTTGAGCATTCACCGCCCTCATGAAAAATTATTAATTTAATGTCTATCTATTTTTCCAAATTTTCTTTGTTTTATATCAAAGTTTTCATGTTTCAAGTTTTAACAGACATACTGACTTCGTAAGCTTTACTTAATTTTGACTGATTGTTTGTACTTCAAAATTCAGTGATCTAAAAGAGGTCGCAATTTTTTATGATTTCTCACATACAGGGTTACCTTAATACATCCTATGGTAGTTGCGTTGCTAGCGAGAATCTACTTAGCTTGTCAAACTGATCATAGTAATGAAAATATTTTGCTTATATCTTTCGAACTCTAAAATGAATGTTATTCTTTTATTCAACAAATGCAAATTTATTGCAATTTAAATATTTATTTTTAAACCTGACTTCACAAGTTGACTAATGATAATAAAATCTAGTGAACTGAAGCTTTTCCAGACAAAAATTATGGTCGATTGTTAGCCTGATTGACCAAAAAGTATAAAACAATAAATCATCATCATCAGTCATGAATAACCGTAGTATAGTAGTGCAGTCCATCACGCTGTGTATTTATTACACTCGAGTTTTATTGACAGCTCATTTTATTTAGCAAAGATTTTATTTATTAGTACATTAAAATGGTCCTATCACAAGTTCAGTTTACATTCATTCACTCACTCACAAACACTTCAGTCATTCTAAATTGATATTGCCTTTTCGTTGTCTACCGTCGTATTCATAGTCATAGTAGTTAACACTTCTGTGGATGGATGTGGCGTAGCTTCTACTAACACCAGCAAATTCTACTGTAAAAGCGTATTTATAGGAAGTTTTAGTTATGAAGAACTAGCAAATTCTGTGTCGACTTCTATACTCGTTTGCCAAATAACAACATACATAATTTATTGTATAGTCTAGTTTTTAATTCGAGGTTAGTAACTGACATTTAACCTTAAAACCAACCAATACGAATCATTGAAAGACCGAAAGTCAGTTATTACTCGAAATAAAAACAGACTATAACACAGATTTTGCCGTTTGTGGTCTGTTCTAAACATCGTACAGTTTTGTAGCTTTGATTAAGAATGGTCACACAGCGGTAGTTTAGATGTATGTCACCGTAATATTGTGAATTCCGTCAGATTATAATCTGACGTAGTTAAATTACAATCTAACCTAACCCACTGTTAGTTTACAATCTCACGCGTTATATTATAAACTGACGGAGTTCACAATTTCGTGTTGACATATAGATATGATCGGTGTGAGCAAGCAACAACAATTATTCCCATACAATAAGAGGCACATTGCGTCAGCTGCATAAAGTCCGGTCCGCGCACGCACACGGAGGCTTGTGTCCACTGCACAGTGTGGGGGAGACGCGTGTGTGTGTGAGAGGGGTTCAGTCGACGCCCGCGAAGCCCTGCGAGCCCTCGATGGCCTTGATGAGTTTCTCTCGGAGTTGCTGGTAGCTCTCGTATGGAGGTAAATCTATGCGGTTGAAGCTGGAAAGGAGACGCGATTCAAATATTAGAACAATCAGAGAGAATCTGAGATCTATCACGCAGTGTCCTCTAAGTCACAAGAAGTAACGACACCCTCGCGAAGCGCCGCAATCCGGCACATAAGCCGCAAGAAAGGGGTACTATTGGTTTGATCGTACTCGTCGCCGACTTAGGACATCGCGTTAGGGTGCATTTCCACTGAGACTAAACCGAACGGAACGGTGGTTTCATATTCCATTCCTTCCATTCATTTCCATCTCCAGTTGTTGAATACGTAAATAGTAAGCCCGATCCGCTCAACATCAATATTCGTCCGAAACTACCATAAGCGATTGTATGGTCGTCAATGTGTTTCCAGCTGTAACTTAGCAGGTGACCTGGTTTCCGTCACATGCTGGGAGCTACAACTCAACTCTCAATTCGATCCGGCCAGTTGACGAGGATCGAAATGTCGGGGGTGTGAGAGGATCGACTAAGGACTATTATAAGGTCAAGTTGTCCGAGTCGAGTTGACCGGCATCTTGTTATCGTAGACTATCTGGAGACACCAGCCTGTCAGTCTCATAAAAACTCATTTATTTATGCAAGGAGACTTTTAAAAAGTACTTTTACACGTCCCAGTATTAACTCTAACACTGCTTCAACACAATAACTGGGCCAGAGAAGAAGCAGCGCAAGAAACTTATGCCCGTTTTCACCATCAATCCCTAATTTTTGTGACTGCTATGAAAAGAAAATTCCTGTTATGTGTTACTTACAAATCACTTAAAAATTAGGGATTGATGGTGGAAACGGGCTCGTCTCTATTACTTACCAGGTGTGCGCGCGAGGGTAGTTGTCAGGGCTGCCCCACTTCTCGATGGTGAACAGCTGCGGGCCGTTGGAGCCGTACAGCTCCTTGAAGCCGTTCATCGGAACACGAGACGTCCCTGTTACGAACTGTAGCAGGCGCGAGCGCATCTCGTTAGAGAATGATAGCACCACCTGGAAATTAAATGAATGAGTTTATTCAGTACATAGGCACAAAATATAACAGAAGGTAAACTCATGTATGTACCTCGCTTTGCATACTTGCGCTCGGCCGTCGCGCTAGGGTTGTCTTGTCATGTGTTGCGTTTATTTCGTTATGATAGAAAAATGTAACTCTTAATACTATGGAAGAAAGATAATAACAGATCGTATAATTATGTAGTTATGTTTAGTACGTTATTATAGTAATAGTTTGCAAACAAATACACAAGAAGGAAGTAGTATGTAGGTGGGTGGTTGACACTATTATCCAATAATTCCTAAAACCTCTTTAAAACACTTCGATATTCCTAATAATTGAGTTGGCTTTCAATTTGTCAACGTTAAACGAACTATTGAAATTCAAATAAATACCTTACTTACCTCCCGGAATCAACTGGTAGTTTAAACAACGAAAATTTAGTTCTTAATGTTGAGTGTAAGCAACCATCTACTTAACAAATGTTATAATACCCCTTTTTTGTTGTTCACTCATTTTCGCACAAACAAAATAATTTCACAAACGCGTGAGCAGTCGCGCCTCGCATTCGTCCAAGACAGTCTTAATAACGCGTAAGTGAGCAGTGTCTATGTGTGCGTGGCTCGAGCGCGCTTAGTATGGAGTTTACCTTCTGTTATATTTTGTGACATAGGCCCTTTTACAGGGCACTTATACACGTCCCAAATATAACTTGCCCTACAACCACTTCGGGACAACATATGGGCTGGTGCTGAGAAGAAGTGGCGGAACTCAGTTATCTTTCTCAGTCATGCGATTTGTTTTAATAAAAATATGGCTCTTTAATAAAGATTTAATTAATGCTACTGACAACGCCACTCTCGTAGCGGAGTTTTGGTCTGACACTGTTTACTGTATAAGTTTGGTTTCGACATGACAAGAAAAAGAATATGGCTCTTGTAAAATGATCATCAAAAGGATGAGAGAGTTGACAAGAGAGATAAGAGAGCCTTAGTGGGCGGGGCAAATAGCCTGTAGAACTGATAGGTGTTGCGGCAGAAAGGTGGGCGGGGCAAATAGCCCGTAGAACTGATAGGTGTTGCGGCAGAAAGATTCTCGCATGATAATCCCACAGTGATGTATACAGGCTTTTCATTCGGTGGATCGACAATCCAGTGAAGTGCACGGAAAGCACCAGGATGCGGGCGATGCAAGATCGGTCGTTAACCTGAGATGTTTCCATGGGAAAAGCTTTTGTCTAAGGGGGCGTCCATTAATTACGTGAGACAATTTTGGGTATTATTTAACCCACGTAATTAATGGACGCCCCCTAACAGTGTTCATTCCTGGTCGCTTGATTGAAATGAGTGTACGAGGGGTAATCGAGGACAACTTTGCACTCACCCGCCAGAACCACTGCACGACAAGGTGGTTGGCGTGGTAGTCGCCCTTGTATAGCGTGTTGGCGCGCCAGTCGCGCACGTCGATGTGCTGGATTCCGCACAGCAGCAGCTCCAGTTCGTGCTCGTCGAAGATCTTCAGCAGCGGCAGCGGCACCAGCGCGCCCAGACCCTCCAGGAACGCGAACATCTGCTCCTGAACGCGGCTCACGAAGCGCCACTGGATCACTAGTCTGGAGACAGACCGCTCACTTTAGCAACTAATATCAGGCCTGTTCATCTCCGCAAGTTTACATCGCAAACAAAACACGCACGATGGCCCACCTACAGGATACTATTCGACAAGGCCTCACATACGAGCGAACATTGACTCACGCACGCGTATTCTTGTGTATGATGGAAGAAAATAAAGAAAATGGTGTAGTAAATACTGTGCAGTATTTAACTGCCTAAATAATAATAAAAACACAGAATGTAATTTTTTAAGTTGCCTCAAGACACTGAGAGGTAAATAAGTAGTTAATATTATTCATGATAATTCATGCTAAATCATGTATTTCCTCCGCCATTTTCCGCAATTTGGCACCTCACGTCACATCATTTTACCGAAGTCAGCCCTATAGCTTCGGCGCAGTGCCGATCACTGACGTTTGTCAACAAAATGGTGTTTGACTCTTGAGACAGGCTAAATTACACCATATTGTTAATGACATTGAACATACATTTTTTTAAATACCTTCGCGAAGTAAAACTTCTGTACGTAGTACTTATTATTATTCTGTGCTAATATACTCAGCATCAAATTAACGCGAACTACAAAGATTTTCTTCTGACACAATCATGGTGCCCCAACAATATTGGTGTTATTTGAAAGCCCAATAAATCACCGTTTGATGAGAGCGAGAGAAAAAACGGAAATGGGTATCTGAAACTGTAATCCATTGTACAGCACATCACACTATACATTGTCTTTGCAAAATCGCCCACAAATCACATACAACAATGTTAAGTTGGACATGACGTCATCTGTACATAGCTTAGTCGTGGGGTTCCCACGGAGAAGAATAGGACCAATACTATGGACATAGCCCGACGGATTAGCAAGCTTAAGTGGCAATGGGCAGGGCACATAGTACGCAGAACTGACGGCCGATGGGGCAGCAAGATACTGGAGTGGAGGCCGCGTACCGGAAAACGCAGCGTGGGACGTCCACCCACAAGGTGAACCGACGACATAATAAAGGTAGCAGGAAAGCGCTGGATGCAGGCCGCTACCAACCGGGTAACATGGAAAGCATTGGGGGATGCCTATGTTCAGCAGTGGAGGTCCTATGGCTGAGATGATGATGATGATAATGATAATGATGATGATGATGATGAATGCTCGCCCGCTAAAACTTCTCTCTTTATGTGTAGATGCAGCACATCAAACTACGTTATTGTTGCAAAATCGCCCCTAACACAACTACATAAGATACCATAATGTTTATGCCTCCTGTAACTTAGCCAATTCCATTCATCCCATGCAAATCGTAAAAGGCGACTAAGGAACAAAATAATATGAGACCATCAGGGCTTCCCAACCCGTATAGCCAGTATGCGAAGTGTTGATCAAATCCTTCACATGCCTCTATAGTCTGGTCTCTCGCACACTCACTGCGGGCGCCCGTCGCACAGTCGCGACAGCAATATAATTACGCGCGAGCGATAAGGATGGGTAGCTTGGGGTCATTGGACAAAATTCTACGTGCTCACAGACCGGGCTTTAGCATTTAGCTAAATTATTCTTACGTCATTTACTATGGGCCACATTTCCAGCTACCCATTTCCAATCATGTCCTCTCGTTCTCTCTTTTGCGATAGATCGCTAGGAATCACCACTTGATGAGAGCAAGAGAAAAAACGGAAATGGGTAGTTAGAACTGTGCGACCCATTGCACAGTACATCATACTATACATTGTCTTTGCAAAATCGCCCGCAAATCAACTGCATAAAATACCATAATGTTAAGCTGGACATGACGTCATATATACATAGCATAATCGTAGGAAACCCACAGAGTAGAGAAGAATAGACCAAGACCAAACCCCATTCTTCCCGAGTCATAAAATGCGACTAAGTGATAAACTTTCAATACGATAATGTTATGGTTTATGGAATAAATGACTATGACTTCTAACCCGTCTGGATGGCGGAAACTGTAGGCCTAATCCATTAAGGTAAATGAAAGTGGGTCGTCTTCCTGCAATGGATACTAAATGATCTGACAGTGACATTCATAACGATACAATATTTACTTACTTAATATACTCATCCTTATTTTCGTTATCTACGGAAATATTCGCGCCTCCCGGCTTGAGGTCTCTTTGGATGGTCTTGCCGAACTGCTCCTCGTCTACCGAGAACGTGAGGTCCAGTTCTGATGGGTCGTTTTCCTGGAAGTATAGAAATACTGGTTATTTTGACCCTCAAACAAGTATGTGAATCCTTTCACTATTACCGGAAATACGCTAAATTAATATTTTAAGTGCAAAGGTCTATAATAAGACTGAGTGAAGGAAGCCTGCTTGTGAGCACGACTGTAACAACATAGCTGAAACGTCTAGCAAGTACTTATTTACTGACGCGTTCAGTGTAAAAAGTGTGCATTTGAGTCCCGTTTTCTCACTTAAAAGGTTCTTATATTTTATTTATTTAATAGGACAACCAACAAGACATACACTAGAAGTCAATCAATATTTACAACGTATTTAAACTTAATCTAAGTGCTGCCTTAATTAAAGGTTGCCACGGCATGCAATAGTGGACTTATACTGTTGGGAACCCAACAACGCGCGGGAGGAGACGTGCGGGCGGCGTACAATGACTAACGTCACCTCGGGCCGACAGCGTCATCATCGGCTGCGCTCGGGTCACACACTCGCCTTTGGGACACCACCGTCGTCGCACAAATACCGCGTAGTCTAAGATAGTTTTCCTGTAATTAGGCTGGCGAGAATACAGCACCTATTTTTATACAGTCCGCTATTTCATTCATTATACTAATATTCGTTAGGACCCTAACAATACATTTAAACTGTGTCTACACTAAAAGAAAAGAGTTTCTTCAGCGAGTATTATTTAGCTGGAATAACATTTCGCCAGCGACTCGATGCGAAGCTGTTTAGGATTTTGCGCTTAAATGAAGATAGCTTGTCCCGAAAGACATCTATCATAACATCTTATAGATAACATTTTCAAAATCAAAATCAAAATCAAAAAATATTTATTCAGTTTAGACCACAAGTGGCACTTATGAACGTCAATAGAAAATAATAAAAAAAGAAAAAGGTAGCCCTTATGGGGCACTTTACATGTCTCCTTATCTTTTGGGCCCTACCAGCGCTTCGAGACAAACATATGGCAAGTGCTGAGAAGAAACGCCGGAACAAACTCAATTTAATTTCTTTTCTCAATTTAATCCGTAAAGGTAATATGAATGTACCTTGATCCACATAAGCGAGTTGTAGTACTCGAGGTCGACGGACTCCATGTCGTTGAGATCGATCTGCTTGCCCAACATCATCTTGTAGAACGGACGGATGAAGAATGCTGCCGACAATAACAAAATTAACGTCACTAATGAGGGCTATCGTTTTAGCGCTCACCAGTTAGCGCCACTGTAGAGTAAGGTCCTGTCACTTGCTAGTAGCGAAGACAGTGGCACCAACTGGTGAGCGCGAAAGTGGTAGGAGGACTATCGCATTTGCACTCATCAAGATGGCGCCACTGTAGAGTAAGGTCCTGTCAATCGCCATCGGTGCCAACTGTTAAGTATAAAAACGATAGCCCTCATTGTGAAATTATAGCAGGATTTGTACATAGGCCTTTTTATACTGATCATTTTTATGTCTGTGCAATAGTGTTTAAATAAATAAATAGGCCATTTTGTTACTACAAGAACTATTGAACGGTAATAAACATTTTCTTACCCAGATAGATAGCGAAACGGCCATGCCACATATTTTGGGTAAGGTATAGAATTTGTGAAGTTAAGATAAGTAGAGTTGGAACTACATAGTTAGAAGATTGGCTCCACATGAGGTCTAATAAACTTTTTCACGGTGCGAACCACGGGTCTCGACTTGGCAACATTTTACATGAAAATGTTTTTGGTTAGGGTTGATCTGCAGCGTGCAGTATCTAGGCAAAGTGACCCCTATCACGAGGCCATAAAGCCTTGGGCAGACCAAACGCAGGGCAGTAGCAGCGCAGTTTGAATACGGGCCCGCGCAAGTTGTAATACAAGATACTCTTTGAAGTATGTCACACCAAATTTGAACGCGGGCCCGCGCTCCAACCGCGCCGCACTGCAACTGCCGAACGACAAACGAGGCGGCGCGGGCGCGGGACAGAAGCGGCGCGAGCGCGGGCCCGCGCTGTTGTATTACTATGGCGGCCACATGACACACCGGACGCAGGGCGGTAGCAGCGCGTTGAAAGCGGTTTTCGAATATTTATATTTTTGACAACCGCCCGCGTTGCAACTGCTTTGAAACTGCGCTGCTTTCAGTGTGCCTCAGCCGCGCTGCAACTGACCCGCACTGATTCTGACCCGCTTTTGGTCTGTGAAAGCCTTGATTAAGACATACCGTCGAGCAGCTTGCCGTGGTAGACCGCCATGCCGGCCACGCGGCCGATGAACTTGAAGTAGTTGAGGTGCTCCTCGTTGCACACGCCGCTGTTAGGGTTGATCTGCAGCGTGTAGTTGTCCATGGCCGAGTATTCGAATAACCCATAGTACGGGTTGAACATCTCCTTGGACAGCAGGAAGAACCACTCGCGAGCCAGGCCGCCGTAGTCTGAAATAATTTGACCGTTAGTAACAGAATTAACGCTTTCGTGAACCAATGATTGGCGAGTTAGGCTCTCTCTACTCTCAGACTTTGGTTTTGAGACCCATTTGGGAATATACACTTCGTGTAATAACCACGTTAGATATTTGTTACCAATTTAATTAGGATATTGTTCATTTGACTATCTGAAAAGAAGACAAGTACCTTGCTTCGGAGGGTACAAAATACCTTGTTTCAGAGCCTTTCTTGTACCTTGCTTCAGATGGTACTTCTCGTTCATTTTCATCATATCATTTTCCTGATCTATAACAACTATGAGCAAGCATATTTCATCGTAGATCAAATACTTCTTACCATCACGCTAGGATATGCCATAAGCAGACTTCAAAATAACAGCCTTTAAAAACTTCACTGCAGGCCATAAAAGTGTGGTAAAATATTACCAAAAACAAATGAATTGAAATCATTTGCCTAAAAAAAAAATTAACCCCACTACTCCTCAATCCGACTGGCCAGACTGGGTAGTGTTGGCCAAATCCTTCAAACACCTAGTAAATTAGAGGTTTATGACCTGACCAGTAGGCCTAGGATGCGCGCCGCGATAAGCGGTTATCACGCCATTTTATCGATTTTGCCCATACATTTTGACGTCGATAAAAGCACAGAATAATAATAAGTACTTCGTACAGAAGATTTTCTTCGCGAAGGTATTTAAAAAAATGTATGCTCAATGTCGTTAACAATATGGTGTAATTTAGCTTGTCTCAAGAGTCGAGCACCATTTTGTTGACAAACGTCAGTGATCGGTACTGCGCCGAAGACATAGGGCTGACTTCGGTAAAATGATGTGTGATGTGAGGTGCCAAACTGCGAAAAATGGCGGAGGAAATACATTAATAAGCATGAATTATATTTTGTGTTTCTAATATTATTCAGGCAGTTAAAAATACTGTAGAGTATTAATTGCACCACCGTTTTTACATATGGTTTATTGTCTTTACAATGCAAATGGGTGAAGAATACGTGCGTGCGTCAATACTCGCTCGTGATTGTCCTGTCGATTTGGTATCTCAGGAGGGGTAGTCGCGCGTGTTTTGTTTTCGATGCAAACTCGCGGAGATGAACAGGCCTGATAAAAGCTATCACGGCGCGCATCTTAGGCCTACTGATGATGATGACGCAGATAAACTCCTGTTATAAATAAAGCATGAAGTGACTCACCGAGGCCGACCTCGGACTCGAACTCGACCCAGAGCTTTGTCTTGAGCAGGTCGAGGCGCACGACGGAGCTGATGATGCGGTACGAGTCCTCCAGGATCGAGTTCCGCCGCACCTTGATCTCGAACTTGTTGGGCACGTTGCTCTGCGGGATGGGATTTTATGTATAGCCTGACCAGGAACATAAAAACCCTGGCATAGAGGCGCTTCAATTGCATTTGATAGTGCAACACTGGGTACAGTCGTACCTGTATTAAATTAATAGGCTAACTTTATGTATCAGGATTCAGGATTATAGGCTTATTTAATATTTTCATAAATTAACAAAAACGTATTATATTATAGATAAACTGGTTTAAATAAATTAAATGAAACCATCAATCGAGCAAGTAGGATTTTATTATTATTCATCAATAATCAAATTCTGAACTTGAATATTCAACTGTTACTGCAATGTCTGCTCATGAACGCTTCAAACTCGGTACTTCTATCCCAATTCCATAAAATTCAATACTTACAAAGTGACAAAAAACTTTAAAATAGGTAGTTGAAACAAACCACAGCTAATTTTCATAGTTGACTGTACTATACGATAAACATGTCAGTCNATTTAGAAAAACGTATAACTTGACTTAAATATGTTAAAAAATTAGTTAGAAAAATTTTTTGTTAAATATGTTAAAAAAATAGTTTTAATTTAATATGACATTTCTCGATATGTCCCAACACTAACATTTTTGTAACTCGAGATAACCTTGTAGAGACGTCGTTAATACTCTAGCTTGATTTTTATAATTTCGAATTACTACTTATTGGTGTAATTTAACGCTGCATTTACACGAAATTATCATTTTTATTGGAAGCACTGTCGTCGAAAATATTGTTTGTAGGTCAGACGTGAATTATTTCTTGTCCGCTAATATTTAGCTCTCATTGAACGCTACTACAAAGTTATGTCGTTACTTTTGATGACATCTGTCATTCTAATCAAGCTATATTGGATAGACTATACGTCACATTTTCAAAATCCGCGCGGAAAATCGCTCCGAGCGGAAGAGCGCACTTTGAGCTTGAATATTTCAGTCATTTTTAAAGATATCAAAAAAATAAAAATACAGTATTCATTCTAATTTTTTGTAGTTTTTTTTGGCATCTTCAACAAAAATTGTGCGCCATGTCCATTGCGCACATTTAAAATAAAGTTTGTTTACACTTTGACAGCAATAGACTGACATGCAAGGTGACATGTCAATGAAGTTTTCAGTTACTGTTGCCATTAAAAGAAATTAGTACCATTAATTTTCCGCAACATGGCGAGGGTTTTTATGTTCCTGGTCAGGCTATAATTTACGTGGAAAGATTCTACAAAACACGGATGTATTCAGAAAAGCCGCCTCTGATCTAGTGGTAAGACCACCTGCTTCAGACGCAGAGGTCCCGGGTTCGATTCACAGTGGGGGCAGATTTTTCTGTTCGGTTTGGTTGGTGGTAGGGCTTGTTCTAAGTCCGCCTGGCTAGCTACCACCATCTTACCTAAGTCTGTCGCCATAACAACAATGTTAACAGCGTTGTTGTGTTCCGGCAGTTAGAGGTAAGATAGCCAGTTCCTCCGTGGTTGAGGATTCCGGGTAAACTCGCTTCCACCTTCGGCCTGATCATAACTTACCATCAGGTGAGATACAGGCCAAGAGCTTCCTCGTTGTGGATAAAAAAAAATTAAAAAAAGATATTTAGCAATCTTGGACTGATATTATGGACCCACTCGTAACATACGCATAAATTTTTTAGCTGGACAGAATAACGGGGCTTCTTTAAAAAATACTCGTTATGATACTTGGTTTTGGAAACTATGATACCAATGTTAATAAATAAATTAATATCTTTGGACATATTACACTGCGCCGCTAGTCCCAAACTAACCAAAGCTTGTACTATGGGTACTAGACAAGGGATATAAAAATACTTAAATCCTTTGAATGTAGAGGCAGCATGACTTACCGGCTTGCGCAGCTGGCTCTTGAGGTACTCATATTTGCGTTTGTAGTCGCGCGAGTACGGTACAGCAGGGCCCGCGATTTGTGGGTTGGACAGCCGCGGGTCTTCCCATTGGGTGGTTCTTGTATCTGAGGAAAATATAAATAACTAATGATTAGCATCTTTAGAACCCTTCAGATAAGGTACAAATACTATTTTTAGTACAAACCTCGGCTCACGACCAACGAATTACACGTTTTAAGTCATTTAACTTGACTCTAAAAAAGGATTTACTACGAGTTTAAAGTTTAATCTCTCTCTCTTATTATTTTATTTTTTATTTTTTGTTGCTTTCTTTTTGTTGTTTAAATTCAAAGTTGTAATTAGGTACTATATTATGTTATTGTATTGTGTAAAGTTCACGGGTTGCTTACATTATAATATTATGCATGCTGTGGTTATCGTTTGTGTGGGAGCAGTTAGCTAGAGACCTTTGGCTTAATTTTTTATTTGTGTTTAATACTGTATCTCATGTTGATAGCCCAATAAAATAAATAAATAAATAAATCTCCATGCTCTCATGGCAGAATAATACAGTTGTTCAATTCATAATTGTAAACATTACTATTATCTTTCAATTAAATACTTTGACTCTATAGTCTGGTCTGCGAGCACGTAGAATTTTGTCGAATGACCCCAAGCTACTAATTATATTAATTGCTGTCGCGCTCGCACACTCACTGCGGGCGCGCGTCGCACAGTCGCGACAGCAATATAATTACGCGCGAGCGATAAGGATGGGTAGCTTGGGGTCATTGGACAAAATTCTACGTGCTCACAGGCCGGGCTTTAGTTACTTAGAACTCGTAAGATGCAGGTTGGACATGTGTAATCAGAATTTCAACCTTATTACAGTGGAATGAACTAGGTAATGTATTGACGTTAGTTCTCGAGACTGTACTCACTGTGGTCTATGAAGAATATCCTCCCGTCGGTATGCACGCGCTCCTCCCAGCCCTCCGGCAAAGCGCCAAGCTCGTCTGCCTCCGCACTCGCCGCCGCCGCCGCCGACGGCAGGTGAGACGCGCAGCCTGAAACGTGCCTTGTTGCTTAGGGAATAAGAACCATATTGGTTTGTATGGAGACGTATACGGACCGTGACGTCATAGTATAAAAAGATAATTTTTCAAAACATATTGCCTGCTACGGGATATGCAAGAAGATACGTTTGTATGACACTGAGAGCATAATATTTAATTATAAAAACGTTGAAAAAATCTGCCTAGGGCGGGAATCGAACCCACGACTTTTCGCTTGACGGGCAACTGCTCTTCCATCTGAGCTATTTAGCCACTGGATATTTAATTTTTTTTCAGTCTTCATGCTGACTCCAGGCTTTCTTCAGTTCTTCGTTTTTCCTTGTCATATTTTGCTAAGCAAAGATTAGATTAGGATTTAACATAACTTAATTTAAGTTCTGGTGGCTTAGCCGAATGACTGTAAACGATAATGGCGAAAAAAATGCCCCTTATACTTTATGGATGATCCCTAAGTGTTGAGTAAATATTCTCCAATCGTACCTGTCCTCGGATCTATCCACGTGGTGGTCTTCTGGTTGTGGTCGATGAAGAATATTCTGCCGTTAGGTGCCCTCTGCATGGTCCAGCCGGGAGGTAGACCTACAATTAGTTTACATTAACGATAAGTAAAAATAAATGGTATTCCAAGTTGTTTAAATCTCTTTCGCGTTCAATTCGATCCGAATTTGTATTTAAAAACGACGTGGAGCGTACAAGTAGGTATACAAAGTTTCCTGCTTTTCGCTAATATGCAATATCTCGTACAAAAGCCACTGAAGGTAACTGATACGCCCCTAACGGCCTATGTGTTTTTTGAAACTTGACTTTGACTTCGTTTCCACATCACCTCTCCGCTCAACTTCGGTTCAGAAATCTGATTGGTTATTCAAATTCAAACGCATCTCTTTCCTTTAGGTAGAAACCGGGCCTAAAGCCGCTAGGTGGCGTACCAGTTACCCACATCTGCTTTTGTACAGTCAGCGTCAAATATGTAGTTCTTGCCACTCAAAGTAGCCCAAAAAGTTCGCAACACGTCTTTGTTATAATAGGCTAGATGACAAAATTTCAATTATTTGTCCGTCAGACAGATAATTAGAAAATATTAGACTCATATTTTGTATTTTCTTTCATAATTAAATAATAACAGTGCTACATCGAGTTGAAATGGCGCGTTACGTCACGCTTGTGTAGATTTTTTACTCAAAAGTGACATCACGCGACATTTCAACTCAATATAATATAGCCCGACCAGGAACATAAAACCTCGCCATGTTGCGGAAAACTAATGGTACTAATTTCTTTTAATGGCAACAGTAACTGAAAACTTCATTGACATGTCACCTTGCATGTCAGTCTATTGCTGTCAAAGTGTAAACAAACTTTATTTTAAATGTGCGCAATTGATTTTGTGAATTAAATTGCTAAAATCTTTTTATAGTCGTGAAAGAAAAGTGGTTCACAATGTGTTAAAGTATTTGTCGAAGAGAAATACTAAGGGTTCGGACAATATTTTCATTGAATAATGTTTCCGACAAAGGTTGTCAAATTGACTGACATGTTTATCGTATAGTACAGTCCACTATGAAAATTAGCTGTGGTTTGTTTCAAGTACCTATTTTAAAATAAATTGTCACTTTCTAAGTGTCGAATTTTATGGAATTGGGAAAGAAGTACCGAGTTTGAAGCGTTCATGAGCAAACATTGCAGTTGAATATTCAAGTTCTGAATTTGATTATTGATAAAATAAATCCTACTAGCTCGATTGATGGTTTCATTTAATTTATTTAAACCAGTAGGCCTAAGATGCGCGCCGTGATAACTTTTAACGACGTCAATTTGTATGGGCCAAATCGATAAAATGGCGTGATAACCGCCTATCACGGCGCGCATCTTAGGCCTACAGGTTACCTATAATAACATTTTTTCGTTAATTTATGAAAATATCAAATTAGCCCGTAATCCTGAATCCTGATACATAAAGTTAGCCTATTAATTTAACACAGGTACGACTGTACTCAGTGTTGCACTATCAAATGCAATTGACGCGCCTCTATGCCAGGGTTTTTATGTTCCTGGTCAGGCTATACTGTAATTATTCGATTATGAAAAACATTTAAAAATATGTCTCCTCATTTTTTTTATTATCTGTCTGACGGACTAAATAGAATTTAGATTTCATTACCCAGTCACCATTACTATTAGAATAAGTTGTGCTATCAGCTTTGTCACGAACTATTTGACGCTGACTGTACCCGTAGAGCTTTTCGACGATTTTTCATCGATTTCACAAGGTAAGGGTAAATGTAACATACCGTCACTATTGGGCAGGTTCTGGCTACCAGTGCTACTGGCGCTGCTACTCCGTGTGCTCTCTGTCGAGCCGTCAGTCTCGTCCTACAACACTCGCACGCATCACACAACTGAAATTACACCTTATGACTGTGGGATAGGGTATATTAACAAGATTCAACTCTTTGACTATAAGGTTCATAACGGTAAATAACTGGAACTTTGGAATTGAGTTTGTTATCGATGAGGTCCTTACTCATTATGCAATCAAAGAAGTATAACAAATGACTGTAGAAAGAAACAGTTTTAGTGTCACTATCTGGAGTTTATTTTTAGGAAATCGAGGCGTAATTCGTAAGGATCTTATTAAAAAATCACAATATCAATACATTACCTAAACACTTCATCAATACATCGTATACAAACGTTATGTAACTCAATAAAAACGTGCAACCCACCAACTCAGTGCAAGAAAAATACTTAAGAATATCCTGTCTCCCACAAAATCTACATTAATGACGTCACAATATCCTGAAACCTCGATGCAAACTATCTACAAACCAAACACTAACTTCAACAAATCCAACTACCTCTAAACTAAAAACTACAATGCATACAATAGCATACTAAAAGCTAAACTGTACAAAACAAATGACACTAAAGTACATACATGAGATGACGGTATACACAACATGTAGAGCGCAAGCGAGACGGATGGTGTTGCGTGAGACAGACAGTATTAATCTGTGACATCGACAATTCGTTAATGAGTTAATTCGATATCTGTGGAAATATGATCCAGCAAAATAGTTTATTTAATAAATATCTGACATTTTAAGCGTACTATTTATACTGGATCATATTTCTACTGGCAGTCAACCAAACGTCTACACTCAAAACAAATAATTTTAAATCATTTACGAACCTGACATCGAAAAGTGAGTGTCCAGACGACGGTGGACTTCCGTGTGTTTAATGTGACAATCGGTACAACTCACACAGAGCCGCATGTTACTGTACGCTGGGCATTAGTATGCGTTAGTGACGTAAGCAATGACATCACAGCATCGTTGTACCTCACACTCGGAGTTGACTGTTCACATTGGGTCGTCCGAATAACTACTGTTTACGATGTGCCTTAGGCTTAATCCGATAAATAATTTTAATACATCTGAACCTAGCTGTTTCTCTCGCTCACCCTGAAATGCTGGGATGAGTGAAAGAGACCGATAGAGTCGATATATTGAAATCGTTTTACGGAGAAGAGCCCCTGTTTCTAGATTCAAAAAACTAATCTAGCTTGCGTAGATATAAAATAGGATTGACAATTTGTATGTAGTTGTTAAGATACCTTGACAGTCCTATTTTCATTTATTTGGTTTTCTACTATACTTTCTCTTTTGTATTTTCTACTAAGAATGCTACAATTAATTGAATATAGAAAACAGACACGAATTTCGACTGACTTAAGAAACAAGTCTGTAACCTACCAAACGATCGAAGACCCAGTGTAACCAAGCCATCATAGACAATCGGCCCGTCATGGGCAAGCTAGCTCGTGCGGCGGTGCGGAATGTAAAAACGACTTTATTCCTTTTACATAAATGCCATTACCGAGTAAAGGCGTAAGCTGGAAGCATTGTAAGCCTTGTGTTTATGGTATGTGACTGTACATGTTACTAAATGCGGTGTGTAGCGTACCGTCAATTTGCAAGCTGAAATAATTGGATTCTGTATTCGTTTTTATGTCATTATTACAATAGATTCAAATTTTTTTGTGTCATAAATAGTGAACATCAATTCAAAGAAATATAGTGTTCAAATAAGTAGGAAAATTTTTGTAAAACACGGAAAACTTAAAAAAAAACACAATCAAAGATCAGTGATATTTTAGTGTGAAGGTATTTGTGAAGTTGCTTTCAGCTTACGTCATTGTGTCATGGGCCCGCAAAGCGTTTACATTCCGCGAGTGCCGGCGCTTACCTCGGAGTCTTCCAGGGAGCTGGTGGTGCGACGGCGCGCGCGCGGACTGAGCCCGCCCACCGGCGTGCTGAAGTGGTTCTCGTCGAACGTCAACGACTGTTCCGTGGCCTCCGCCGCGTCCACTATCTCTATATCCTGATTCGAATCATCTCCACCCTCCTGCGATTCCACTCCGTTCTCGACTTCAATTGTTCCCGCTGCGCGATGCTCGTCTGTTTCAACATCGTCGGTTACCGTCGTTTCTGGAACGTTGCGATGCTCACTTGTTTCCACATCTCCGTTCGCTTCCACTTCGCTAGCTTCTGTTTCGGTTCCGTTAACGACGACGTCATTTGTTACTTCAGCTTCATTTGTTTCTGCCACACTATCGTCTTGAGTTTCAACTTGGTCTTGCTTAGTTTCGTCGTCGTGCACGTCATTGGCGTCTACCTCTTTATCTGTAGCTGTGTCAGTGGGAACTTGACTAGTACTCGCTTCGTTATCACAGCTGTCTTGAGCAACCTGGGCGTCGTTGGAGCGCGCGGTTTCGTTAGCGCACACTACGTCGTCGTCCTCTCCCCTTAAACTACTATCACAGTCGGTTTCGTTACTTATACTATGCGCTCGCAGATCGGGCGAGCGCGCGGGCGTGGCGTAGGGCGTGTCTGTGGAGTTAGTCTCGCCGCTCCTATTGCTTAGATCCTCCTGTTAGAATTACATTTAATATTACATACGCACTATTTACGCGTGCAGGTTAGGCGCGGGGCATAGCCGGGGATATGGAAATATAAGAAAATGAACAGACTTTTTTGGTATAAAAACATAAAACTCATTTATTTCTGTAAATAGGCTTAAAAAAGCACTTTTACACGTCCCAGTATTAACCCTAACACTGCTTCAGGACAACAAATAGGCCAGTGCTGAGAAGAAGCATAAATACTTTATAACAAAAGGGACTTTCCAGAAACGATTAAAAAAGTACTTAAATTAAAAGAACTTAACAGTTTTTTTAATCCAGTCATATGTTTAGTTAACTAACAGTATTCTTCCTCTCATAAAATAATAAAATGATATGATAAATTATTAAATTTCTGTCATAATAATATGCATGTTTTATCACCTCAATAACATGTTGAAATTATTGAAGAAATTATAAAAATGGGGGGTAAACTCCCTGGCTACGCCTTAAGAACATGTTAGCACACTGCACACATAAATATAGCGTTCGCAATGTGACCCCTCGGGTCCGACAAGTATTGCTTAAGGCTAGCGCTGTGCAGCAATTGTCTATGGTGTGAGGACAACACAATGGAGTCTATGGCGCCCTGTGCCGGTGAGCCCGTTAGTATGTGTGTGTATGAATGTGTACTCACTGTTCTATTATCTATGAATTCCACTAGTATACAATTTTGTCTATGGATACAAACAATGACATAAATCAATGTTATTAGTATAACATAAACATTTATAACATTAGAATACATAAATATTTAAAATTAATTCAGTAAATACAGTTTTAAAGTGATGCTGTCCCTTTTACATTTGAACGAATAGAAAAAGACAACATGACTTAACTAGGGTAAGTTTTCCCTTTATACCACCTTCTGTTATATGAATCAAACGTGCTTATCTATTTAAAAACGATCATGCAAGAAAAAAAAACATTTCAAAGCAGCTTGTGAGCGACATGCAATTTTGTGTTTCGAAATATTACATTTAAAAGTAGGGAAAAGATATATTAGACATTTAACTATTAGTTATTTTTAGTTTATTAGATCATTATGGCTTATAAGCAAAATTAGACCTTTGGAAATATTAAAAATAAGATGTATTTTAGTGGCTCGCGTGAAGCAGTGCTATCGGGTTCTTATAAAAAATATAGAACCAGTGAGTCATTCATTCATTCATTCATCAACAGCCCTTTACAGTCCACTGCTGGACTATGAGCCTCCTCCACTATAGTGGAGGGTTTTGCCATAATCTCCACGCTAGGCAGGCGGGTTGGAGATCGCAGTTTAAAAGATTGATGTTTTTCAGAGAGCGCTGCTGCCCATTCTCTGTTTGATGTGTAGTCCCTAAGTCGCCTCTTACGACACCCGCGGGAAGAGTAGGGGTTGGTGACAAATGTATTCTACTCTGCCGTCACCACACGGCTAAACCAGTGAGTACACGAAGGAAATGTTAGATGTATTTTTAAGAAATGTGTTTTATAGCCTNCTATACTAGTGATCAAATTTAGTATAAAGGGGCCATGCACACAGTGGGATTATTCATCCTCTCTTGGATTTACTGACCATCGATTATTTATTTTTTAAACATAGAGTAATCTGAATTTATCAAATCAAACCAAATTTCTTTAATATTTGCGTAATTCCAGGTAAATGTAAATTAATATCAGGTCAGGAATTCATCAAAAAATTTTCTTTTCTCAAGCAGAAACAATAATTAACTAGATACTACTTAGAAAATACCACTTTTAACGGGAACTTTTGATTATTATGACTTGAAAGTTGCAAGTACAAATTGATCGTCCATTGTGTGCTTTAGCCCTTAACAAATTTTGAATGGAAGGTATGAATGTTTAAGTTAGATCTTGTTGCTGAAGCTCATGCTTGATGCATCCTGAAATCGAATCTTGTACCTCATACTGTTTCTAGAGAATATTGAAATATTCCATCGGTAAGCATGCAACTCAAACTTTTTCATTAGAAATGTAAAAAAATCTAGAAACATGCATTTAAAACTTAATAAACAACGCTAAAATGCACTAAAATTATTTTGTGGGGTTGAGTTTTTCGGCTGACAAGCGGGGTGAAGGGCTCCAAATAACAACACCGCATTGATGCAAAAATGGGGGTACTTTATTGCAAAGTACGGGGCAGGTACAAAAATGAGGTGCGGGCGTCTCCCGTCCGTCGACCAATTCCCGCAAGGACGTTGGACACAGACGCGGGAGAATCGCTGGCAATTTGTAATTAAGCGTACGGAAGTCCCAATCTGCGATTCCCCGAAAGAACGTCACAGTCGGATGCAACCTTGGCTTATTACTTATGCCTCACAAAACTTATTATATTCAACATAATCGTCGGAAGGTCTTTAAGGGAAAAAAAATCTGGACACCGCGGTGTAGAAATCGACTCTCAATGTGCTAGTGGCATCTAGCGGTGAGCGGCGCAAACATTTCCTAGACTGAATAGATCTTGCAATAAGCACGGTGATCCGCGGTGGCTTGGTAATGCAGGCGAACGCCACGAGATGGCGCTAGTAGTATTGATTGATAAATGTGACGTTGTTACAACCTCCCCCTCAGATCACGAAGTCGTCCCGACGAGAAGATCTGGATTACGTTCTTGTGACGTCCACGGCCTCGTCGGTGAACAACTGGTTCATCTTTCGTCTTCTTAGACCATCTTCTGAAGTTTCGTTTGTTCCATCTTTGATGTTTGCCCAGGGCTTTATGTGAAGATGTCATACAGAACGCAGGTCCAGGTTGTCTGGTAAATTCATAAGAACGTTCGCATCTTGGAGTGTTTTTGCCTGTGATTCTTCGCGATTCCTTGACTGCGGAATGTAGATCACTTAGTACCAAATCTTCATTTTGGTATTCTGGACGACAATGAGACTGTTTGTCAATTGTTTCCATAACAACAGGGGTTTCTTTCCCCTCCCCCTGCTCATGAACTACTCCCAAAACATCTGTATTCATGTAAAGGAGTCTTGTATCTGTCTTTTCTAACACAAAGTTTGCAGTCAATCCATGATTCAGTTTCGTACAAGCAGTCTCCTTGACGATCTTCATGTTGTCAAACATCTCTGGTTTCGGTGTTGTGGCTATACGTATGTCAATGGCATAAAGTCCGATATCTTGATTTTGTGTTTTTGATCTTGTGCATGTTGGACATTTGCTCCTGACGACTCCTGGCGCACCGCAACCGTAGCATGAAAAGCGTGGAGATGAAGGACTGAGGGATTTGACTTGAGTGGCAATGACTTCGGGTGCTTGCGTCAGTGTAGGCGATGAAGTATTTCCATCTTCTTCATCCTCACTATTTGGACGTTGGAGTTTCCTACAATCTTGGATTGTGTGGCCCACAAAATGGCAGAACTCACACCGTTTCTTGATATTACGTTGTGGTGGCGGGACCAGTATATCCTTGGTCAAGCTCACATCAGCCATGAGTTCTTCTACTTCCCTTGCGGCGGCCAACAATTCGTCAAAGGAATGTACGGAACCTCTGGGTATCTTTTCCCTGAGTTTGAGGTTTATTTGTCCGAAAATCATATCGAGTTGTTGTTCCTCTGTGTGTTGTGGTGAAGGCAGCTGCGCGAACAACATTCTTTTGTGAGCTACAAATTTTTCAGTTGTGACGTCATCGCGCTGTTTTTCACCGACTATTTCTTGGTACAGGATGTACGCAGGTTTCTTTGGTGCAAATGCATGGCGTAATCGAATCCCGAATTGCTCCCAGGTAGTCACTTGTGTTTTGACTCCTTGCCACCAGATGGCAGCCTCACCCTTGAGTAATAGTGGGACTCCATCAAGAGCTTCCTGGTCTGGGATATTTTCTATCTTCTTGAATATGCTTACTGCCGCTAAAAATGCTTCAACCGTTTCGGGGTTCTTCTCACCTTCATAACTTGCCGTGCATTGAGCGAAGCTTCCTCGGCGGCTCATTGAAAGTTTTGCAAGTAGTGCTTGGAACTGCTCATTCGTTAAGCTTACTGTCATCTTCTTGCTTTGGTTGCTGCTTACTGGATAGGTGGTGACACGGCCGAACTTGGTGATGTATTTGGGCTGGTGCTTGTCAGGCCCACCGTTGGTCGCCAGTTTTGTAGGGTTGAGTTTTTCGGCTGACAAGCGGGGTGAAGGGCTCCAAATAACAACACCGCATTGATGCAAAAATGGGGGTACTTTATTGCAAAGTACGGGGCAGGTACAAAAATGAGGTGCGGGCGTCTCCCGTCCGTCGACCAATTCCCGCAAGGACGTTGGACACAGACGCGGGAGAATCGCTGGCAATTTGTAATTAAGCGTACGGAAGTCCCAATCTGCGATTCCCCGAAAGAACGTCACAGTCGGATGCAACCTTGGCTTATTACTTATGCCTCACAAAACTTATTATATTCAACATAATCGTCGGAAGGTCTTTAAGGGAAAAAAAATCTGGACACCGCGGTGTAGAAATCGACTCTCAATGTGCTAGTGGCATCTAGCGGTGAGCGGCGCAAACATTTCCTAGACTGAATAGATCTTGCAATAAGCACGGTGATCCGCGGTGGCTTGGTAATGCAGGCGAACGCCACGAGATGGCGCTAGTAGTATTGATTGATAAATGTGACGTTGTTACACGAAAGAATATTAAATTATTTATTGAAAAAAACTGACTTTGTGTGTGACAAAAATAGGTTTTATAAAATGGGCCTTTGTCAGTTGTTTGTTGACAAGTGATTCACCTGGTAACAATTTTGATGCTCAACATGTTTCATACAACATGTGCAACATTGACCAACATGTTGCGGTAAAAACTAGTATAGCCAATTTAAAGGACATTTCATTGGGCTTGAGACCCTGTCAATCTTTCTATTAAGTGAAAATCCTATCTAATGAACAACATTATTGTTGCCAGATGAGTAAATAGCTTAATTCTTGATACTTCATTTGACCCAGTTAGGATAAAGTAAAGTTGAAGCCTTAGACCGTTACTGGAGTGCCTCGACATTTCTAAAAAGCGTCAGAATTTCAGTCAACGGTCAGGGAACTGAAGTTTGCGGATAACGAATGACTTCAATACACGTCTATCCTTTTTTTCTCATTGTAATCGAAAATAAAAACCCAATCAGTGAAGGTTGAGTAAATCCGATCCCGGAAGAAATTAGTGTAAATAAATATCGTCGCTTCAAGAGAAAGCCTTCGAAACTAAGTAGAAATAAATCGTGCCTACGCTATCTAGTTGGGCGCGTCTCCCATTGTCCGTTCGACTTTGAAGCCTATCGCGTCAGTGTCTAGGACGGTGCACATTCGATTTTGAACCCTATCGCGTTGATGTTAAGTTACCTGTCTCTGGTCGGCAGCTTGCGCACTGTTGGCGGCTTCGTCGGCGGAGATGTGGAAGCGGCGCTGGAACTCCGTCACCGCTGTCTCCATACGCTCCGCCTGCGACTCCGTGCTCATGTTACGTCTGAGGGTACGGAAATATAACCCTTATTACACATCAGGAGAGCACATTTTTGTTGCATCTATCACAACTACGCACAGTGGTTAGGCTGACATCGCACAAAGATTCAATATGACAATAATAAAATGACATAGAACAACAATGGTCTCAACATTGATCCCTGCGACACACTTGTGGTAAGAGGCACTTCTGAAGACTCGAATGCTCATTGTTAAATAAAAAACCAGGCAGCCTAAGCTAAAGTTTTGCAATTATTAAAGACTACACTAAACATTATCATTATTTTTTCTAATTAGTCTATGGTAATGGTTTTTCTAATTGTAATTTGCTTAATATTACAAGGTCAAACGCTTTAGATATATCAAAACAATCTTTTTAGCATGGCTCATCATAAATAACGTTGTTTACTACTTAAGAATTGGACATTAGGCGAACGTGGATTCAAATTGACATAGCACAGAAATGGTTGGAAAACAATGAAAGTCATCATGATGATGGTATTAAAAATTATTAGTGTGACGTACAAAATACGCAGTTGAATATTGAGCGTATTGTCTCACGCTACCTCAACATCATCAATAACATTTTTCGATAAGAAACGTAAACAAAATGCTTGATAAAAAAATGTGAATACAATAAAATAATCAGGTCATATTTTTGTAACGTAGACACGTAACAACTTATTAAAATGAATGTCAAAACAGTACATTATTCCACATATTATTAAACTGTAGCATCACTAGAATACTTCTTTAAAGAATATGAGATTCCGCAGAGTTTAATACATGACACGTGTAGTTATTCGTTGCCATAGAGTTTTGTTTATCTATTTATATTAATCGCTAATAACATAATGACTATCCTACAATACCCACATTTTGTGTACATTTCATTTCCATATTGCACTGTCAATGGGATCCCAAAGAAACTACTTTCTCCCCGTTAAATCATAAAGATACTTATTTAATGAATGACTCACCCATTGCAACACTTTCTTTTAATAGCCCGTCTAAACAAATCGACCCTCATCGCCTGTCGTGGCGGCCGCCTCGTCAACACTAATGATATCGTCCACTACGGCAGATAAGATATAGCTTACTGCTATAAAAGTAGAGGGAAATATCGGCCGTTTGCTAGGGAAAGTACTGCCTAGAAATTAAATCTGCAAAGGCATTGAACTATACTTTAGCAACACTTACTAATAAAAAAAATTCTCGGGCATTGTATTTAGTTCAGACATAACATTTATTGTACACAAGGCAATTTTCCATGTAACTTTTTGTTTTTTATGTGAAACACACAAAGATGTAAGCATTGCGGCGATACAGTAAGTGTTGCGACATAGCTCGCAGAATCGCTAAAATCAAGTGGCAGTGGGCGGGGCACATAGCTCGTAGAGACGATGGCCGTTGGGGCAGAAAAGTTCTCGAGTGGCGACCAGGGGCTGGAAGACGTAGCGTGGGCAGGCCTCCTACTAGGTGGACCGACGATCTGGTAAAGGTCGCGGGAAGAGCCTGGATGCGGGCAGCGCAGGACCGTGCATTGTGGAAAACCTTGGAGGAGGCCTTTGTCCAGCAGTGGACGTCATTTGGCTGAAACGAACGTACGAAGTGTTGTGTGTCAAGAGCCAATTCGAATGAAAAGTACCTACCAATTTGTAGGCATAAAAGCCTATGTTCAGAAGTGGACATCATATGGCTTAAATATGATGATGATAAAGTCTTAGAAAGAGGGTAGTCCGATTTACGACCATCTGTGATTATGAGTATCGAAATATTGGGAGTCTCATCCAAATCATACATAGTATAGATCTAACCCACATCATAAAGGTAGTAGGAAAGCGCTGGACGCAGGCCGCTACCAACCGGACAACATGGAAAGCATTGGGGGAGGCCTATGTTCAGCAGTGGACGTCCTATGGCTGAAATGATGATGATGATGACGAGGTATGCGAGCGGCACGGAAGGGGAGAAATATGACGTGACAGAGCATACAAGTCTAAAGTACATCTGATTCTGAAGTTTCACTGACGTTTGATATCACAAAAACACCTTCCCTTACCGCTCCCATGCCTCAGGCACTGAGGCAATTATACGCCATACCTCTAGTTGTAAGTTGAAACAATATTAGTTGGCTTCATAAGATAATATAAGATGCGAGCGGCGCAGGACCGGTCGTTGTGGAAATCCTTGGGGGAAACCTTTGTCCAGCAGTGGACGTCTTTCGGCTGAAACAATACAAGTTGTCTCCACTCACGTGAGATTGATGTTGGGCCGCTCCCACTGCGTGGAGCGCTCGTTGTGGTTGACGTAGTACGTGCGTCCGTTGGCGTCCTGCCGCTCCTCCCAGCCCGGCGGTAGCGGGTCCCCGCCGATGGTCTGCAACAAACAACCACTCTTGGTTAACGTCTTATCCTCTAGTAAAGAGGATCAAAATAATGTTAACCAGTCTGTACCGAATGACAATCATTCCTGCACCTTTGTATAGCGCAAGTTCGGGAAAAACCAAATTCACGATAAGTTCCGAATTGCATGCACAACATGCATGCTCGTAAAATTGCCAACACATCAAACTATAGCATTTTGATCGCAAAATACTCGTCTACCTTACGTGTCCTAAATTGGCTTGACAAATATTATCCTATTTTGATGTTTTGGCCATGTTTTGTTATGGCCTAACTTTCTATTCTATTGATACAAGCAAAGCATACAACATATTGGCAAAACAAACATAAACCCAGAAATTATCCTTCTCCAAAGACAAAAAAAAGAAAAGCTTGCATAATGGACATTACTAAATAATATTTTTAAAATATTGCAATGTATTCGCCCCTATCTCTTATGCAATACATCTTTGATTGACATGCCACGCAAGATTTGCACAATGCACGCCTCACGCACGCGCCATAGCAATGTGAATATTTCCCACAACAAGATATCGATCTGTTTTGACATCTCAGATTTCATTATCTTAAAATGTATCATAACCCAAAGCGACAGATACGAGAATGCATTGCGGCTATAGCCTGGTCCGTGAGCACGTAAAATTTTGTCCAATGACCCCAAGCTACCCATCCTTATCGCTCGCGCGTAATTATGTTGCTATCGCGCTCGCACACTCACTGCGGGTGCAATTACGCGCGAGCGATAAGAATGGGTAGCTAGGGGTCATTGGACAAAATTCTACGTGCTCACGCACCGGGCTTTAACACTGATTTGAAAGTAAAGCAGAAGCGTAAAATAAAAGTGGACATACGACATGCGCGACTTCGGCCGGGTCGATGAGCTCCCAGTCTGCGCCCGCGCCCGACGGGACCGTCGCCGCCTAATGCCAAACTATGCTCAGTGGGCTGAGTGTGAGTTTAAATCATACGCGCTCACTAAAGAGCGCGTTTAAAAATGTATGAAAATTTTAGTTTTTGAACGCTTCCCGCTAGGGGCGCTGTACAATCCGTCATACATTTAAAAACTAGGCGCAGCGCAGACCACCGATTTTTAGTTGCCCGATAGTTGGGCCCGATTTAATTTGTATGAAGAATCGACGAAATCAAATCGGTGTAATGTGCGCACTTCCATACATGCCCATACTGATCAACTGCCCGACTAAACTATCGGCCGACGAAAAATCGATGGTCTGCGCATAGGCCTAATGTAATTTTTGACGCGTTCACTAGTGAGCGCGTTTGATGAAAACTCACACTAGGCCCTCAGTACCCAACAATGTGCAAACATTACTACATTACCCTCCTTGCGCAGTCGGGTAAAGCTACTGTAACGATGACTCAGCGCGCATATCGCTATGAAAGCAGAATGCAAGTGATTGTCATCAGAGGCATTATCTACAATGCAAGCGTTTGGACAATTTAAAATTAATGAGAAGCTGATAATAGCACATTTAACTACTTTTTGGACATGGCAAAGGAGAAAATTTGACACAAATATTTCACGAGCCACGACTAAGTAGCTGGGTAAGATTCACCATGTAGGTTTTTAGACACGTTTGTATTCGGAGACCTACTAAAGCCCGGTCTGTGAGCACGTAGAATTTTGTCCAATGACCCCAAGCTACCCATCCTTATCGCTCGCGCGTAAATAATATTGCTGTCGCGACTGTGCGACGGGAGCCCGCAGTGAGTGTGCGAGCGATAAGGATGGTTAGCTTGGGGTCATTGGACAAAATTCTAAGTGCTCACAGACCAGACTATAGTAGGTCTAGTTGGGCCTCCAATTCAATATCTAAACGATAACCAGCCTCTAGCCGATTGAGATACATATCTAACGATAAGTAATGATAACTGTAATACCGTTTTATTGTTCTACAGACTAAGCCCGACTACATGATTACTTCCAAAATATCAATTAGGCATAAACATTGTCATGTTTAACTTACCTGTGACCATTAAACGTCATTGAATCAGTTGAAGGACATTAAGGCTGGGTTGTTCCATATTACTTTAACTTTGACAAACGTCAAAAACACCGGTTATCGTTATAGTAACGGTCAGTTAGGTGGTGCAACTCAGCCTTAGTCTCGATCATTACCAGCACGTTACGTGTGCTAAAGGATCTGCCACGGTCAGGTCAAAGTGAATGATGCGTATGAACAACACTGTCAATCAGGGCAGTCGATCAGCGGTTGCGGTTCGAGCAAGATAGTCTCTCAGCGGTCGTGACAAGGCAATCTGTCAGTGGCGAGGTTTGCGTTCTTTGCTCGTGCCCGCATTGTCAGATCGCATCAATACAAAATGTATAGAGACAGACAATGTTTTTAATAAACGATACAGGTTGCGTTCACTTTGACCTCACCGCTAACCGCAGAACACTTCCAGTGTGGCAAATCAAAGGTGTTATCTTAAAAGATCTGTGGCCTATTCACGTATTTTGACAGTCAAGATCTCGCTGACGTTCAGATGTCGTCACATTGAAAAACAGTTCTAAATCCGTATTCACAAGGGTCATTTTGATAGAAGGATTACTCGATAGGATCGCAACTCAGTGTTTTGTTGTCAATGAAGTTTTGTTACGTGAATAAGGCTACTGTCATTGGCCTTTGATCGCGCCGGCGATGGCTATGCAAGCGTTGGTGTGGTTGAAGTTTTACAAAACAATGTCCCACTCAAATAGTAAGACACACACACTTTTCGGCTGCAGCATAGCAGCCGAAATGTCAAGCCGTGAGTATACAGGGTGTTAGGTAAATGGGTATATGAGCCGACACTAACCCATGTTAACATGGTCGTATAAATGGTATGGTGAAGTCAGAAAATGGATATCTTCATTTTAATTATTTTAATTTTCATACAAATCGGATTTTATAAAAAAAAATTGTATGAAAATTAAAATTATGAAATCAAAGGATAGTGCCAGGGTCTGGACCAAGTGCCGCCCAGAATCAACCCATAGTGCATTTTGTTCCTCAGACCAATACTAATGTGTAAACCGAAGCGCACTGCAATCTATCCCTGGAGTTAAGAGAAAAAAAGAGGTTTGTTTTGAAATATTTACATACAAAATATCATCGATGTAGACGTACTACGCATAAGATTTCGTGATTTTGGCATTAAATAACACTCGCTATGTTGAACTTAACCATACTGCATCCGTACACCTTACTTTAGTGCGACTTAGACATTCTTTATAAGCGATGTAGCGCTGTTGCAATCGTTTGGTTAGTTGACAGAAATCATTATTTCCAAAATGAATCAAGAAGTTTTAGTTCTCTATCCTTGCGAAAAATCAATTTATTGGTGTATTACAATCGATTATTGAAGTTATTGTAACCTAAAACTTCTTGCTCTATTTTGGAAATAATTAATTTCGGTCAACTAACCAAACTACTGTAACAGCGCTTGATCGCTTATAAATAATGTCGAAGTCGTACTAAAGTAAGGTGTACGGATGCAGTATGGTTAAGTTCAACATAACGAGTGTTATTTAATGCCAAAATCGCGAAATCTTATGCGTGTAAGTATACATCGATGATATTTTGTATGTAAATAATTCCAAACAAAACTCTTTTTTTCTCTTAACTCCAGGGATAGATTTCAGTGCGCTCCGGTTTACAGATTAGTATTGGCCTGAGGAACAAAATGCACTATAGTTTCATTCTGGGCAGCACTTGGTCCAACTTCCATACATGGATTGGCACTGTCCTTTCTGACTTCACCATACCATTTATATGACCATGTTAACATGGGCTAGTGTCGGCTCATATACCCATTTACCTAACACCCTGTATAATGTAACTCATTAATAAATGTCGCGTTAAGACCCGTGTCTTACTATTTTAGTTGAAATGGAACGCGAAAGTTTAAAATGTCCCACTCACCGGCTGCACGGTGCCCACCTGTGGGGCGGGGTCGACGAGCTCCCAGTCGTCGGGCGGCGTGGGCTGCTCCTCGGTGCCCGTCTCGCCCACGCGGCCCACTAGTGCGTGGTACACTTCTATGTAGCCGCGCACCCGGGACCGAGCGCTGGAATGGTTAACAAAACATTTATACCACTAATGTAGGTGTTCGAGCCGAAATGAAACCTACGTGGTGCGGAGCGCAATAACGACACGCGTTTTTACTGGCCACTTTTTTATCTGTCAAATTTGTATTTTTTATGCATGTCACAATTTTGTTTTATACGCAATACAATTCTTGAGTATGTAGACCCACTAGTGCGAAGTACACTTCTATGTAGCCGCGCACGCGGGACCGAGCGCTGGAATGGTTAACGAAACATTTATACCACTAATGTAGGCTTTTCATGGTACGTTTAGTAGTGTGGTTCCGGCAGAGTAGAATATGACCACACTGGATGGATTTGTCGTAAGACGCGACGTAGGGATGGAATCATAGGAGCTTTCATGATATAATAGAGCCACGATAGCCGAATGGTGAAGGGGTCGGACTGGCCGACTCGTGATCCGGGGAACGCGGGTTCGGTCCCCGCCGCCGCTCGACTATTGTGGTGAGCTCACTCGTGACACAAGCATATTTAGCTTAGTACGAGGGGCTAACGGGAGTATTAGTAATTTGTGTAATAACAAATTACTAATAATCTTTTTTTTTTTAAATTACGTAAGGTCCCGGGAGCGTAAAATACGATCACACTTTCCGTGGATGAAAGGCGACTAAGGGAAAATATGGTGCGCTGGAATGGTTGGCGATCATTTTAAAGTTAGGTGTGTGAAAAATAATTTCAAATTTATCTTTATGTGAAGCCACCATTACTCGTCTGGCCAGCAAGTGAAAGAGCGAAGGCCAAATCCCCTAGCCTCTGGTAAATCGGAGAGGGTTGTGTTCAAGCAGTGCAGGGGGGCTGGAAAGTTCTCGAGGGGCGACCACGGGCCGGAAGACGTAACGTGGGCAGGGCTCCTACTAGGTGGACCGACGATCTGGTTAAGGTCGCGGGAAGAACCTCCATGCGGCAGGACCGGTCGTCGTGGATATCCTTGGGGGAGACCTTTGTCCAGCAGTGGACGTCATTTGGCTGAAACGAGTGGAGATTCAATGAACTGATGTTTATGGGAGAAAACAAGCTATTATTCTACATTATGGGACAATAAATTGATGATATATGATATATGTCCACCATTGATGGTTATTGAGTTTAATTAATGTATTATTAGATGGTTAACATTAACTTAACCTATGGAAGCATAAATTGTAACAACCATATAAGGATTTCTTTCAAATTTTATTAGTAAAAGTAAGTTCCCTCATATTTTATTTATTACAATTTAAATTAGAAAGATGATTCTTGCATTATTATTTAAACAGCAAAAATGATATTTCCCTAATTAATAAATTATTAAATGAAAGAGAAGCTTTGACTTATTAATAGATTTGTTAATATACCCTAAGATAAGTATCACACAAAACCAATTAAAAGATATCACACACAGCAAATCTAAATACTGGTAGATACACACAACATCAAAGTAGGTACTAATAATACTGCAAGTCTAAATTCCAGACTCTTGTAGGCTCTTCAAATCCCAGTTTGGTGAAGATGGTAGCAAAATATGAAATATTAATCAGTAACTTAATGTAAAAAAGCGTTAGGTATCAATTTACCAGTATAATTATTTTAGTTTCACTTAAAACGTGTAAACTTATAAAGATTTAAGATATCGATTCAATCGAATCATTTATTGATCCTAAATTGATAAAACTGACGAGAATACTATCGAAAGGCATTTTTTCTAAATCATAGAGAAACAGAAATACAACAATCTGGTTTCCATATCTGTCAGAAAGATAGAATCAGTAAGAAGTTACCAAAGAAAATAAAAGATGTGCGATCAATGCTTACTGTGTCCAAAACTAAATCACACTGAAGCGTTAATTTACATTATCATTATGTATGATAAATACGATACGGTAACAAAAAGAAGCAAATATGCAAATTCTTAGATTTCTCCGTTTTTTAGTTGCTAACATTTTTAAAGGAGTTATCTAACTTAAATGTGGAATAGGCATGTCGCATGATAAAACCAAAATGTGGAATAGGATAGGTACATATCGACGCGGTCATAATAAAAACAATATTCGGGATACCCCAAGGGACTATTTTGGGTCCTACATTATAAATGGGTCCTACAAGGTACTACTCTCGGTCCTGTACTTTAAATACAAAAAACCACTTACTAAAGGGTGCAACCAAAGCCACACAGTTGCGAAAGAAAAAAACTCCACGGCATGCTTAGCCCATTACTTACACAGACCTGCGAGGACGCAACGAGTACTTAACGACGTTGGGGCGGGCGGAGGCGGCGCTTTCGGCGGGGACACTGGCCAGGGGGATCTCCACCATGCCCAGGAAGTCATCCCTGGTCAGGCGGTTCTCGTCGAACACTTGGATGAGGAGCTTGTGCTCTTGGGGGCGCACCTGTGTGTATAAGTAAATAAGTCAAGAACATACTCAATGTCATCTTTCTACCAAAAGCAAGGATATTTCTGACATATGTATAGTCTAGCAAACAAAACATGTATTTGTATTGCAAAATAACTACTATAACTGCTACATAAGATGCCATGGTGTTTACACAATGACATAAGTTTGGATTTAAGCTCAAGAAATCGGTTGAAACTCTATCACAAGCTGTGATTGGTTTACTTTAACCTGACATTAATAATAACAATCGTAGGTGTAAATCTCTTATTGATACAAATTGTCAACCAATTTATAGATTAAACCATATTGTGCAAGTGCACTGTGTTCACACTAAGTAGGTGGTCTCTAAGGGAAGTCCCCTATCTATAGGTAATGCTAGTCAGATATCGGATTTAATTACTTACCCGGAATACAAACTCCTGATTCCATACTGGGTTCAATGTCTGAAAACATTTAAATATCATTTTAAAAAATAAATCATATTTCTCATCATAGCAATAATAATTTGTATTTTGAACATAAAGGAAACTATCATTTTAATTAAGCAGCGGACAGCGCATTCTAAAAATTGTTGCCAGATACGACAACTTAATTGTAATTTAAACTAATTTTAAAATACCTATTTCCTGCGTTAATAATATGTATTTCGTTTAACTTTAAAACACCTGCTTAAGGCGGCCAAGTACAAATCAATATGTTATCATTAACAACTGGTGCATTCAAGGCCGGTGTCGAGTGTTGGATGTTTGTTGGCATACTTGGCATCAATAAATACCTTTTTCTTGGTCTTGGTGAGGAACGTCTCGATGGTGACGTCACCGTCGGCCTTTTGAAGCTCCACTCGCACATACGGGTCGCTGCGAACAAAAGGAGCCAATTATTGACAGTTAATAATATATTCCCAAACAGGTCTTAAATAGCCCCGTTAAGTCTTCGTGGTAAGCTAAATATGACCGAGGAAACTCTGTGCAGATTCTACCATACAGAAGAAGAAAAGGCCATGCATGCTCTCTGCTCATACGGCCCGCTTATGAGCAAAAGAAGTATCCATCTCGGGCGACACATCATGCACCCGGATGAGATAGCAGATATCACTCATAGGCTTGTGTAAGACTTATTATTTTTATTCTACATGTATCATAATATAAGCTGTATGTTTTCCTAATAAAGAAAATAAATAAATCACGCTCCAAAGAATCTGGAAATTTATAGACTCAACGGGACTAAGCAGTGAACTCTAAACACAAGGGCTGCCACAATAGATCAAACCTGGTCGAGCTGACGCAAATGAAGGCTCAAAAAATCAATAATAATAAAGCTAAATATACTAGTGTTACGAGTGGGTTCACCACAATACTCCAGGGAGGCAGGGTTCGAACACGCGTTTCTCAGATCTCGATTCGGCCAGTCCGACACCGACATCATAAGAGCTATTGTCACTATCTACACTTGCGAGCAAAAGTATGGAATCACTTACATGAAGTTGTTTCCACGCGATCTTGTGAACTAACGAATTTGTTAGTAACAAAAAAAGTGGCACCATTTTAAAGATTAAACTTTTAACTTTAAATTGATACCAAATTCATTTAAATCACACCAGTATTTAAAAAGATATCCCGGCTGATGTAAAGAAGTAAGGAAAAAGACATGTATCAACTGTTTGATACGTCGCGAGTTGCGGCCTATTTACCCCCTATAAAAGCACGTGTTTTCGGATTTTTGCTTTCACACGTTGATCCTTACACATTTCCGCTTCTTTTGACACTTTACCTGGGATTCTACACCTTCAGAAGCAGCACAAATCGTTGCATTATTGCAAGAAGGGCTCAGCCAGCGGGCTGTCGCACGTCAGCTCCACATAAGCCAGTCTTGGGTTTCTAAAGTTTTAAGACGCTTTCAGGAGACTGGTGGCTTTATCCCGAGACCAAGTTCTGAACAGCGCCGGTGCACATCGCAGAGGGATGACCGTTTTTTCATGTCAAACTCTCTATGAAATCGTTATTTCACTGATATCGACGTCCAGCAAGAGCCCAGAAATGTTTGTAGGATAGCTGTTAGCGAGTGGACAGTTCGTCTAAGATATGAGCAATAGAATTTGACTCCAAAAAGGTCTGCCACAGGCTCGAAACTGACGGCAAGTCACCGACTAGCACGCTTTCAATTAGCTCGCACTTATTTTGATGGGAAGGCGAGTAATGGAGGCGAGTTTTAAATAACGATTTCATAGAGAGTTTGACATGAAAAAACGGTCATCCCTCTGCGATGTGCACCGGCGCTGTTCAGAACTTGGTCTCGGGATAAAGCCACCAGTCTCCTGAAAGCGTCTTAAAACTTTAGAAACCCAAGACTGGCTTATGTGGAGCTGACGTGCGACAGCCCGCTGGCTGAGCCCTTCTTGCAATAATGCAACGATTTGTGCTGCTTCTGAAGGTGTAGAATCCCAGGTAAAGTGTCAAAAGAAGCGGAAATGTGTAAGGATCAACGTGTGAAAGCAAAAATCCGAAAACACGTGCTTTTATAGGGGGTAAATAGGCCGCAACTCGCGACGTATCAAACAGTTGATACATGTCTTTTTCCTTACTTCTTTACATCAGCCGGGATATCTTTTTAAATACTGGTGTGATTTAAATGAATTTGGTATCAATTTAAAGTTAAAAGTTTAATCTTTAAAATGGTGCCACTTTTTTTGTTACTAACAAATTCGTTAGTTCACAAGATCGCGTGGAAACAACTTCATGTAAGTGATTCCATACTTTTGCTCGCGAGTGTATATAGGATTACGATTATCTCTTATTTAATTAGCAACAAGATCTACACCAGTTAAGTTCATTAATTACTGCAATAAAAGTATGTATGTACTCGTAACTGCATTTTTCGTTAAGGTACATTTTTTTTTTTAAAATACAGTCGTATTGAGAACCTCCTCCTTTTTTTGAAGTCGGTTAAAAACTTTTCCCTAAAATGAATAAATTATACTAAAGATAGACTTTCATCAACAACTCGGCAAATGGTCGTGCAAATTATTTTAAGGAAAACGGTGAATTTATTAAATGTTAATTACGCTTGATTATTTCCTTGTTTCTCATTGGCATAACATCGAGCCAAAAATTAAAATGACATCGCGAATATCACAATCCCGTGGCAAATAAATTAATAAACATACCTACATAAAATCATTGTTGAAGAGGAAACTTATTTTAATAAAATCAATTCTAGAAACTTTAGCACAGTTTAAGCAATGGTTTAAGCCTCAATATTTTATCATCTTATCTAGTATGATAAAAATAACTTTATTTCTACTAATGATAGTTGTTATTTGTTTTACCTAAAGTAATAGTAGACTTACTTTAACCTATAATAAACGCGCTTATTTCCTCGTCACAACAAAGGCTAGATGAACAATATAATATCATCAATTGACAAATGTGCCATTGTTCGTCATTGTAATATCCCTAGGGGGTTTGTTTACCATCCCATTATGTCGGTCGGATAGCACTCAAGAACTATACAGGTTATTAATTAATAAGTATTTCAAACAACCATGAATATACCATGAGGAATTGGATTCGTCGTCATACAAACTTCCATCCTATTTCATCCTCAGATGAATTTACGATAACAGCATGACCTTCCCTTAGCTTAGATCCCATCTAGCTCTATACCAAAATTATTCAGAAATGGTACATCTGCTTATTAGTTACAGGACGTTAACGTAACAAACATACAGTTACTTCCGCATTTATAATATTTTACGTTTTATGTTTTGATTACAACGTTGAAGCACAGTTGAAGTCTTAGAAGTGCAAATGTGATAAACTATGACACCTTATGGTTTTGTAACAAATCACACAATAGAAGTAGACCAGCGACTAAACCTATCTAGAAAAAAACGGGACTGTTCCCACCTCTCGCTCCCAGCGCTGCAACTCCCGTGTAGCCAGGATCTACAGCTTGACCGCCAATAAAACCCAGCCAGTGAAGGTCAAGTCCTGGTATCTAGAAGACAGCGAAGAAGCTTCTCATCATTGAGTACACTTTGACTCAAAGATAACGGAAAAAGGAAACTGAACCGTTATCTGTCGATTAGGATCCAACCGGATCGTGGAAGTTATGATGAATCGATTAATTAAGGCTTGGTATTTCTTCTAAAGTAGGTATTTCGCGCTGTCAAAATCTGCGCGCGCAATTCTTCGCCGAAAACAGCGCGTCAAAGAGCTCCCGCCACAATTTCCAGCTACACAGTATAGAAATACGCAGTTGGTTAGGTTAGGTTGACTTCCTTCCCTTCAAGCGTCACACTCGCAACACTTTCTAATAGAAATCATATCCAAGTGATACAAATTAAAACACCTTTCAGACTTTTTGGGAATATATTCTAGAATAGAATAAATATAAAAATATAACTGCAGAAGTAAACACTGTTCAAAGTGGCCGTGGCGTCGCCCGACCTTCTGGAAGTTCTGCGCCGGCTTAAAGAATTTCAAGATTACGTCACCCGACCTATCGGTAGGCGGTAGGCCCTTGGGAGCTTGAGCGATTGGAATTTTTTGTTATGATAAGTTACTCTTAGTAGCGATTATCTAGAGCTTGGATAATAAATTTAATTATAGTTGTTGCAATTCACGAATCTTTGCATGTGGTTAATAACATTAATCAGTATAGGTACGCATCAATTTTGTTCAGTCTCTTTGTTTATTAATAAATAAAAATGTCATACTAAAATTGCAGAAACATATTTGTTTGATTCTAATTATTTACTCCTTAAATGTTTATTCTGATCTGAAACTACTATTTTATTAATTATTACACCATATACCATGAATGATATCGGCCTAAATCACATACATTATCTCCTATTTTAAAGTAAGTATTAGTTGAAGCAATTGGGTAATAAAGACCAGAAACAACAATGGTTTCACATCAACTAATTAGACAGGAGACAGAGAAAAGTTTGTTTTCTACAATTACCTTATTGGGAATCAAACTCTGGACCAGAGATGATGATGTCAAGCTATATTGATTGCTTTTTGGCTACAGAAGGATAATATAAAAGTAAAGTCATAAAATGCATTTGTTTTCAACAAAGAGGCTTTTAAAAAGCCCTTTAACACGTCCTAGTATCACTTGAACCCTACTTTTATTTTGGGACATAAATAGGTCAGTGCTGAGAAGAAGCAGCGCAAGATATTTAGCCACCCTTGTCAGCCTCTTCTTAAATCATAAATAACTTGAAAAAATCGAACTGCCTAAGACGGGAATCTTCTTAAATCAATAGAGACATGATTAACAAGACATGTTATACTTGCGAGCTAAGCAGATAAAGTCCAGCAACACATGCCATTTACATAATTATTTACTTTATACATAGTATCCATTCATAAGGACTTACGTAGTTAGTTTTGCAGGGCAATCGAATTAGGGATTGCAATTGCTGGATCCAGCATACAGCAATCCAGCTGGATCCAGCGCCCTTTTAAACATGCTGGATCCAGCATACAATGCTGGATCCAGCGACGCGGATCCGCAAACATATCAATTTTTATTGTTTACGTAGTTTCGAATTTCAAAGCGGCGCGGTGACGTTGCCGTTCTGTCAGCATAGCACGTGCCGCAAGTGCGAATAAACGGCAACGCCGCCCCCTCTCCCCCTTACCACCTGTACCGCTTAGGTTTGTTTATTTTATAAATCAAAGACAATTGATTAAACAGCTCTCGCTCGATAGAAAGTGTTTTTGTGTCACAAAAGTGCATATGGAGTGCGTGTTGGTCGTTGTTTGTGAGATTGAATGGTAATTAAAATGTATATTTTAAATAATTTAGGATTAATGTTGATTTAATTCATGTTTCTTACTTGCTC